ATTCATCATTTTTTTGCAGATGTAATGGTTGGACACTGAACAGGTTTTGAAAGTGTGTCCTGAAGTAGTCACACTATAAAAATCAGCTCTTTACCAAAAAATATCTCCTTTTTTTCTCCTGAGATTTTTTGTCTTTTTTTTCTTCTATTTTATTAAAATAGAAGAACCTAAGGAAATATTATCCGTTTTGCCCAGTGACTTCAGGGAATAACACTACCAATAGAGATTATTGGTACATACCCAAACCACATCCTACCAGATATGGAATGGATACCTGGTAAAAAGTAAATTCAGCCTAATCTCACAAAATTCAACTTAACTGATAGGCTCTCACCACCACAAGTGGATTTATTAGAATTGGGGATGCCTTGAAATCACAGGAGAGTTGTTCACTGCTTTTAAAAACCATATCAGCAAAAGAGCTTTATAGAACAACAATAAAAAGCTATGAGTTGCAGGAGCTTTGGAATAACCTCACTTAAGATTCCTTTTTACTTGTCTAGCTGTGCTGATCACTGTGATCCTAAATGTAGAAGATTTTAGGAAAAGCAATTTTCTTATCCAATTTCTCAGGGAGAAAAAAAAAGCACAAGAAAAATACTAACATCCAAAAACTAAAAATGTAGGGAGCTCATGGCTCTGTTTGCATCCAGCTGTGAGCCATTACTCACATGAGTAGTCTCACTGATTGCAGAGGGTCTATTTGTGGATGCTGGAGCTCACACCTGGGAGCAGAGGCAGCAAAGGCACAGGAATCAGGCACCAGTTTGGGGAGTCAGGCTGGAGCAGGAAAAGGCTGTACTGGAGGATGAGGAGGATGTGCTCCTACAGTCTCAGGCTCTGGTGACACCAATTTCTGTAAGGTTTGAGGGCAGATTGTGCTTTACTACCCTGCTGCCTCTGCTCTGCATCTCCTCACTGGCCAGAGGCAACAGGAGCAGTAGGCAAGGGATTGTGAGAGGGTTATTTGAGTTTTGAGTAAGAACAGCCTAACAGAAGTTGATATTCCCAAGCTGGTCTTTCTTCTCCCCTCAATTATCTGGTTCTTCTATTAACAACCCTCTGTCCCTTTCTTACTCTACTCACTCTTCTCCACCCAGAATGAACTCTCCCACCTTTCCATGCCTCTCCTTTATCCAGCTCTCTCTCACTCACCTGCAGTCCTTCCTGCCACATGGAGACGCTCACATTTTATTGCATTCCTGTTACCACACAGATATAATTTTTAGCTCCTTTTGCCCTTGCTGGCCCTCCAAGCACTGCCCTTCACCACAACCCACACTCCTGTCAGCAGGTGACTCCTTCACATCCAGCCTGGCGCTCCTGCTGCTGAATTGAATTTGCTTGAAGGGTCTTTGGAAGGACAAAGCTGAATTTGTAGCTGAGAAGCCTTGAGCTTTCCCATCTGTGAAAGAGGATGAGGGAAGAATCAGATTTGAAATCCAGCTTTTAGTGATTCATATGTGAAATAAGTTTTTAAGTGGAGTATGGAATAAAGCTCAGAGATCTCAGCTAATAGCTCAAAGCCAAAAGAATAAGGCATGATGTGTTAAATCCCCTTGCTAAAATCTACTCAGTTATTCTAATTACAGAGATGTCTCTTCAGGACACTGACATGCAGTATAGAACCTACTCCTCAATTTTTTTTTTTATCATGGGAGAAATTTTTAGTGAGTTCACTGCAGAAGAAATGTGACAGATGAAAGGGAATAAAAATTCCCTTTACCCTTGTTATATTTCTTCCCTTGGATTTAAGGCTTTTGGTGGGTCTGCTTTTGCTAAATATGCAGAGTGTAGTGGGCAGCTACTATAAATGCCTGCTGCCACATGGCTGTGGAAAACTGGAAGGACAGCTGGCCTAAGGTTATTCTCTTTGACTTTCCATTTTTTCACATTGCTACCCGTAATATTTCTTACAACAGCATCTTTTGCCCGATTTAAAATACAACTGAAAAGATCAAAAATGTGTGTACAGCCAAATATGGCTGGAAGTTTTAGCTGGCTTCAAATTGTCCCTGGGAAACCAGTATGCTGTTCTAGGAAAATATCTTCATTCAATACAATAATTCCAAAAATACTTAAATCTATGATAAAAGAAATACTTTTATGGATCAGAGATTAATATAATGATAAGCACCTAATCACCTAACTCCCATTGACTTTTTTTCTTTAAATGCTCAAAGTATATCTGCAGGGAATATGGATATTTTAAGGAAGATGTCATTTTATGTAAATTGTGTGATTTTAAAATTTTTTTCTATATAATCTGAATTGTTCTTGTTTGTTCCTGGAGTTTATTTCTCCATCTAAAAAAAAGCAGAGATGATTCACTTATCTTGTTTAATGGCTTTTTTGGCATTCAAGTCACTTGAGCTCCGTGCTCTGTCCCAGCTGTAGAAATTTTCTGTTCTTTCAGGTGAGTGAATAGAGTCACCAGGATTTGTGCATCTCTGTATTCATATTTGTTTTTGTAAGAGCAAGGTGCATGGAAAGCCTTTCAGAAAGCATTGAATAGCTCATTGAAGGTCTAGATTATTAAAAGTTTGCCTCACAGAGCCTAATCCTGATGAGGATTTAGCTCAGATCAGCTGTGTTGCAATCAACAAAGAAATGTTTCTTTACTCTCTTGCCTTAGTGGCCAAATCCATTGTGTGTCAAAGCAAATCTGCATGATCTCTGCATGATCATGGCAGACAAACTATTCCTTTTTTATTTTCTCTTACTATCAGGCTAAAAAGTGACATCCTCTCAGGCTTCCTCTGTCCCTCCCTCTTTCAGACCCAGTAACCAGTTATTTATTCAATACAAACTGAACTATTTCTAGCACTGAAAGTGAGCTCCTCTGATCACCCCTGAATCGCTGTCACTCACTGCTAGAACACCTTCCTTGAAGCTAGAGAATACAGGTTCAAGCAATCTTAAATGGCATTTCCCCTATTTCTGTTTATAAACTTGAGTATGTCTGCAGACCCAACCAGGCTGTGCATCTGCTGAGCCCAGCAATCCCAGAATGTGTCAGATTTAATCTGTGTGGTATCCAGCATGTCGGAGGCATGCTGAACTCAGAGCACATTTGCTCTGAGTTGATCCTGAATCTACTGTGGCATTTGTCTGGCACTTTGGGGCATCCAGACTTATTGCTCAGATGTTCCAAATCCTCAGGTTCTGCTGGATGGAAAATAATTTCTCTGAAAAAAAAAAATTGCACAGTTTGACTCAAAAGCAAAATTATTCTCAGCATGCCAAAAACCTCACTTTGCATATGCAAGGAGCTAAATATGTGTAAGACTCTGACAGATGATCTGGTGGACTTTGGCAGAGAAATGCAATCATTAAATTCAGAGCAGCCATTACCACAGCCTCAGCCTTGTGACAAACAGCAGATCTGGACACTTGTAATTCCAAGATGAGGGAAAGAGTCTTAATCCCAGAGAGATACCTCTCTGCAGCTCATTATAATGCACTGCATGTCTTGGAAAAGCATAAATGTGTGTTTTGGGAGGCTTTGGGAGGAGATTCAGCAAACTGAGGTTGGTGAAACCCATATATTTACACCAATTTCTTTCAGCGTCCTGCATGTACTCCTCACTCTGGGCAGGGGATTGCAGTACACAGAAAATAACCTAAAGTTTGGAAAATTTGGCCTAAGGCTGGAATTTATGGTTTTACAGGAGGCTGAGTTGATCTTGTGCCTTTCATCCAAAAGGAAGTGAGTTCACTTTTTCCTCCTTCATACAGAACTTGGATACCTCTGAGATGCTTTTGGAAGTAGTGTTAGACCTTTCATCTTTTGTTAGAAGAGGACTTTGAGAGCAGCTCACAAAATGTCTACTCTGAGTCTATTAACAGCAAGCAAAAATGACTTTTCTTAATGGATGTCCTCCTAAAATGAGGAGCTCAGTTATTCCAGTAATGGAGATAAGTATTGCAGACAAAACTGGCTGGATTATTATCTGAGATACATAAAATATTTCAGACAATGTTTTAGGTTTATGGAAGGCAACATCTTTAAATTTTTGTATTATGTGTTGATCACAGCTGATGGCAAATGCATGTATTGGGTGACGTGGGTACCCTCAGAAAAGCTGAATATTTTTACACAATTATTGCATGTAGTTTTGTACATCATGCAAATATGAGTAATCTTATATGTGCCCTCACAGACCAGATGGGGCTTTTCACATCTAAAACGGGTTGTGCTCAAGTCAGATGTAAATAAGACTTTCTATTGTTTTAGATTCCCTAGTCTTACTAAGAATAATGAATATGGTATTGGATATCATGCATTAAAATTTGTTATTTAAAATATGATACATGATATACCCAGTGAAACTTATTCTGATGAGAGAAAATAATTACCAAGAGATGATAAAAACTGTAAGTCACACATGAATTACCTGGAGAATGAAATTTCCTTCTATTGTATATAACTTTTATAAAGATAGTGGTCCCACTGAAGATTTCATATTGCTAGCTCTAAAATACAACTGCTCGCATGAGCTTATGATAATGTAAAAATGTTGGAAGGGGAGTTAATTCAGTCCTTTATAATGGTGAAGTTATTGAGCCATGATAATAATTTCTCTGGATTATATATTTATTGGGGGAAAAAATGTGCTCTGGATGGTTGCTTATTGGGCTGAGAGGGATCTGGGTTTATTTATTCCGGGTTTATTCATTCTGGCTGTTCTCCCAGAAGTAGATGGTTGACCTAGAAGACTTTCAAATCCAAGGTTTTTTTGAACAGAAGCCCATTTCAAGCTGCAGACTTTGCTGGTGTCCTGGAGCTTGGTGAGAGGGAAGCCTTGAGCCCTTGCCCAAAGTTTGCCATTCCTTGCCACGGGTGTAGGCTGTACTCTGAGGCCTACATGGCCTCCTGTGCATGGAGGGCACAGGAGTTCAGCCTGCCCAAGCCTGCTCTGCAGAAAATATTTGCTCATGGCCTCACAGCAACTACTTCTCCAATTCTTTGTCACTTTTCTTCCTTTTTGATCATTCATTCCATTTCATTGGTATTTATGTGACAGCGAGTACAAGAGCACTCGTCAAACGCCTACAGCAGATTCGAACTCGTCGGAGTCTTCAAGGCACCACTCTCACACAGATAAGTTAATAATGACATTAATAACCTCAGAGAACTCGTGACAGGGCCCTGCAAATTTGTAACCAAAATATGTAACCCAAGGTACCTTCTTGATTGTGCTTTAGTTTACCACAGCAACGTGGAAGTGCTGTGTGTCCCAAATGCCCTTCAGTTTGAGGGCTCTCCTCATGTAAAATATAGTCAAAGCCATCACCATTCTGTACAGCTCAAAAGCTCCTTTTCCTCTCAATTTTCTTGCTGAAATTACCTCTGAGACAACACTTTACCCCTCACTCCTATTAAATGATTATACAGCAAGAGCTATTTCTTAAGTGGGATGAAGTTTGTGGATTTGCAGAGCTATTTTTCTCTTTTTTTTTTTTTTAGTAAATATTTGGAGTCCCTCGATTTGGTTCCTTGTTAGATATTATGCTACACATGTGGGCTCTGGCAAGTAGAGGGCTGTGGGAGCAATTCTCATCTGAAACAGCCTCTGGTAAACACAAAAATGAGTGTATACCAATTTCAGAACCTCTCTATCTGGAATTACCAAAACAAACAGCTTTGAAATTGGAAATGTGTTTACCCTGGCCCTTCAGTCTGGCAGAGCAACCTTGGCCCCATGGAATGGAAATTATGTATTTGAAACATCCCAAACAATATAAAGGTTTGGAGACCAAATATGGAGGGGGCTGTGAGCATTCTGGATTGAAATACATTAGGAAGGGAGGAACGAGCTGGCTGGACCCACAAGATAATGTGAGACCCTTCTGCTGTGCAGGGCTAGCCCCTGAGCTCTTCATTTTTCAATGCAAACAATCACTGTTACTTCAACAGTCTGGAATTCCATGAATTCTGTAGTAACACTAATTACTTTTTAGAGGCATTGCAAATGTAATGGGAGCTACAGTATGATTTTGTCTGTACTCTCTGTTTGTATTGTTTGCAATGAAATAAGTGACAGGATTTGTTTTTAACTCTGCCTTTATCAATCTTGGAACTTTTTGGCAAAACCTAATTTGCCATGCTTTATAATTAAAATTATCAAAAATGTGAGTTAGAATTGCCAAGTTCACAAATTAAGTGTCCACAGGGAAAAAAATTATGATCAATGTCTTTAATGACTAAATAGTTTGATTAGATCCTCTGAAAATATTATGGAAAATGCTAATAATCTTAAAAAGGCTAAATTAAGAATTTTTGTGCATGGTTAAAACACATGGACTTGGCATAAATTTTAAATGTTTTGTGATTGTCAGGGCTGACAACTATTTTACACCCATAATGAGACAGAGCTGACTGAAAATAGTTTATCTTGATATTATCTATGGACTAAGGGCTTAAACATATTGTAGCTAAATTCAGTGTGTTTATGGGGATCCTAAGAAGCAGGTAATTAGTGCATTGCAATTTTATTTCCAACATCGACAAGCAATACGAGTCTGTGAGCCAACTTCACAGATGGCATAGTTAACTTTAACTCCATTGATTTCATTGTGATGTCCTTATTTAATCCCCTGATTATTTCAGAATCAAACAATATTTTGGAATCAAGTCTATAATTTCATCCTTTTCCTTGATGATCCTGAAGCATTCTAGCCAGTGCTGTCCCACTGATGTGTAGTCATAGTCTGGATTGCATTCAAGTTGCAGCTGGGAGCTGGTCCCGTTTCTCTGCAGGTACATTTAGGCACAGCAGAAAATTACAGTCCTCCCCAAAGTTGTGTGTTTTATCAGGGTAAGTCGCAAAATGGAGAAGCTCAGCGTGGAAAAGCAGATGTAGCTGAAGACTCAGCATTCTTGTGTTTGCCTTTGGTCTGGCTCCAGGCTGATCCCATGGACAGAACACTGTGGCTGAAGCATGTAAGGAGAGCTCACAGTCCTTTGGTTAATTTGATCCAGAATGCAGAAATGTGCGCACTGAGTCTGCTTTGGAATGCAGACCAAGGCACAGTGAACAGCAAGTGCCAAGATTTAATTGCTGGCCTGAACCACCAATGCTATTGTAAGACATTCTGTAAAATATATTCCAAATCACTCTGAGCCTGGAGAGAAGTTTGGACAATTTCACCTTTCAGCAGTCTGGTTTCAAGTCAGAATCTACAGTCTAACTTCTATGTATGAGAGGTAACCCATGACACAGTTCTGGAATTCCTTCCAAAATGCTGCAATTATCTTCCCTCTTTTTTGTTTTACAATGTCCAGCCATGCCTCCCTTTAGGGAAGGAAAGATGTACTGATCTGAGGTTTTTCTCTTCTTTAATGCTGTCAAAAAAAAAGACTAAGGTGTGAACATAATTTACTCCAAAAAATATAGTGAAGGAAAGAAAGACAATGAATCTTCCAAAGACATGGTAATGCTATGGAAGAAAAATTAGATATAAGAAAAAGTAAGAACTATTCAGTGTTTCTTCACCTAAGATTTTACAGTATAGAGAAATCAATGGAGTACAGGATTTTTGTGTTTGTGGTGATATCCAAGCTTCAATGACTCTGTAAATCTGCTGAGATGAGTTTGTAAGAAAAGCTTAGGCAGTTCTTGTCTTTGAATTAATTGCAGTGTTAATGAACAAGTCTTGACACATCTCATACAAACACTTTAGCCTGATACATTCCAAATATCTGAAAGGCTTTACCTTGTTGCAGCCAATGAGCACTTTAATAAAATATTGCCTCATTCTTCTTCATTGAAGCAGTTATGAGAGCTTTGGTGACTTCAGGAGCACCAGCCTGGTTGAGGCAGTGAAGAGCTGAATTTTTTATAATGGGCAAATGGTGCCAAGTCCTTGACTCGGGCTTTTAGGTGGATAATATCTGAAAATCTTTCTCTGGCAGCTCCAAGATTCATCCTTGCATGTTCTACCATGACAGCACAACAGTGAAGGTGCCCCATTTGAACATACACTGCCAAATCAAGCCTACCACTTCCAATAGCTGTCAGACCTCTGGGATACTTTTTCAACTCTTTCAAAAAACTCTGGGCAGTTCTGGTAGAAGAAAGCGAGCAAAGCCAGTTCTTCAATTGAAGTAAAGTTTCCATGCATGCAGCAAGCAAAACCACTCAGCTCTATGGTAAAATAGATTTACAAATCTCATAACTTGTAAGGGAAAATTATTTATATGCAGTTGCTTGCAAAGTAATTTGAGTTGATATATCATTTGGCACCTCATGAAATTCTTTTTACCATTATGTGAAAGTAACATCTCCTCAATTGTTATCTGTTTTTTCTTGGTCAGTGCAATATACATAATTCATGTCATCTTCATCATATATTGCATTTTATTTTCTTATACATGATAGGTACCGGTTATGTCTTTGTGTGTGTGTATCCTATGCATTATATTTCCACATAATGTGTGTGTAAAAGTACCTATAAAGAGAAAGAGAATCTGTGTGTACAGAAGGAATGAACCTCAAATTAATGTTTCATGGTGTGGTTGTTGTTCTTTCTGGCACAAGGGATGATCACATAACACATTTGCCAAGATGCTGTGGAATAATTTCTTTGTGGGTTCTATGAAAGGCTTGCCTGTATTTAACCTCTTTGTGAGTGTGTTCTTACAAACCAAACAGGCTGAAAAACACTGCAAATAAGACATGGCTTTCACATACTCTGTTAATTTTACTCCTTGCTGTGGCATCATCCTTTCTTTTTTTTTTTAATTTTGGTAATGTTTTGTCTTTCTGTTCATGATTACAATATAGCCACTTCTAACAAAATTTGAAGTAACTTTTGGACTTAGGAAGGTGAGACCCTGCCTGCGTTCTCCAAGGGCTTTTTGCCTTTTATAATTTTCTGCAGCATCATCAGTCACATTTGAGGGGAACCTTGCACTCTGCAGTGCCAGGCCTGCATGCAGCTTTTAAGGATTTCTGCTGCTGTTTGACTACAGGTAGAACTTTTCATCACTGGGTGTCTTCCTGACTGCGAACTGGTAATTTTTACTTTCGTTTCTCTACTTGAATTCTACCATTTTACAGGTTTGTTTTCTGGGAGTGCCACACTGGTTTCTAATTCTCTCTTTGAGACATGAGCTCTGTCACAGCTGAGCATGTACAGCATCCCTTGTGGTGTGTGAGACAGAGAATGGTCACTCCTGCTTTAAACTCAGAGAGCTCAAATAAATCCTCTGTCTCTTTGTGCCTCTCTCTAGTTTCTCTGCAGAGAAACAGCATTGAGAGGAAGGAAAACTGCAGACCATGACTGCAAACTACCATAAAACCTGTAATAAAGCAAAATGAACTTAAATACTTCAGGCTCGCATTTTACCAAGCTGCAGGAGTCCTCATCCATTATCTTTATAATTCTACCTGCTAATGAGTTCTGTGACTTGCTTCTGGACCAAAATGCAGCTTATCAACATTAATGAACCTTTATCACTTTTCCCTTAAAAAGTTTGTGATCTGAGCCTTTGGGCTGCAGGAGTGTTGCTGAGACAGATGCTTTACAAAGAGCTGTTAGTCTTGTGCAGCCAAAGGTTTGACAACATAAGGGGTTACTGAGACCATTTTCCAGTGTCATTTCACGTTCCTTAGGCATCTCCTTCAGGGAAAAGGAAAGATATGATACCCAGCTTAGTTTTCTCACTAACCTGAGAGACATTATGGAAAAAATATTTATTTTATTACAGGTCAAAACAGGACATTTCATCTAAGTGTTTTCTAGAAATTATTTTTACACTATTGCATCTCAAGTCCTGCAAATATATCAGTATATAAACATGAATGGTAGTTGACATAAAAATGCCTGCATTTGTGTTTCTTAGACAAGCTATCTAATCAGTTTAAGGAGTTATTTATTCAAACACTTATTCAGAATCTGAAAAAATTTCAGGCTTGGAGATGCATTATTTAATGGATTGAATTTAAAACTGCAGCTGACTTCACGCTGAGGTATAGGTCCTGATTTACAGAATGAGAGGCAGACTATACTTTTTCCTGACATTTTTGATTGGATTAACATTGGGTACAAATACAACTATTCTGTATCTCTGAACACAGGCATTTTTCAGAAGGACAAAAATACATGCTGTTTAAATATTAGGCATCCATGTCAAATGTTCCTTTTGTACATATTCTCTCAGTATATTGGCATTATCCAGGTTTAACTTAGTGCATTTCTGCTCAAGGAATCCGAAACCCATTATTTGCCGGCTTCGGTTTTTGAACATTGATAGTTTTGTCACGTCATTCATTATACTTCTGCTTCTCCTTGGAAAGCATTACTCCACTGGAAAGGAGCAATAGGATTTCATGGCAGCAGCACGTTAGCCAAGACAATCGATTACAGCAGTAATTTCTCACAGATGTTTTAACCCGGTGGGTTTAAATTGATATCCAAGTAAGTTTTAAGAGACTTCACGGAATGGAGGTGCATCCCCACTCTACACAGGCTTGTCTTCCTGACAGCACAACTTATTATCTGTAAGGAAGCACCATATGGCTTCAGCTCAGATGAGACAGCACCACTGTGTACTAGATGAATTTCTCTCTGAAGCTGAGCAGCAAAACTATAATGCACCATGCTAAAGTGCATATGGGAGGAAAGCAAGGGTGTTATAAACACAGGTGACAGCCTGGCAGGCTTTTCTGGAAGTATCACCTGTCCTCTCTAGATGATGCTTGATGAATAGATATTGGCTGTGCGCATTCTCTATCCTTACTTAATGCTTGGTGGTGTTTATGCTACTTATGTGTTGGCTTCTTTGGTAATACAATGAATAATGTCAGTTTTGACCTCTAAAGACCTCTGCTGTAAATTATATTCCTTTGTTTTAGCTGGTTGACTCTAAATTTGTGGGAAATGCATGTATTATAGAGAAGGTTTCTTAAAAGTTGTGTTTCCCACTGGGCTGTCACAACAGTTGACATATGGCCTCGTGTTATGTGTGAAAGTTAGCGCTGCACAAAACCCACTCCAACTCACATGAAATCTATTAACAACTGGCTTAAATAAGAAATCTCACAAAGAAATTCAAGTACAGGCATTTTTCCTGGGGTCATGGAGGGATTTGGGTTTTGCTAATGTTATTCAGTAAATTGCTCATGCCTTGGATTTTGTAAGCTGATGCCATGTCACTTTCCACCAAAATGTCCTTAATATTTTGCTGAAATATCTGTGGAAAATTTTGTCCAAGTGGGTTATGGTGTAATGCTTCCACTGGGGAAGTAAAGTTTAAGAGAAGGAGGAAAATGGGTTTCTTATACGAGACAGCTTTTCTTTTTAAAATGCAAGGTCACTAAAGGTGAGTTTAACACTTTGAGCCTAGCTGGTGACACTTTTGCAATGGGATGAGTTTCCAGGTGAGACTTTCCTGCTTTTGCAAAAATAAGATTTTCTTGAGGTACTATTGAAAATATGCTATTTCTTTAACCAACCTGTTGGCTGTTGGTTGATTGATTTTGACTACTGATGTCTTTTTTTCCCCTCATTTTTGTTGTACACTAAAAGTGTTTGCTTTGCTGTTGTTGTTGTTTTTACTCCTATATCAACTGTGATTTCTCAAGTGCTAGGGCAACATTTTCCAGTAGACTGAACTTAAAATTTTACAACAGGAGGTGAAAGCTGATCCAGCACTCAGGCTGTCATGTACCCAGTCCCAACACAATACTCTGTCAAACAACTCTAATTTATGCAACCTTTGTGAGGTATGATGGAAAAATAGCACCCTGACACATCTGTTACCATCACTCTCCTTCATCACTGGCATCACCTGTGAAAACATAGTCCAGCACTTCAGTGCTCCCACCTTCTGCACAGAACTGATGCTAATTCCATTTGTAGAGCAGGGAGACATGAGGAAAAAAAATCCTAAAATCATTTTCCCATTCTTTGCTGGAGTATTTCTTGAGAAAATGGTGTCATTATCCAGAATGTTAAAGCAGAAGTATAACTTAAAGTTATACTGAAAATTAAGGTACTGAAGACCTGACCTTGACAGGTGTGAAAGAATTGTCCTGCAGGTTCATCTGTTCTCTGCTGAACATCCTAATATGGTCCAGAATCTTTTAAACTTTCTTGTTCCCCTGCAGCCACTGAAGCAAAAGACCTCAGTGCTCTTCTGAACAGCTCAATGATAAGAAAACTTAGGAAGTATGGAAAGGAAAACAGATCTGGTAACATAGAAAAAAGTGTTTTATGCCCTTAGTAAGTGCTGGCTATTCATCTCAAATGCTGTGTAGTTTTCATGCTACCTGTTAAAAAACAGCTGTAGAAAATCCTAAACTCATTGGGAAATAAACAAAAGTCACACAAAGTAGAATTACAAGATAAAATTTGATAAAAATTTGTACATTTTTTTTTGTATCATGGTGATAAACTATGGTTTTCATAGTGATAAACCTTGGTTTTCATTGCCCAGGATGAATAAACAGAGAGATATTGATGTAAAAGCAAGTATAAAAAGATACAGGCAGTTCTCCATTTAGATGGCATATTGTTGTTTTCTGCTTATAGTAGCATAAATTCCTATGAAGACTCTCTGACTTCATGCTTCAAGAGAGGAAAAAATTTTATGCCTTTATTTAAAGTACTCGATATACAGAAAACAAAAACAGATCATTCATTTGGTCCATGACATGATTATGTTTTACTCTAGGCATTATTGTACTAATAATTCTAAAATCCTTGAATTGCCTCATGGTTTTTGTTTTAATTGCACATAATAATCCTAATAAGAATGTCCTGATCATCTTTTAATGTCAAAAATGAAGTACAAATAATAATGACTTCATGTATAGCAATGAAGCTTTGGGATATCAGGATGTATGTTTTCCTTTGCTTTGTTAGGAGGAGGTCAGCATTAACATATGCTAAATTTGAAATTGTGTTCTCAGTCCTGAAAAAAAATTCAACTTTTTTTTTTTTTTTTTCATAATGAAACAGCACTAATTCAACAGCACTGAATGCCTCAGTGGGTACAAGGAAAGAGCAGAAGTGTCTGTCACAATAATTCCCACACAAACAGTGAGGAGCCAGAACTCTTCCTGTAGGTATGTATTTTTATGACCATTCTTTGTGAAGTGTTTCATCTCCAAGATAATATATCAAGCAAGCACAGTGACTAATAGCTGCACTTTTTGGATATTTTTGGATTTATTTTGACTCATTTGGAAATTTGTTATAAAGGTGCTCAATTTTAATGTTTTGGGTTGGAATTTGCTCATTTGGATGCTTGGAGTTTGCTCATTTGGCTTCTCTTTTTCTAAGAATTTTCTTTTTCTTATGCAGCTTCTTTCAGTTGATTTCCACAAAGATAAACATTTATGTTGGGTATCTAAAGTGATGATAAGATGTCTTCAGTATTAATGCATTGATTGCCATGACAATTGCAGAAATTGATCATGAGGTCTGTAAATTGAGAGATTGTAGTAGTGGTACTCGTTTCCTTTGGCTTTTAGACTCGTGAAGATGAATAAATTTCTCTACTGAGTTCCAAATAACAATATCTGCCTGCACTCTTGAGAAGTAACAGTCTCAATAAGCAGCAGTGGTCATGTAGGCAGAGTTCCCCTGGTCTTCCAAGCTGACAGAATTGTTTGCCTGATATTAGTTTATCCATACACTCATGGCTGAATGTAATATCTTTTAAATTATGCTGTTTTCTTGAGTATTGAAAGTGCATAGAGGTTGTCTCATGCATTTACAACTAACATGGCTGGTGGTTATTACAAAAAACTCTAATCAGCTCTATTAGGCCAAATATTACCTAGGTATTTTGTTAATTTGCAGCAATCATTGTGAGCAAAGTGGAATCATTTAAAGAGTGTTTAGATGGGCTGACCAAATAAGCTGTATAAAATAAATAATTGCACAAATTTCTCTATCTGTTTCCCCTTCCTGCTGCGCCTGTCCTTCCAGTTCCTTGAGGTCCATTCCTTCATTTCTTTTTAAGCTTACATTTATTTATGGCTTTCTCCACCAGTCTCTCTTTTCCTTTGCACCTCTCAGGTTTCCTCCAAGGACAGCCTTTGTATGTTTAACCATCATTTTTTCAGAGCACAGTCTCTCAAAATATACCTTGAGAAACAGAAAAGCAGAATTTACTGTCACTGTCTCTGCAGACTGTATGATTTCCATTTATGTTTTAAAACCTCTCAGATTCATCTCCACTCAGGTCTGCTTCCTTTTGGGATCCCTGGTAAGGCAGAAGAATGTGATTATTCAAGGAGCTGCAATCCAGGTTAAAAGTGGAGATAAACACAAAACATTTCTGTTGAGGGCCAAGAAAGTACAGAGTAGAGAAACTCAAAGGAGGGAGTCAGGCTGAGGAGGCAAACACCAAGAACCAACCAAAACCCCATAAATTATCTGATTGAGAGGTTTGAGAGTTCCCTGCATGCCTGTGGCTGCATTTCCAGATAGTTCACTAACACACATATTCCATCTGGAATGGGAGCTTGTTCTCACCAGCATCTTTAACGTTTTTCACACCAACCTTTCATGAGGAAAATACTTTTTGTGCTTCCTCATACATGATGCAGTAAAAAGCAACTGGTAAATAGAGCTTGACACATAGTCCAAAATAGTTTCCAATGAAGCATTTTTAAACTACAAAGGGTTAAAATATCCCATTTCTACACCACTGTCCCAAACAGTACCACTATCTGTCTTTCTCTTTTACATATTCCCTATTTTTGTTCCTCTGTCTTATTTAGGTTTCCAGTCCTGTTCAAGGTGGGAAACATTCCTTACTGGGAAGCTGATGTGAACAGACATTTCACATGACTATACAGGAGGAAAGAGCTGTAGCGGGTAGGAAAAACAAAGTGTAATATAATGCTAAAAATATCTTTTGTTCAGGATGTCCACATAGTTTAAAACACAATGAAATCAGTTTCATATGGCATTTTATAGAAAAATCACCTATTACTACCATTATGTTTTACAGTATTTTCAGGTTTTTTTTTTTTACTCTTGTGAGGGGGGATTGCAATCTTCTTCTGATCATCAAAAAGTATTTCCATTCTGCTCTTGTTCACTTGAAATACATTTCCCTGCTCAGGCCTTTAACTAGCTCAGTAAAACATTTCAGATCTGAACTCTATCCCTCCATTGACTGAACTTTGCAATTTAAAACTAATGTGCTGTTGCACTGTCTACAGGCACTCCTAATGGACAACTTTAACATTGTTTAGATGCCAGGTAATTTGTTACAACTTGAATTTCCTCTTCTACTTAATGGCTGAAAGTTAAATGTTTGCCATCAGAGCCAGTGGTCTGTTGAACATTGATCCATGTGAGAACAGTGAACCTGTGTCTCTGCAAATTTGTGAGTCATCTAAGAGGCAAAGCAAAGCTGACCTCGTAATGTCAAATCCCATTTAGAGCTGGTGAATAGGTTGGAGAGAAGGTACTTGATATCTTTTGAGCAGTATTAAAAATACAGTACTGTGCAGAAGGATGAAAGCCTCAGTAAATTAATGTAGGGAGTCTGGCCTTTCCAAATAATTTATAGTTGAGTTTTGTCTTTTAGGAGGAATGGGATGCAGTTAATAAGTGTTGTGACTTCAGTAAACAATTTCTGAGCACACAGGTTTCCAGATTAGTGTTAGAAGCTGCAGCTTTGCCCTTCTCTATGCACCATTTTATTTTAAATTGTCTTTCCTTAAACCTTATTAGTAATTACTTTCTAACTTCAATTAAAAGTGGTAACTCACATCACTTAGCTAAAGCATCCTTTTGGAGTTGAAATAGATATCTTACTGCATTTTACTAAAATGTGAAGTTTCCATTTAGTCTACATTTTACTTAAATTCTTCATATTCCCTGGTTGCTGGCCACAGCAGCGCCTCAGGCATAGACTTATGAGCTGAGTGGGGCTGATGCCCCACTCTAGGCTAATGTTTCCATTTCCCTGCCAGGCATCTGTATTGCCCTCACTCAGTAAATTCACTCTCCTAGATGTCAGCTATGAAATTTTTGGGGCTTCAAGACTTGCACCTTTAAGATCTGATTCACCCAGCTTGCAATTTGCTGCATAATTTACTGGATAGCTATCCACTTTATTTGCCTAAACTAGTAGGCATTGTTGCTGTTTAGCATTCATTTTTTGCATAATGGGAATTAAATTTTTTAAGACTTTTTTAAAACAGAAAAGCTTAATAACTGAAAATGAAATTGTTTAGGTAGTAAAGCTTTTGCTTACAGGGCTTGCAAAGGCTCTGAGCAAATGCAGGAAAGATTTGCATCCACTCTCTTTCCAGAGTGTCACTGCACTCTTTTAAACACATATATGCTGGCAACATCCAGGGCAGGATTTGAAATGGAAATCAAAAGTTCTTTTGAAGGGCAGCAGCAATTTATCAGAATTGTCAGGGACCAGTGAAGAGGATGGTTGCTGGATATAAAAACAAGATGTGACTCTGATGGTTGTGTGTGCTAATATATTTATGAATTTGGGCGGAAAGATGATCGGACACTTCATCTGTGCCTAATGCAATTTCATGCAGATTCTCACCAGTTGTGACCTCTTTGCATTGCTCCAGAATGTTATGCCTGAAATAGCTTGCCCTCCTCATCCCAGTATTTTTTATTAGGCTTCTGCTGTGGCCAAAACCTACAAAATCTAACTATGCAGCCTGTGGAGTGCAATGCTTTCTGAGGAATTTAAGTGGAGCCAAAAACCAGGCTCCAATTAGACAGCTTGCTACATTCTCACCATGGAGAGGAGACAGCATGTAAACTACCCATATGCATTAATTATACTCTCCTCCCCTGCTTTCCATTTTTCAGCTTGCCAACTCTCTCTCTCCCCAGAATGAATTCTCCTGCCCTTCCTTTGTGGCTAAGATTAGGAGGCTTTGCCCTCTGAAATTAAATGGAGATGGGCACAGCCAAAAAAGGCTGGTCTGTGGGGACCCAATCAGGCTGGGGTGTGTGGGGTTTTTTGTAGTTTTTTTTTTTTTGTTTTGTTTTTATTTTCTACTGAGTCATCGGTGGTTAAGAATGACAGTGGGGAACAATTAGTGTTTTCATAAACTTAGACCGAGGGCTGAGGGGAGAGCAGGAAGCAATATATCTGTGGTGAGTAAGCCTCAAGAGCCATAATTTCCCTGTTTGTTTCAGTTCAGATGAGTGCCACCCTGTTGTTTGTTTTATAAACTGTTTAATAAACTGTAATGTTTATTAACAGTAATCCATTAAGATCATCTCCTTTGAGACCTTTCCTGTACAGTCAGTGCTCTGCACTTCAATGAGGAACCCAGTTTTCTTTTCCTCTTGTTTCTTGTTTTGCACCAATTCAGAAACTTTAATGATTTTATCTGAGCTTTTATACCGTGCTGCATAGAGAAAGAGATCTTAAAGCTGTTTAGGCAACCTCTGCCAGGTCCAGGCTTGTCAAACAGAAAAATAATGAAGTCTAAAATATGTGTATGTGAGCCCCATCATCTGAAATTGTAACAGCTCAATTTCCTTGCTAGGATGTGGGAAAATTAGCTGTGCTGTGTCATGTGGTGGATCAAGGTGGGAGGTAGCACAGGTGGTCATAACAACTGCAAAGGTTTTATTACAGAAGGCTCTGCTCATTTTTAATAAAATTGTCCTTGAAACCCAGCTAGCCAGAAATTAATAGGAAGTTTGCAATGATTTTTTTTTTTCCTCCCAGGAAAGCAACTCTGAAATTTCACATAGTGAAAATCACTTATCAGTGCATCTAAACCGAGTTTTATTTTAAAATACAGTTTTTAATTAAAGTTTGCAATTCTGAGCCTGCTGCTAGTACCTGATATCTTGCTAAAAGGTCACAGCACTGGTGGCATTAATGGCATGAGAGCCTGATGTAGGAGATTATGAATGCTCAAATTGCCTTTCAGTGCAGGTTTGTCATGAGGAGGGGTGCAGGCATTCCTGGCTGAGGGCAGCTTTAGTGATGGGAGGGAGGTGCTGGTTCTTTGGCATGGCTGTTGTCACAGGAACCAGGCTTTCCCTGGGTTGGGGGTGAGCAGGGAAGGGGCAAATGCTGGTCCATGGGCTCAGCTCCCTCCTTTGAGGAGGGTGCTGCTCCAGCAGCCCCAGCAGAGGTTGGGATGGTGACAGGGGGGCAGTCATGCCCTAAACCCTTGAGATAACAGGGCACAAACACCCCCTCCCTGCCCAAGCCTTGGGAGTTGTCCTTACCAAGAGCAGGAGCTGCCTCTTTTGCCTCGTGTCACTCACTCTTCAGGTGACAAAAGTGACTTTGCCTGTGCTGCTGGACAGCCTTGAACTGGATTGGTTCCAGTTGTACCTTGAGGTGCAAACAGAAGATCCTTGAGCTGCTTTCCTGCAGCTGACAGCGATTCAGGGGGACTGGGGAGCTTTGGGCACTCGCCAGAGGAGAGAGGAGGTGCTGCTATTCTCAGAGTGGCATTGCACAGAGCTAAGGAGAAGCAAATTCGATTTGGAAGGACCTCACCAAGTGAGGAAGAAGTAGATTTTTTTGCTTGGGGGTGCTGGCATTGCTGTGTTCTGAGCTCCTGAGGCAGCCCAGTGTCACTCCTCCTGCCTCTGGAGCATGTCTGAAGTAAAGCAGAGCAATGAGCATTGCAAAGCAATGTGAGTAACTTTGTGCTGCCTGAGCCAGCAACCTGGAGCTGCTGCTGTGCAGGGCAGGCAAAGGACAAGGCTTGAAAATCCTCCAGTTTGGCTGGAAGGAAGATGCTAAGGAGGCCTCAGAGCCAATGTTCTCCAGCAGTAAGCACCAGACTAAGCCATCTGCAAACAACCCCAAGGATAGATTGGGCACAGCCTTATTACTCTGGTCATAACTCTGAATTACTATTACTTTAAAAATATATTGGTCTAGTGAAAGCTGAAATTAAGTGGAACATATTGCCACTGCCCTCAGGGATCTGGCATGGAACCACCAGTGAAAGCAGAAATGATCATTAGCAAACAGAACAGAAAGCAGAGCTCTGAGAGTCAGAGGCACTCACTTCAGAACATCTGCCAGATGAGCCATGGCATAAGCTGCAGCGTCAGATTATGTGTGTTGGGCTGTTGGGTTTTGTTGCTGTTTTCTTTTAAAATTGCTGTTTGGACTCCTATAAAGCCATGAATCTTTGCCAAAGACAGTGCTGAGGGTGAAGATCCAGATGAAGTAATTATGTCTAGCACAGGGTCTCTGAGACAACACATTTCCAAACTTGTGTTATCAATGTGAAAGTGAGTTAGCAATAGCAGATTTTTCTAAGTACAAAGGCGGTACAAAGAATGTACAAAGAATGCTTCAGAAAATTAACAAATAAATAAAAGAGCACATTTAAGAGGTTTTTGTTAAGGGATGCAAAATCTGAGCCATGGCTTCAGCCACATTGAGGAAACTACCATGCTAAAAAATACTACCTGCAATTGCTAAAAGTAACTATAGAGTGAGATTTTTTTAAATAATCTCTCAGTTTACTTTTCTTGCATAGAGAAAAAGCTGCTTATTATAAACAATTATTCTTATTTTTATGAAGCATCCTTTCTGTAAGAAGACAAACCAAGTAAACTTTCTAATTTGGAGCCTTGGGAACCACAGCACGTTCCAAAGAAGTTGTCTGTGGGAATTGGTGGTAACAAACAGAGGCCTCAGGTAGGTCACAGTGATATCAAAAAGGGACTTTTCTCACTGCAGAAAAATTCTTGCTCAGGCAGAAGAGGTTATGTCAGTGCGAGGCAAAATGGGAGGGAAGCAAAGGTCTTTGTGCCCAAGACAGTTTTATATGGGCAATAACCTTCCCTTGATGAGATGGCTGAGCCTGGGGATGGGATTTATCTGGTGCTAATGAGCTTTCTGCTGCCTCCAAACACCTGAGACAGCTCAGGGTGTCTCAGAGATTAGCTGACTGCAGTTAGGAACTTGCTTTCTTGTGCTGGAGACTTTTTATTATGCTGACTGCCATTAGGGCTGTGTTTGGTTGGGGAAGGTGGAGGAAGTGGAAAACTGTTATTCTAAGAAGATCTTTGTGCAGAGGTCTGTGCTAGAGGTTCAAGGCCAAGCAATAGATCTTAGAAACTGAATGAATTTCTCAGCACAGCTTTTGTGTTGCTCAGCAGCCAGGAAAACAACCTAAGGATAATGGCTTTTGAGAAAGGTAAAGACTAAATAACTTTTGGTTTTCTCATTAAAATCTTCTCATTATTTAGAAAGATAGTCGCCTAAGACAGCAAAATACTGTTTTGTACTTCAGACTTCCTCTGAACTCTGAAAAGTTTATACTGCAAAGCAGACAGAAAGAACAAAAAAATGGAAGGAACTGCCTGCTCCAGCTAACAAAGCAGAAATTAAATCCATGCTGGGTTATTCACCCACCCTCCATGCAGCCTGAGGATGCTGATTTGGCCAGTGCCAGCTGCTCCGCATTGGTGAGTGACACATAGTCTTTATACTTATAAAAAAATGTACAGTCACTGATAAGCCTCTGATATGCCTTGTCCTTTCCACAACAAAGTTAACCACTGGAGGAGGCTTTGCATGTAAATGAGGCTCTCTTCAGGTTTCAAATCTAATCAAAGTGGAATTCAACTTCCTTCTAAAGGATATGCAAAACTAGTTGGTCAAACATCCTTCAGCCTCTAAGTTTATCGCCAGCCTGACGTCAGTCTGGAAATCCCAACTTTCTTAAGAGTTGATAAATGTTATCTGCCAATCTCTTCCACTGAATAAACTCTGTTTGATCTGCATTAATCACACTTGGCAGAAGCTGTTCAAGCCTGCTAGCAGCAATCCTGGTGAACAGCTTGGCATCATTGCTTAATAATGAAGTGGAACAGTATGAGAAAAAAAAAACCATGAAGGAGCCTCCTTTTCATTGCCACCCCAAAGTTAATGAAACACACATTAAAATGTATGGTTTGAAATATTCAATAGATCTGAAACTGTCTTCTTGTAATCATATTATTGCTCTCAAGGGCAAAACATATCCCTTTCTTTTTCCCTTTTCTGCTGTAATGCTATGTGTCAGAAGTGCACAGGAACAGAAGCACCAGATACTTCTGTAATTTTTGATACTTTTATATCATTTTAATAAATGAATGTTCAATGTCCTGAATTAATCTTCACAAATTTTGCCCAAGAATATTTGAGTCATTATTGCTTTCCTTCCAATATGATGAAAACAGCTCAGAGCTCAACAATTCCTGCCATTTTCCTTAGTAAGGAGAGAGGGCCTGGGACAGGTCTGTGCATCACTTCAGCCCAACAAACCGTATTTTGGGGTGGGCCCTCTGGATATTTAAGCACTGACTGGAACACAGTTACTTTCCACAAAATTTCCAAAGCATTTCCACTAAAATGTTCTGTCTGCTTGCAGGTTCTCATCCAGCAAAAGCTTCAAAACCTCTTTTCTGACTTTGCTCGTGTGTGTGGCTGCACTAAACTCAGTGGGATTGTTGACATGGGGAAAGCCCAGCACAGAAATAAGGAATTGATAGAAACATCTATTAGAAAAAGATGAATAGAGAAATGTGCTCCTGGGGGGTTACACAGCACCTGCCTTGGTTTGGATAAATGGGAAGAGGAAGTAATAAAGAAAGTGAGCAGAGAGGGAAGTACAGAAAGTGGAGTCACAGCACTGAAAAATGAGATGTGAGAATGGAAAAGGACAGAGGAGGCCAAGTGAAAGCAGTGAAAGTATTTAGTTTGCTTGTGGCTAGATGGGGAAAATAATGTTCTTTAAGAAGGGAAAGATCTTCTCCAAAACCTTCCATACAGTTTGTGGGTGTGCAGGGCCCGCTCAGCAATGACTCACAATGTTCTACCTTGGAATCTCTCTTGTAAAAAAGAACATTGGCAAAACTAGTGTGATTGGCAAAGGATAAACACCAATTTACTTTTTCTCCTTAAAAAAGATCATAGACTTCTCCAGAGACATTAAAAATATTTCCATGTTAGGAGTGTGCAGGGATGTAACGATAACATGGCTGATGTTCTTTATAAATGTTCATTCATCTCAGCTTAAGCCTTGAATTTTTGAGACTAAAAGACAACTTAAACACAGTTTTTTCAAAGCATCATCATTATAGTTTTTTGATCCTCTGGGCCTTTTCCTAAACTTTTATTTCTGAAGGCCAAAGTTGCTTTAAAACATATTAATAAGTTAAAAAAAACATATTCCATCCTAGTATTCCAACAGATTTAGTGAATCCATCCTGGTAAAATATAAACTTCTTCCTCTAGCCTATAATATCCACCACTATTGGGATTTTTCTAATTAAAAACTGTGTAATTTGAATCCTGAGAGACACACACCCTCTGAAATCATGGAATATTTTAGTTTAAGTAACAATGGAATTTATTGCATTGCACAAAAGTTTATTACAGAAGAGAAAGGCTTACAATGAGTAAAAAAATTAAGAAATGATGGCATAAACATACATTAGGTAAGACATTAGCATGATGTATGACATTTTTCAGTAGTTTGTATATTCAGACAAAGAAATTAAGAAGGAATTAACTAAGTTATCCAATTTTGGAAGATGTGTCTAAATACTTCAGTTTAATGCTGGCCACAGAAGCTACTTTCATTCTTAAAACAAGCAAATTAATTACTGAAATTTCACTTTGATGCTTGAACTTTCACATGAGACACTTGGAAGTCTATGAAAATTTTTAATTAATTACTCGTGGGCCAAAAGATTTCCTATGACTGGTAATGTGTTTTCTTACTTGCTGACACCTACACTGATATCTCATGAATTTACAGAGATTTGCTATGTATTCATCTCCCTGGAAATACACTTTTGGCTATGCCCACAAATAACTTACATTTTTAATTCTATTTCATTAAAGAATTGCAGTATCCATATGGCAATATATATGTAATGCATACTGTATTAATTCAAATTACTCTCCACTCTCTAAGAAACTGTCAGTTTAATGAGACATCATAAATAAAGTGCAATCTGAAAAAAAAACCTCTCACCTATAATTGCTCAAAGCATGCATTCTCTCTCCAAGCTTCATTTTCACTGCATGTGTAATGTTTTTAAAGTAGTGTTGGATGTAATGCCTTTTACTCTGAACACTCTTCACTTCCTGGCTCAAGTTTCCTTCTTGATATAAGAGGGAAAAGTTGAAATTTCTTCTAGACATGTAGGGAGAGTGCCAGAATACAAATTAAATTCTTTGCAAGGTTTTGATAAGTCAAGAGTCCACTATCTCAGAAGCAGTTAAGCTAATCAATAATGAGGCAATGGTAATTAATTCATGTGCTTGGAGCATCCTTTTACAAACATATGTATAAATATATGTTTATATATATGTGTGTATATATATATATATATATAAATAAATGAGGTGACTAAGGCCACATTCTTTTGTCTCTGTTATTCAAAGGAGCATTTTCTAAACCCTCTACTGAAAACTGAATCTGACCACACAAACCAGGAAAAATATAATAAAAGGAAAAAATGTATGAAATGTATGAAAGAAGAATTATCAAAAAAGCATGGACCCAGAATAAGGACCAGTGTGGAAACAAAAAATTATGGATAAAATCTTCAAAAGCATTTTATTCCCAGGTTCCAAAAAGGTAGACTACACAGAATTGAATTTTACGTCCACCTACTGGAATATCTGCTCTCAGACACATTTTAAACCCAGGAGTCTAAAAGCAACTACTGCCCAAATGCATTTTTGTCAGGAACTTTTGTATCTAAATGTAGATGGTGAGACAAAGACTAAGTTATAATGGCATGATATATAAATACTGGTAACTGCAGTGTCTCAAATTCTTTTTTTAAATGTTTTTTTTGGGGTTTGTGTAAATGGCAGGATTCCTGCAATTTCAGTTCCCTTAAAACTGCTGTATGGTTGGAAAAGGATAATTTATGAGGAATGGTGCTGTTTTGGAAACATGCAGCTTTTAGAATCAATCTGAATTTTTCAGATAAAGGGTAAAAATTGTATTGAGTAATATAGAAAACAGAAGACCTTTTCAAAGGTTAATGTAAATAGCAGGAAACCATTTAGACCATTCTTTTATATTATTATTTTGTTTATTAAGATTAAAGGACTTATTGCTGTTCTGAAGTGAAGCTTCAGTACCCTGGGGAAGGAAAAAAACTTTGCTTAGGAATTCAGGTGCTGCTTACAGACACATGTCCTATGGTGTAAAATATCTGAGGATGCTGCAACAGGGGATGCTTAAAAACTTGCAAGGTGATTGGCAAGTTGGAAATCTTTGCTTGCTTCATCATAGCAAGGCATGGTACCCTTGTATTTATAAAACCATAAAAACCATAGCATGACTTAATTAGCTATGTTTTTATACCTTAGAGAAAATGGTTATTTATTAATAAATTCATTTATAAAATCCGAATTAAAATGGTAAGTACTCTGCTGTATTTCTTTCAGAACATCTCGTCGTTGCAGGATGGACAGAACTGTGAAGGACCTGGAGATTAGGAGGTGATCTCAGGATAATGAACAATGAATGCATGTGCATGCTGGCTAGAAGGACTTGACCAAGATGTTATAAACATTGTCAAGGAGGTGTAAAAATGGTGCAAACACACTTCTGAAGATGGTTCACCAGGATTTCTGGTAAGCACATTTTTGGCTTTGTTTTCTGCTGTAATCTTTGGTGTGGATAACCAAATCATGCCTCAGATTTCAACTTCACAACTACAGGCAGCTGGAATGCTGAGGCAAATGCATTTATCTTCCCAAGGGAAGAAACCAGGCAGGAGTTGCCAATGGGAACTCAAGGGCTACCAGTCTGAATTTTCTTCCTGTATGGATTTGGCTCTCTGGGTAATCTACCAGGTCTCTGTCCTCACCATTTTTTTGGTTTTTCTCAAGTCTCAATTTTGCTGTTGGTGTTCTCTTGTGCTTCTTAAAACCCTGCCGCTCCTGGTGACCGTGGTTGTGTTTTTACTGTAAACTTATCTGGAACTTCTGATGGAACTTGAAGTGTAAACAATTAAACAAATAATCAAATAAGTTTGGTCAGAGTGATGGCAGATTTACTTGTCTTTCAGGTAGCTGACAGTGACTCATTTATTTCCAAATAAATGCCAGTTTTCTTTGAGCAAAACCACATTAGAATAGATAAAATGACATGAGAACCTTTAAAAAGCCCAAGCACAGCATAAAAATGCGTTGTCACTTAAAAATCCCAATTAAAAACGAAAAAGAGACAGACATAGTACACTTGAAGCATTGGATCACACATGCTGCAGATAAAACTAACAAAGCATCACCTGCCTTGTGGAACAGAAAAGAAACCTTGTTTGAACATAAACAAATGAATCTGACAGGATTATTTTTGGCCTGTTTTTAGAGGAACAGAAATGCAGACAGCTGACTACAACAAATTAATTCAGAAACAATGCTTAGAATCATTACTCTTGATAATTAGAAACAATTGCATTTTTTTTCAATATTAAGATATAATGACAAGCACCCAGGAGTAATATTTCCTTTTCTTTGACACATGAGCAATTTTTAACTTTTATTTTAACAATAACAGCTATACTGTGGAATCTAGAATTTGGAAGAACACAGATTTGAACATGTACAGGTGCAGTTTTAATATTTCTTTTAATACAAGTAGCCAAGATTCTTTTACCTCTTGGTTTAACCCTCACATAAGGCCATTGGTCTTCCTTGCAATTATTTTGTACCTTTATTAATTAGGGAAAAAAACATCAAAATGTGAATGTGTCAGAGTTCTGATGGTGACTACAGGGACCTGTCTTGGCAGTGCTATATTTTTCTAAATGTGCTTGCCAAAAAAGATGTGATAATGCTGCCACATCAGATCTCTCAGTCAGCACAGATTCCCTTTAAGAATTGGCTACTATTTCTTCAGGGAGTGGATTTGATTGTTTGTAGGCCTAGGAGCTCACAGAGCAGATCTTCCTCTGTTTTTACTCATGGGATTTTCAAGCACTCCCCAGTTTTCTGGAGATAAACTAGACAGATATATGTAAGCTAATTTGATTATTTGTTATGACAAGGTTAATTTGATTATTATGACTTTGAGGCTTTGAGATCCAGCTCTGTCATCATTTATCTTGCCAGGTGATGCTTTTTTTCCTAAGAATTTCAAAAATAGAACCAGGCCAGGGTTAAATGTGTGTTTGACTCCCCACAGTGCTTATTCCAAGGTATCTCACCCAGGCACCTGACCACCAGCAATCTCCTTTATCCCTGTGGCCTTCATCCTTTGCTGTGAAGATGAGTTTATGCATTAAACCCCTGCCATAATCAGCTTAACAATTCTGCATTTAAGTTCCTGTTTGCAGTTGCTGTTGTCTCTCGGGGCTGACAGAGTTAATGGCAGCCTTCATAAAGCACACCAGTGTTTTTCCTGTAAGGAAAAAAAAAAACACTGAAGCAAAGAACAAGATGATTAAACAAGCATCTTTAAACAAGGCATGGTACAGAGCAGGTAAATAGCTGTGAAACAATTGAGACCTTGTTTCCTGCTTTGTCTTCAGATACGTGTCCTGCTGTGAGCTCGTGGCTAATTGTTTAAAATATTTCCCTCTAGCCTTTTCCTTTGTTTATTTTTTTTTTTAATTCCTTCTATATTCATGGCCAGTAACAGCTACTGCTTCACTCTGGTACAAGCAGTCAAGTCTGAACAAGTAGCAGGCTGATCCATTCCTTGTAATCCTTATCCTTAAAATCCTTATAGCAATGGACACAGAGAAGTTTCATCTTTAACTGAATATGTGGAAAAGAGAACCAGATTTTCCATGATGTAATTGCACCTGAGCTCTTTAATAGAGACAATGAAAGGAGCATGCATTTGTTATTGACTGGGGGAGGAAAGCTAAATGCTCTGCCATCTGGGGATTTTATCGAGCAGCACTTGGAAATATTCTAAAATGAAAGTGAGCAGCCTGATCCATGTGTTGGCAAAGGAGAGAATAATTTGAATTAAATTTGCTACTCTGGGTTCTGAGACAGTATTGGTCATCGTAACCTTGGAGGTAAAAGAGGTCTAATTGCTTTCCTGCAATTATAGGTGGAGTTCATACAGAAATAGTTCCTAAAAAAGACAAAGGAAGTCAACCAAGAGCCAAGTATTGCAAGCCAAATTATCTGCCCACAGAAAGAGATACAACCCCATTGACACTAGAGGAGTTTTATCCACTTACAATAGCAAAGATCTGTCTTCTTACTGAGGTTTGTTGTTGTGCACAGTCTGGCCTGGGGTCATTCTGTAATTACTATAGAAAATAGTGTAGTCACTTGATAACTTCTTCGAGCAGAAAAGCAATTAGCCTGCCAAGTGACTTGATGTTCCTAAGAAGGTGCTGGAGTTTTGGAGGCTGCAGGTTTTCAGCAGAAATAAGTGGAAGGGGGAAAAGTCTGGCTGGCAGAGTACAAAGGAGAGGTCTGGCTAGGGAGATAGAGATGGCCACTTTAGGGATTACAGCTCCCAACAAAAACTCAAAGCTTTGAGGCAGCGCCAAACTCAGAAAAACACTTTGCTGCCACTTGCCATAGTGGGAAAAACAACTGGAGATGCCTGAACAATTTCCCCAGGCTACTCTAGGCTGGTGAGCAGCAGCCACGTCCTACCAGATCAGTTGTCACATCTTTTGATCCAAAATATTATTGGTGCAAAAAGGAAAGAGATCCTTCTGTTATTAGCATTATTATCTAACTAATATAATTTATAATGTGTAAAATGCTGCTTGACCTGTGCTTCAGCCAAATCCAAGCTTACTGGATTAGGATGGTGCTAGTGAAATCTCAGTTTACTTGGCACAAAGGCAGAGAGGGAAATGTTACTGGATATCTCAGATTGTTGCAGTATTGTTATCACAATAGCACAAAGTATTATTTTGTTATGGAAATCAAGACAATTTCTCTCAAACAGAAAATAGATGCAACACATGATGGACTGTGCAACGTCTGAAAAAACTGCTTAGGTGGTTGGGAATTGAAGAATAAATTAAAGTGCAGCAACCCTAAAGAATAATAACCATTTTTTGACTCTATTAGAGGGGAAAATTATTTTGCAAAGTGTGATTTACCTGGTTCCATAGAGCAGGCTGTATTGCAAGCCTCTGTTGCATTTTCTTTTCTTGTTATAACTCTCAAAAAACAATTTTGAATCAATATGATGTGGAATATTGGAATGTCAGTATCTATTGAAAATGAGCTGGTTTATGCTGATCTGACCTAATTAAAATCAATGCAGATATCTTAAGAAGAATATTTTCTTTTGGTGATGAAGCCACATAGGGTTATTTGGTAAATAAAATGCTCCCAATTGTCTGCTTTTTTAGATAAAATGTTTATGTGATTGAATCTCTGTTTATCAACAACTAATGTTCTTTTTTGTTCCATGCAAACTAGATTAAAAATGAAAAGACTCATAAATCACAGTAAAATTTCTTTTAAGAGATGGGAATATACATATATAAATGTGTACAATAGTTTTTTTCAGACCTGCACATTACTGACATTAGTTGGAGCAAATAGAATGCTAAGTCCATGTATATCTAAAAGCTTTATGTTTCTAAATGCAGGAGAAATAGTAGGATTGTATTTCCCCATCTACTTTCAAAAAATAAAAACAAACCACCAGCCACTTATTAATACAAACTCTTTTTAAAATCCCAGTCAAGTTCCTAGAAGGCTCCTGCCACCCGGATTGGAGTTTTGTAAAAGTCACTGTAAATTCAAATCTGTGCAATGCCATGCCTCTGAGAGACAAGGAATGCAGTCTAGATCTGAGGAAAAGGAGGGTAAATGTTTTCTTCAGACTAGAATGCACATTATCTAAGTTCATAAATTATTCTTGAAATCTTCACTTTTTAAGGTAGAAAGAAAGGGAGGGGTGGGAAGCAGTCTCAAGTTGATATTTTTTAAGGGAAACTTTAAAAATTAGTTCTCACTTTCGTTTTAAAAGGAGAAATATACTTTCTGTGTTCAAGAAAGTAGATTTTGGTTAAATTTAAGTGGCTATCAAGAGCTTCAATACAGAATTCACTTCGTGCATCAACTCATCTCAGAGGGTGTATGACACAGGAGCTCTCACTACTCCTCAGGGACTGCAGCTGGTGGGAGGCTTCCTGAGAGAGAAACAGGAGTCAGGGCATACAGAATGTCTTATAAGCACCAATGATTTGATCCTTTCCTATTTTCTAGCTTTTGTTGGGACAAAATCCTGCAGATTCATGAGCAGGGATCCTACAGATCTCACCTAAAAGAGTGCAATCTCCAAGGTGAGGAGAACTCAGGTAAAGTTTTATAACAGATGCATATTTATGAGCATGTATCCCTTTTCAGGGATATTAGATGTAAGAGCAGATGTAATGAACTAGTTTAGTTCAAGTGTGAGCCTGTCATTGCTGCAAGCTGGGAGTAAGAGTTGCAGCCAGCAGAGTTCAGTCTGCAAGTATTTGACATCCATATGCAATGTCAAATAATTTTCTAGGGCCAGATAGTCATGAATAAAAGTTCACAGATTAATTCCACACTTTTCTCCGCTACAATTTTTAATGAGTTCTCTCACTTTGAGATTTACATAAGGCAGCCTGTTAAAAATTAAATTGAGATGCTTCCACCATAAATCTGAACATGCTGTAACATCAAACTCTACTTGGGCAAAGTAAGCTTTTAGAGGTTGTTTTTTTTTTTTTAACAACATTTAGGTTTTTGCATTGGTTTTGGAATGCAATTTAATGAAAGTTTTTGATCTTGTAAAGGCTCTTTGGATACCTTGAAGAAAACTTTGCTTTCAGTCTAATGTAATGACTGTAATTGTATTTGTCCCTCAGCCCCTTCACTCAAGTATAAAACATGTAGTGGTAAGGCTTGTACAAGGCAGGCTGTGTACATTCACAGGTAAAAGCAGTCTTAATGCAATTAAGTCAGCTAATTGTGAGAACACAACTTGGTCTAATGCTTGTCCTGTCATTGTATAAAACTGTACCCAAGGGGAAAATGTCATGGGAATATCAGAGATGACTCCTGATACAAGGAGTCCTGCCTGTTTTCTTTATTTCCACCTATGGAAGTTTCACCAACTCACCCTCTAGTAAATCCCTGGGCTGGCTTTGATGCACCTCCTGCTTTGGATTGCATTTCCAGCAGCTTTTCTTCTCTCATCCCACATGCACTCCCAAATTACCCATCCTGACAGCTGTTTGCAGTAAGCCAGCATCACAGTTTTAATGAGCTGGTTTGTGAAATTTACTCTTTTTTTTTTTTTTCCTCTGAAGACATATCAGGCATTGCAGACCTCTAATTAGTGGTACTTATAGTTAAAGTTCAATAGTCAAGTCTTTTGAGGCATTAAGAGATTATATTCTTTAATAGCTCTGAAATTAATGAAAAACATCATTTTTGCTTCTAATTTCTCAGCTTTATTGATATCAGGATATAATTTTGTGTCATGGAATGTGTTCATTATGTCTTCAAGAGGCTGTACTGGTGCATTGGCATGTCACCAGAGCAGGGAAAAAGCTCTTGTCTATCAAAGAACAATGAAACCTAAAAAATTGAATGAATCAAAATTAATGTGTGTGTGTGTGTTTGTTTCTGTCAGGGAGGACTTCTACTTTTTTATCCTTGGCTATGATCTTGCAATAGATCAAATTGTCCCTTCTCTTTCATTTGACTGACAGCAGAGCCAACACTTGCTGAAACTTTTTTTTCATTCCTCACGTTTCCTTTCACCTTTTTTTTTTTTAAACTTCATTTTTCTCTCTTGCTCTCTAGAGATCCATCACAGCAGCGTGCAGCTCCCAAGTGTAATCTTTGATTTGTTTGGCAGTGTATGTCTAAATCAAAGAGAAGGGGCAGAAAACTATCCTGACTGATGTGCAACCTTATAATGATTTTCTTCCATAATCCCTCACAGAGTGTCATTCAAGTAAAAGATAAATAATTACTTTAAAACAAGACCTCAGAGTTCTGCATGTCAAAAGCTCATTCTGTATCTCAGTTGCAAGGAATAGTCTTTCTTGTCGAACAGTCAGTCAATTAAAGAAAAAACAAACAACCAAACAACAACCCAAAATCCATAACAATAAGGAGCCAAAAAACTTGAAATATTCCCTAACAAATCAGTGATCCCAGCTAGTCGGAGGAGTCATAAAAATTGATCCCAGGCACCCCAAATATTCCTTTCTGTGATTAATGTGTTAGAGCAAAAGTCAATGAAGATTGCCTTGAGTTACTTTCCCACCAAATTAAGGGTATTGAGTTGTCAATACACTTCAGGCTTTGCAGATCTTATCAGATGTAGCTAAAATCTGCAGTGTAAGAACATTTTTCTTCCTACTGTAGTGTTCAATTGGAGAGCGATTTCAAGTGTTTGTTGTCAACATCAGAAACATTCAGCAAATTTTAGGCTCTTTTTCTTTAATGGAGCTGCTTATGTTTTGTAATTATGGAGTATATTTATTTATCTGTAAGATTTGCGATTCTGCTTCCAACATGTCTCTTTACTAGATATATCACTTTGCTTACCCTATTGCAGCATATTTTGTCATATTTAAAGAAGAACTCTCAGCCCTTGAGTGCAGCTCTCCCAGGTTTTAGGCCAGTGTAAAGGAAACATCCCAGTGCATCTGCATGAGTTACACTCCTGTGATAAACTTGTGGCAGAAGAAAAGGAGCCAACATGTGCATTTCTTCAAAGGTGAGTTCATTTTTTCTCTCTCTTGAGTTCTTCACAATTTTTTTAATGTACTTTTGGCTTTGGTCATGTACCCTGCTAGCCAGCATCAAGTGACATATAAGAACATTTATTAGCTGAGCCCTAAATCCCCAAATATCCATTTCAGTCTGGAGACCCCCTTGGCACACAAACTTTTATCTTCTAAGCTGTTTGAGTTCTGTGAATAGCCAGCAGCGCAGCCATCACACCTGAGCTAATGGCAGCAATTTCATGCCCTAGGACCATTTTCTATGCTTTGAGAAGTTTGTTCTGCTGGGCAAATTCAGAGTATTGCCTTTGCAATCCAGCAGTGACTTCAAAACTGTAACCAGAGGAAATTAACCAGTCTCTGATTTTTGGACAACTTAACACATCTCCCATCTAGGGAACGAAAGACTTCCTTTCTTAAATATCACCTTGTATTGCTTTCCTACAAGATAATCATCCTCATTAATAATTAGAATCACAGTTGTTTTCAATTCCCCTTTATTGTCTGTTTGGCCCTCTGAATCTTGGATATTTTAGTAGTATGGTGGCAATGAAGTGTTTCTTTTCCCCAGATTAGTGAACATCTCTCTGCAGAGAGCATCACACAGGAAGGGCAAAGCTATAAACTAAAACTGCTTGTGACCAAAGAAGATCAGGAATTGTACTTCTACTCTCAGGTAATTTTATCTTGGCATAATTGTAGATTAGCAATAATGAGTTGCATTGTTATCCTACTGTCCTAAAACCCAGTCATCCTTCTCAAAAATTCACTTTGTGTAAATTCCACATGCAGGAGTGCATTTCCTATATGGATTGTACAGACTATAGCCTTGGATCAACATTTCAAATGCACATTTCTTGTAGGAGCACTTGTGCTGTTTGGGGTGTTGTGAATCTCCCTGTTAGCTGGAAGTCTCATTGTCTTTATTCACTTAGGAGAGAATTTTGGCCCTAAGCTGAATTTGTGACCACAGAATCTGGCACTGGATTGCTGTGGTCTTTTATTTGCACACATTCACTGTAAATGCAATCAGAAACCCAGATTGCTGAGCTATGGACATGGCCATCATCTCTGCCAGACTTGATTGGGCTGTATTAAATAATTATGCAAGCATGAAAAAATATCCATAGAGACAATGGTGAAAGACCTCAAAGTACCAAAGGAATGAAAGTTAATTTCATTCTCTTTTCTATTAGAATATTCAGAAATATTCTGAAGTACTTTATGGAATCATTAAATACATGCTTATTTTATGTCCCTATAACATATAACATTATACAGTAACATAATTATCAGTTATTATTAATTTTTTGTGTATATGTGAGCTAGACTTTGCTGTTATTAGTAATTCAGCTGGTGCATAAAATTATACAAGACTGAATAAAAATAGAATCCAGCTTGTTGTAATGCTTTTTGTATTCAAATCATCCCAAAGTAGTATATAGAATATGTTGTTGTTAGGTATCATTAAAGACCTTCCATTATCTAGGAAAAGCTGTTTGATGGTTTCAAAGATAATTGAGAAGAAGTTTCTCAACATAAGACTAAAAAGTTAAAGCATTCTCAAACAAATTTATCCTACAGAGAAAAAGCTGGGGAGAGAACTGACTTTTGTCCTTTCTTGGTCAATAGGTGCTATTAAATCTCTAAAATCATATTAAACAATATTTTAGGGAACTGACTTAAATCCACAAGGGGAATAAAAAAGAATGAAGGCAGATATTTATTCTGAAATTTCATACTGTTGCAACTGCATTTCAGAGGCTGATGATACACCATGAGCATGTTATTATTCACTTTGGTCAGACAGCAAGGGTTAAGATAGGAATATCATCCCAGGCATTAGCCATTAATCTGGGTATCTCATTGCTTTACTGAGGTTTAGGTTATACAGATAATAACTCCAGGCCATATTCTGACACCTTTATTCATGCTGAATGGCATCTGAGGCAGCATCAGGTCCCACAAAAATCAGAGGGTTATTTACAGGGAAATGCATTAGTCAATGTAGCAGAATATTGTCCTTTGGCAACATCTGCAGATGGAATTGTGCTGTAAAACATTACTGCACCAGCCAGAGCAGGGTGTCAGAATGGCTTTGTATACAAATTTGAAACAGATTCTGAGATAGTGGCTCCTGATAATGTCATTTTTCTCTCTTTTTCAACGTGTGATTCCTTGCCACAGAGGTGTAATGACAGTACAACACTAATATTTTATCAAAGAATGACAGTCAGACTATGGATAGGAGTTATCAAAGTTATAACACCGAGACATGTTTGGGAGTCAAAGTCAGGAAGAAATTCACTGTGTTGATCTTAAAAACTGTTTTAGTTTAATGTAGGCTGCTTTATGATTCTGTGTCTTCTTTTCATGGTTTTGTTGCTTTATTCTGCAAACAAAATCACAGACAATTGTTTTAAAATGTACTTTAAACTTCTTTTGGAAGTAAATTAGACTGTTTTGAAGCCATTTCAGTCTACTTGAGTCTGTGTGATAGCCATAACATTGAAAAATATTATTGTAAGGCTTGTAACAGTAATATTTGCAAATGGTAAGTTCCACTTTAATAACCCCAAAGAACTACACTTACAAGAAACTGGTTTTTTGGGGAAATTAAAATAGCAGAGAAAAGATATGGAAAAAATTAGCAATGGAAAGCCTGCATTTTAAGAGACAAGAGAAAGAACATTTTATTTGATTTAGTCAGATATCTGGTTTCAGCACGATGATAGTAGTTTGTGTAATCAAAATCCCTCACATCAACAGCTAATAGAAAATAACTAAATGTTATTGTGCACTTCCTGATACCACAAAAATGACTGCACATAATGAAGTCTTGCCAGCAGATATCAATTTTTACTTCAAGGGCAGAAACTACAGGAGAACCTTGGGCCTGACTTCAGGCATCTCTGCCGTTTGGATCTCATGGTGCTGCATCTGTGTCTTCAGCAAGATTTATGAAGGAGGGACAGGTACCTGTGCATGTGAGAGCGTCCTAGGAGGTCTTATAAGGTACTGAGGGTATCTGTGACCGGGTTCACAGGGTCTTAGGATGAGGGAAGAGATGAGGATCTGACTCCATGTTTCAGGAGGCTGATTTATTATTTTATTATATATATTACATTAAAACTTTACTAAACGAATAGAAGAAAGGATTTCATCAGAAGGCTAGCTAAGAATAGAATAATAAGGACTGATAACAAAGGCTTGTGGCTCGGACTCTCTGTTCAAGCCACCTCACTGTGATTGGCCATTAATTAGAAACATCCAAGATGGGCCAATCCCAGATGCACCTGTTGCATTCCACAGCACAGATAATCAATGTTTGCATTTTGTTCCTGAGGCCTCTCAGCTTCTCAGGAGGAAAAAGCCTAAAGAAAGGATTTTTCATAAAAGATGTCTGCGACATGAAATGAGGCAGAAAAAGCCCTGCACTGCTGCCTATGTCTTTCAGAGGTTTCCAGCACTGCAAACACCTTGTTGGTGGGAGCTGCTCTGTTCTGCCAGGCAAGAGTTGGTCCTGTAGTGCTGTACAGCACATTATCAAGCTGCCAAGGTCAGTGGTTAGTCCCTACATTGTCACTTTTGTTAGTGATTAGTCCCTATATTGTCACTTTTGTTAACAAGGGACATAGAGCTTATATTGCTTGTAGAAGCTGAGAAAACCTTTCTGGAGCCTTTCCAATGTTTTTCACCCAAGATGTCAGATCTCTTGCCTGAGAGTGTTGAACCCTGTTAAGATGTTTGGGCTCCTGATGGAGCTGGACAGAAGTTCACAGCCCAAAAAGTGAGGTATTTGAGCAGTCCTCTGTATTGGAACAGTCCCTCTGTCTGGAGTAAAAATGTGTTCATGCTTTGAGGAGACGTGTAGTGGGCTTGGGGATTTATCAAGCGTGTTGAGGAGAGACATCAGGCACTGAAACACTCCAGAGGACATCTCCCTCCCACTCAGACCAGAAAATTTGGGGTTTGGTAAGGTGTTTCAGGAGCATTGCTTTTTCTCATGCTGAGAACTCCTGCACCACTTAGTGCATCAGTCATGGACAAAATGGATGTGGCTGTAAAACGTGATCTCACCCACACCTTCCTCCATCAGACAGTTCACCCAGCAGAACCTCCCATGGTTCACCTCCCTGGCTCTCTCATTCTTTTAAGGGAAACTGTTAGATGATTCTCAGAATGTTTATGTGCTCCTTTGCTGTGCTGACATCATCCTGCCAGGCTCTGTCCCTGTCTTCCACTGTTACCCAAAATCTGCTATTTCCTCTGAAGGTCTTTTGTGCTTTTTGTCTCTATTGCTGCTTTCTTTCCTTGTCTCCCCCCAAAGATTGCTGATCTAGCATATGAAAATGAGATTTTTCAGAAGTTAAAACTTAGACAAGTTTTGTTATGAATCTTTCTCATGGAATAGCATTGAAGTGTCCATTACATGAAGGTGACTGTCTCTCCTGTCCCACTCTGTGCCATCTGCTCCTGCTGTCACTTTGCCAAGTTTCTGCAGAGCAAATATAAGTTAGAGCTTTTCAACCCAGCTGTGGGAAAGCCTTATCCAGCCCCTCAAAACAGCTAAAACAATTTGTCTGAAAATGCCCCTCTCCCTTTTCCCAAAGATGCAAATCTACACGAAAAATTAGTCCAAAGGAGACACAAGCAGTTTGGAAAGTTCCATGTTAAGTGACAGGATAATGAAAACATCCAAAAATGAGAAATGTTGTGCAGGTTGAAGATTGGCTGAAACTAAAGGCAGAACTTTTAATTAGAATCCAGATAGTGAAAGCAGCACAGCTACTGATACCAGGGCTAAAATCTGCTCTTGGGTAACTATTTTGTAATGAGTTCTATCATCTTTCAGCAGAAACATTTGCGCAGATCCAGCTATGAATTTCAGCCTGGATTTGCAAGAAGTCATGTTTGATTTTGATGCTGGTATCATTACCAGTTAAAGCTGAAATAATTTCTGTCATTATATATTCCATGCTATGAGGAGAATAGATAGCAGCAGCATGTTAGGATGGTAAAAAGATGAAAAGTTTTAAATATAATTACTTTAAAATATAATCAGATTACACTATTGGGCATTATAATACTTCATGACATGCACAGTGCCACAGATGGAAATTTTAATTTTTACTATTGATAAATTATTACTTTATAACTTCCTTGAAATTTTTGATTCTCCTTATGGGAGAGTTCCATGGAAACAAATGTGAAGTCAGCAGAGTTGAAATGTGCAGTGTGGGTGGTGAAATGGCCAAGGTGATCACTTTGTTCTGGGTTTAGTGGTTGTAGACAATTGTCTTTGATTTATTAAAAGTAAAGAATGCACATTAAAATAATTGAGACCCCAGGAAGTACAAGGAACAAAAGACAGGACTTCCTTTGGTAGACACAGAGGTACAAATACAATATTAATGCTCAGTATAGGTAAAGTAATAAATTGTCTGCTAAACAAATCTGACTGCATTGGGAATCTGAGCCTTTCCAGGAATTTATACTAATTCCTAATCAATTTGTGTTCTATACATAATATGAGTAATAGGAGAGAAAAGCAAATTGAACACTTCTATTGTGGCCTAGTAATTAAATTCTGTGTCTTAGGACATTGTCCCACCACAAAAGTATTTTCAAATAAATGGGTGGCTTATAAGTGCAGCTTTAATAACATTGACTTAGTTACATTCCAGCCTACCACTATATACCTGTGCTTTTAAAATTTAAGGCAATGTTTCTAGTTAATCCTCTTTAACACAATTGGAATTTCTAAAACATTTGCTCTGAGATTCTGCATTAAAGTTTAGTGGTTGAACTTTTGTCTGGCAATCAAAGAACCACTGCATCATATTGATTGCTGCTGCCAAGTGCCTCTCAGTCCTTAGGACTGAGCAATTTTCTTGGGGAATTGGAGCTAACTAGGGCTAGAACCAGCTCACCCCTGTCTCAGTCTCTGGCTGTTTGCAAAAGCAAACTTCTCCAGTGACTTGAAATCTTTGCTCTGCAGACTGCTCCTCACAGCAAGCAATAATTTAAGGGTTAATCTGCCTTATCTTCTGCCTCTCTTTTAGATGATCTCTAAATTCAGCTGACAGATTTAAGCCTAAGACTTCTCCGACTGCAAGGCCATTCCACAATCTTAACCCTACTTTACCTCCTTTATTCTTCTGACAGATCTACAGTGATTTGGTTATAGGACTTTTTAAAAGGACCATCTCCATCCTGAGTGTAGTCCTATAGGCTGTGGTTTTGTAAATACCTGTGATGATCTTTGTCTAAGGAGATGAGAAGTGCCTGCTCTCATCAGAGCAGAAGAGCTTATGCACTTCAAAAATCTGATCACTTTTTTGCTACAACACTTTCCCCAATAAAACAAATCCCTTCTCTCATAAGATCCTGCCAGGTTATTCTGGGCAAAATAAGTTTCTGCAGTAGGACTTGCTCCTCTGATCATCAGTGCCAGAGAGCAGAGTGGCTAGCAAGGAGAAGTTGTATTCTCTACAATGCAGAGGCCAATTTAATCTTATGAGGTGCAGGCATCAATCTTAAGATGCCCTGCTGAAAGCAGTAATAGCAATTTAGTCAACAGAAGAAACAAACATATTTATGAAGTCCTGGCCCCATTGAAGTCAATGGCAAAACTTCTATTAACTTCAGAGTATTCTCTTTTCAAATACTGTGAAGTACAGAAAAATGGGCCCTGAGAAATAGCTGCAGCACCCAGACACAAAAGGCCAGCTGCTCCTTTCCCCTTTAAGGGCACTTTCTTTCATCCATCAGCTCCTGCCATCAACCTTCCCATCTGGAAGCTGTGCCTAAGATCACAGGTAACATTACAAATGATGTGATGTTTTCCTTCTGTTAAAACTCTCTGCTTTTGAACTGCCTGCCTGCACAGCCTGAACCAGCCTAGGACAGAATAAAGGAAATTCTCCCAAAGGTAAGCCCCAGTCTGCAGTGCTGATATGAAATAGGGATTGATTCCTTCCATACCCATCACCATCACTGCACATTATCCTTGCTGTCCTTTGAGGCCAAGCCTCATAGCTCATTGGGGGTAAAGGTGTTTGCAAGCAGCACAGGGTCAGCCCAGCTGAATCCCTGCTCTTTAGCAGTGCTGCAAATACCACTTTTGCTGGAGTTTTGGTTGGTTGGTTTGTTTGTGTGTTTTATTTTTCTTTGTGGCTTGTTATTTTTAAATATCGTATATGTGCTTGATCTCTTCTCCTTTTAAATAAATAGCAGTGGCACTTGGGAAGTCAAGAGGGAGAACAAACAAAGTTTGTTAGCACTAAAGCCTTTATTTTTGTCATCCTGTCAGCTCTACTACATGGCAGGGGATAAGGTTCAGATGAAACAGCAGGACTGATCCTACATCAAAATAAGGAATGAGCCCTTCTGCTTAAAACTGTGCTCATATGAATGCAACCATTGAATGGTAAGTGGATCTTTGAAGCTGAAAGCTTAAAAATAAGATTTCAGGCATTTAAAAATACACACACACACATGAATCTTTCTGAGAATTTGACACTTCATTCCTACTGCATTGTTGGTGACAACTGGATGGCCAACCAAGCGCTCCAAGCTCAAACATCCAAAACAGCAAATCCATAAATAAGGGTGTCAAGCAGTGCAGAGAGGACTTGGGAGTTCTCTTCAGACATCTCTAGTAGTTTAAAAACAAACAAACAGTCAAAAACCCAGAAAGACTTCCCCTGCCTGCTATTGAGAATCAAAAAGAAGGATACATAAATCAGTGAAAACTGATTGCAAATATCTGAGTGAAATTTTGTGAGAACTTTTTGGCCATGGGTGCTGATTATTCAGTGACTTTCATTAGAAGCTTCTTGTTGCATTTGGATTGTTTACGTATTTAGTGCAAGATGTTTTCATACAAACCTTCCTTTTTATGGTTGGCTGAGTCCTTTTTTCAGAGTATAGCATGGCAGTAAAGCAATAGATGTGGAGTTTATAAGAAGCTCTACAATGAGACAAATCTAAGTGTTTTGATCAAAGGCATGGCTGAAGTGATAAGAAGCCAGTGTTCCCATAATATCCAGTATAGAGTTTAATATCTTTGTATCAGTTCTTTATCTCTGAACACAAAAACAAAGAGGAGCCAGGTGATCAACTCTGGTTTTAATATCACAGAAAAGAGGCTGGATTTATCTGTAGGAGCTCTGCAAGGTTTGTTGCTGTTATCCCAAAGGCCAACACCAGTACCACTATTACCATATCTGCTTTGTTAGTATTCAGTCACCCTCAGCCATTGCCACAGTGCTCCATGAAAGAGGGAAAGAATTTGGAGTTGTGCAGACAGGATGCAGGCAGTGGATGGAGAAGACAACAGAGGGGTAGAAAAGCCATGTCACCTTTCAGCCAAAAATGCTGAGGATGACATAAAGCCATGCCTACAAACACAAAAAAAACCACCCCCCAAAAAAGAGAGACACTAGAAGGAGCAGGGTCAGATAAAAGTTGGATGAATTGAAAGGATCCAAAAATTAGAAGATATTGTGCCATTGTTGAAGTTTCCATTCTCATCTCTGCTTTTTTTTTTCTCTGTTGCACTAGACTGGTTACTGACTGACAATGTGATTAGGCTTTTGGTCTTTTGATTTCACAGCAGAGAATGCAAAGTTATTTCAGTGCTTCTCATTTCCCACCTCACTCACTTCATATCTTTACAAGTTTAGGATTGTTTTGCTTCCTTCCCTTCTTTATCATCCCTTTCTCCATTTACAATACTTTGCATACTGCAGTTCTGTGCCCCATTGATGTGCAATCTGCAATAATATACAATTATCATATACAATTAGGTGACATTTTACTCCCTTTTTTGGTAGTAAGATATCTGTCTTAGGATGATTTTTTTCTACTGCCATTGCAAGCATCCATGTTTAAAAGCTATATCTTTTGTAACAATAAGAAGAAATAACTGAAATCAGATTCAAAATGAGGACATGTTAGATACAACTGGGTCTCTTACATTCCTTACAAGTTTTATTCATCTTTACCGTGGTTCAAGAGATTTTGCTTCACTGTGATTCTCTATTATGATTCTGTAAATCAAAATTATTTAAGCTTCAAGCTGGAAAAGAAATAAAGAAGGAAGAAATTACCTAAAATGAGAATGCATCTCTTTTTCCAAAATATTGTTTTATGTACAAGTCCCAGCAATTTGTCACTGTGCCACATTGCACTTTCATGTCTTTATAGCATTATTGCTTAACTTTTTTTATTGAAATTTTTGATACAGCATAAAGACAAGACAAGTAAAGCCCAAGGGACGAAGCATTTGATTTATGTATGCTTCTCTTATGTGTGACAATAAACAAACAAAAAAAAAAGCAAATCTATTTCTCCACCAGATGTATGAAAGTAAACACAGATGAGGAAGTTTCAAAGGAGAACAGCATTAATGGCAAGTAAAACATAACCAAACCATCAAAGGGATCTCTGGTGCAGTATTTCTTTAACAAGAATAGTGAAGAACTTGCTACAAGGAAAAAACCACCCAAGTTCTTGTCACAGTGAAATGATGACAGAGCCTGCAGAGCATGCTAAAAGGAGCAAACTAAACATGGTAATTAGACTTTTTGCTTGTCAGTGCAGCCTCTGAAGACTTAAGCAGGCTGAGCTGAAATATCAAACCAGAGGAGGAATTGCCTGCAATAGCTATAATGGCAGAATGTCATTGGAACATGTTCAGGTTTTTGTGGGGTTTTTTCCTATTTTTTACCACAGTCCAAAGAGTTTACCTCTGTCCCCCACTGCCAGTATTTTGGCACTTTCTGGCTCTGTGAATGTGGTTTGCTCTCCAAGAGTGGCACACACAAGCAAAGCTCCCCATGCTGGGGACTGCCATGTGGAAATGCCATCACTGCTGCTACCAACCAGAGCAAACTGCTCATTGCACACCTCTAAACAAGAGGATTGTGTTTCAGAATTCTGCTCAACTTTGTATTCCACTGGAATAATTCCTGTGGCATGGTCAGAGAGGTGACACCAACTCTCAGTTATTCTCGTTTAATCAAGGAGCCATTGTAGCTTGCACCAACATACCCAAACTGGATCTTGAAAGTTCATTTATTCTGAGAGTCATTTCCCACTTTCTGGTCATGGTGACAATGTCACAGAGGCAGCTGCCCTCTGATTGGAGAATAAATCCCAAAGTGTTCATTGATGCTCACCCTGGGCCACACACAGGTGCCCTGTGTTTAGAACCCTTTCAGCTGCTTGCAATGAACTCTGGTAGAAGTAATTTGTGCCATGAATTGCAGGAATGCTGAAAATATCTCTTTATTTCACCAGGTTCCTTGCTGCCAAGAGGATTTATTATGTCAATGACTCATCCTGCACTCTACACTGGTGAGTAGCTGATGTTTCTGCAGCAGCCTCAGAGCTGTGACAGAGTGACTCCCACAGTGCTGAAACCCTGGCTCCAGAGGGGTATTGGTGCTCCTGCTCTGTATTTGCTGAGAATTTAGGTGATCAAGTCATTTTTGAATATGTTTCTCATCCTCTGCTGTCCCTGATATTCTTTCTCACCCAAATCTATTAATAATGGAGGTTTTGTCCAGTTGGAGGGGGTTTTGTCCCATTTTCTCTCAGTGTTTCTCTGGGATCCCCCATGATATCAGCAGCTTTTTGGCATTTCACCATTAGCAGCCATTTCAGCCTCATTTTTTGGAAGTCCTGGGGATGCAGCCCTGTGTCCTCCTTGCATTCCTCCTGCCAAGCTTGCTCAGATCTCTCAGCCATCCTTCTTTGGATAGCAAAAATTGAGTGGAATCAAAGCTCTGTAGGAACAAATTGGCCCTGCTTTATATTTCATGAGGTCCTTGTATTCCTTCACACATCTCTCTTCTGACTCCTCAACCAACCACTTCACTTCTTTTTTTTTCCTATTCCCTTTTGTAATTGTAGCACCCCACAGTGCTCTTCTTCCTCAACATAAATTTTTACACACATTTGTGTCACTTCATCCAACTCGCTCAGGTCATGCTGACCTATGAAAACAGCTGCTGTTCCCTTTCCAGCAGCTTCTGCCAGAGAGATCTGAATAACTTCTCCCCTTGACATTAAATTGGTTTTGCATGTCTTGTTTTTCAGTGAAAAACTTGGAGAAAGAGATGAAAATAAGAAACATTAACATTAAGAGATTTTACTGTTGTGGTACTGGTCATAGAAATCTTGAGATTAGTCCTCAGACTACAGACTGCAAGTCACTGCTTTACTCTTTAGAAAATTAAAGTAAAGTATGAATAAATGCAGCAATCCATCAAAGCATAGTCAAGTATAAACTAAAGGCCACAATTATAGCAGAGTGAATAGTTTTTTCTGTCTCATCACATCTGTCACACTCAAGAAGTTCATGAATTCTGAAGAAGTCTTCTCATTTAAAATAGAGGGAATATCTCCTGTATACTGAGATATTGCTTATATTGCTTATGTGGGAACTTCTGTACATGTACAATGAAATATAAATATATATATATATATATATATATTTTTCATATTTTGGAATTAGCCAAATCTGAAAAATTAAATAAAAGCTGTTTATACAAGATCAAGGTATGTGGTCATGCCCCCAGCTGCTTTTCTTGGGGATTACAGTAATGCGCCACTACAAATTTGCAACTGCTGCTTCTGATTTGTTCTGCCCTGATATAATCAATCTGAATTCCTGGTCTCACCCAGTGCTGCCACAAAGATGACTCGTGGAAACAGAGCAAAATGCAACAGATCCTGCCCCAGAGCTGATGGCTGTGACATGGTGTCTCCACCACAAGGTCAGTCAGTTCAGAGCTGAGTGCCTCTAACCTTCCTCTTTCTTGTAAATTTAATTGCTGTGGTTGTTAGCTAATGTCCTGAAGAAAAAATAATGGAAAGGATGCAACCAGCTGATTTATATTTATTTATTCTATATTTGAATGTTTTACCGATTAAGAAAGTCATAGCCTGAAATGGTGAGTGCTGCTCGAACAGGAATATTTGCAGTGCTGGCTCACCAGATTAGCTGAGTGCAATATTGCATTTTCAGTGGGTTGTCTGTGCATGTCCTAATTCAAGAATGCACCAAACATTGCTGTTTGCTGCATTCTGGAATTAAACTGCCCATACTTTTGGATTCTTGAATTAGACTGCCCATATATTTGGATGCTACTTATGTTTACACTTAAGCATGCTGTCCAGTGATGGGGTGAGTTCCTAAAAACCTCCCTCATAAACAAAGCAGAGACTGAGAGGCTTTAAAATTCAAATTATGGGATTCACAATTATGGATTCAGTTGCACTGGTGTGAAACTGTGTGGTTATGCACACTTTTTCTGCCTGGTATGCATGTGGGCAGGAGGGCAAGGGAAGCACTGAGACTGTGATTTTTAAACAGTTAGATTTAATCTTTGGGGTTTATCTGATTTCCTTAAAATTACCAAAAAAAGAAAAAAATAGTGTGTGCCACTCCCTTCCCAATTTAGTCCCTTGCAGTGAAATCAAGCACTAAGATAGGTCTGGCCCGAAAATTGGACAATGAGATAATTTAAATGCAACAGGAGATGGTCCAGAACTGTGTATTGGCTTTGTTCGCACAATCTTTTTCTGTTGTTATGTTCACTTTGTTGAACAGTCTTGTACCTAAGCAGGAATGTTACTGCCTTGACAACCACTGAGGCCAAGTTCCCAGAAACCTCTTCCAGCCACTTTTTGCAAGCTTGACTAAATGAAAATGTCGGTCACTTTAGTGACAATGTCAGGAAATAAAAAAAAAAAAAAGTCACCCCAGAGACACCCCAGTAGAGAGGAACTAATTAGCAGTGGGAAATGGGAGTAAGAACAATTTTCTTTTCTCAGGGAAGACATTAGGTTTTTGTTTTTTACTTGGATATTAGTGCCATAAAGCCTTGATATGTTAATTTGCTGGATGTGAGTGTGCTCAGGCTCCGTGATGAAGCTGTTTTGACACTGGATGATGGGGATGTTTTGATAGTGCATTTCTGAGGTTGTGCTGTTTTGACACAAAAGGCTTTGACAAGACATTTGTAAGGTCACTGTGACCTACCACCGCTGTTATGTGGAAGTGATGGAAATGTAAATGCTCTGATGTCTAATCAATGGAATGAAGCACTGTGGGATATATGCAGATTGAGATGTAAATCAGGTAGTTTGGGTTCTAAATGAGCATGTTAGAAAAATGCTTCATGGGAGCTTTCTTGCCCATCTTGGTTCTCCAGTCCTGTGGGTAGAGGAGAATTTAACTTTAAAAACCTTATGAGGCCTTGTGGTGGCCTTCCACTACTTAACAGGGGCCTACAGAAAAGATGGGAAGGATGGTTTATCAGGAAATCTGCTGATAGGAAAAGAGGGAGCAAGTTTGAATTGAAATAGGTAGATTTAGATAAGATATTATAAAGAATTTTTTTTATTGTGAGAACAATGAAAGGATGAAATTTTTTACTGTGAGGCATTGGAACAGATTGACCAAAGAAGCTGTGGCTTCTCCATCCCTGGAAGTGTCCAAGGCCAGGTTGGATGGAGCTTTGAGCAGCCTGGTCCAGTGGAAGGTGACCCTGAATACTCTCTAAGGCTCCCTCTAACCCAAAATTTTCCTTGATTCTATGATAGCAAGAAAGAAATGTTTGGCTTTTCATAGCTGCCTCTTTCCACTGATTAAGACAGAAAAAAAAAAAAAAAGTACATTTTTATTTCCATTTAAGTAAACTTGTGGCTGTAATAACCTAATAGCAAATTTGAATTGAAAAAAGCAACCAACTTTAATTGTGCCATAATCTCAGCCTAATTTCTGGTCAGCCCCCAATGGGAAAGCTGCTTTAGTGATGTAGAACCCACATCACAAAATTCATTTTCCCTCTCACAGAAAAGAGGCTGCAGCCACTTCTGCTCCTGGGATGGCACCTGGGTGAAGCAGGGAGAGCCAGCAATGCCAACTGCAGGGCTGGCAGAGCAGAGGCAGCCCCTGGTGAAAGGAGGATGCCCTGGGCTGTGGGAGGCTGCTTGTGGCTGTCTTTTCTTTCACTGTTTTGTCTGGCCAGGCCAGACAATGGTTGGAGAATTAACAAGGGGCTGCCTCACAAACAGAGCAGCCTGTTGTGTTGTTTATTATGGGATTTGATGCCCTAACAGGAGATGGATCAATATCATAGCAGGAGAGGTAAGGAATCTAAGAATAGTCACAGAAGGTGAAAAGGGAGAAGAGGCTAGAAGAGGAATGAAGAAAGGTTCCTTCTTTCTTTCAGAAATAATATTATTCCTTTTTTATTTTTTGACTTTTCGATTTGGCCTGTGTGCCTGTATAGGTTTGGGATTTGCTGGAGAGCTTTTGCCAGTGGTTTTTTTTTTTTTTGTTTGTTTGTTTTTTTTCTTTAATTTTTGTAATCGTGTGTCTGCTTTATTGCTCTAAAACCTGCCAGAACTTGATGTCAGAGCATTGCTGCCCGAAGAGCTTGTCCTGGCCTCTATTTCCAATCCTGTACAATCTCAGTTTAATCACTATGGCAGTCAGCTCAGAAAGTGCCTGTAGGTGCAAAACATCACTGTAACATGATGCAGTTGATTTTACTTCAGCATGGCCTTGAGACAAGCCACACTGGCCCATGGAATGTGTGTAGCAACTCCTCTTTGCACCAATTCGCACACATTGGGAGATATAAAATTGCCCTTTCTGACAACAGTTTCAGAAAATGTACAATAAGCCACCTTTTTTAGAAGATAAGAGCAAATATTAAACAGATTTTAAACAAGGCAGCCTGACAGAGAAACTTAAGATGGATATCCCATTAAGCAAACACACCATTCCTTGCTCCTTTCTGTGCCCTTCCACCAATCTTATCACTTCCATCAATCTTCAATCACTCTAATCATCCCCTTCCAGCCTCTGCAACCTGCAAAGAGTTGAAAAATCCCTTCTCTGGCTTTGTGGTTTCATTTCTCTTCTCTTTGCTCCCAGCAGCACAAAATAAGTGATTTCCCAACCATTGGGAAGGGAGAGCGGAGGGAAGAAAGATTTAACCTAGCTCATCTAATCAGAAGCTCCTAACAGATGGAGGGAAACTGCTCCCTGAGCCCAGCAAGGAACGGAGCCAGGGCTCTTCCCTCATCACCAACTGCTGCCAGCTAAACATCTGAATTTCCTCTCTCCTGGAAGCTTGTGAAAGCTCCAATCCAAGGAATGGCACCTCATTCTCTCCTCTTCCCTCCCTCACGCCGTCTCCTTCTCCCCCAGCACATGGTTTTACACCCTTCCAGACAGATGAGCTTCAACATTGTGACAGTGTCTCAGTCACCATTTTCCACCCACTGTGAAATGGGTGGGAAAAACAGCCAAAAAAATCAAAATAAAACAAACTCCACAGAAAAAAAAAAGAAAGAAAGAAAGAAAGAAAGAAAACCAGCAAAACCTATTAACACCTCCTGTTTCTACATGTCCTCTCAAGGTTTGTTTTGTCCAAAAGGTTCAGAACACCACTGAGGGTCATAGTCTCTGAATTATCATGAAGAACCACATTTTACATCAGGAGGGTAAAATTCAAGTGCCTCTCTGGCAAAAGGTAGCATCTACTAGCCAGCCTCTTGCATTTTTGTGGGCTTGCCTCTCCTTTTTGGAACACAAATTTCATCCTGCACCTGACTGACCTCCAAAAAGAAGGTGGTACCTTGGTGCCTGTCAGAGCAACAACTTTGGGTGCCAAAATTAAATTGCCCATGACACCAATTACTTGGTTCCAGCCAAGTGCTGTGTCTGGGCTGAGGGGAAGGTGGACATGCTAAAATATTTCAAATCCAGCTCCTGCATGGTCATCCAGATGGGAAAACCAGCCAGTATTCCTTGGATCCTCTCCTACACAGCATCACTGTGTGTAGAGGATGGGGATGTTGGATTACCCAGATGAGGGGCTTGGAGCAGTCAGCCCCAAGGGCTGGAAATGCTGCAGTGCTCCCCAGGTGGGACACAGCTTTACAAGCCATGGTAGGGAAAGGTTTGCAGACAATGGAAGCAAATATCAGTATTCAGTCCCAGGGAGGCAGTGAGTTGCTAATTTGTGCACCTTAAACATAAAAACCAACTTTACCTTCTGACCAAGCAGGGTCTCTGGGCCTTTATTGCAAAAGATCTGCCCAATGCAATCCACCTGCTGAAGTTAAACAGGATAAAACTTCAGGTACAATTTGCTTCATTAGACAGGGGGTCAGTATTTTGTATTTCATCTTCGTTAAAGGAAGGAGAACTCCTTTGGAAAGGAAAAAGAACCCCTTGAATACCAGGTAAATGGTCAGCTAGGCCCCAAGGACTTTCTGAGGAAGGGACAGAAACAATGGATGTGAAACACCTAAGTTCACCAAGCTTTAGTTTTGCAATTATTGAGTGTGATAATCTTTTCGTAGGTGACAATGTTCCTCTTCAAATGCTGTACCAGAGACTCCTCCTGGGTTCTCCCATGTTCAGTTTTGAGACTCAGACACAAAATTCTTCTAAGTTTCACCTATGTTTTTCCAGAGAAGTAATGTGCATACAACTATAAATACCCATGCGTCTGCACCTCTCACTGAAAAGGAGTCTAGGAGTAGGAACCAAACAAGTAAATTCTCCTAAAGTTTTAGAAGAAGGCATAAGGAACAATACTATAATTTCTCTCTTAATATCCACTATGATATCAATTATTCTATGGCTTTTATTCCAACCTTCACTGGCAAATAATTCGTTTATTTCTATGTATAGCCGGTGTATTTTTCATATACATTATTAAATTGAATAACACACTATTTTTGTTTCATAAGGATTATGATATGTCCAGTAGTACAAATATCTAGGTTGATGTGACAAGTGCACTTTGTCACCTTCTGAGGAAAAACAGGTGCACTTTTTGTAGCTGTTTTATTTTTCCAGCAGAATATACCTTGGCAAGAAATCTGTTTTGTGAGTGTAATGAGATGTGACTTTCAAAAGGAGTAAACGGGCACCAATTGAAATATAAAACATTCTTTTTAAACAGAAAGAAAACCACTTCTGGGGCTTTTTTCCCCTCTGTGGGAGTGCTTGAACACTGCCACAGGCTGCCCAGAGAGGCTGTTCAGTCTCTGTCGCTGGAGATATTCAAACCCCAGCTGGGCATAACCCCAAGCAATGCCTCTGTAGGTGACACTGCTTTGAGCACAGGGTTGGACTTGACAATTTCCAGAGATGCCCTCCAGCCTCAGCTGCTCTGTGGTTCTAAACAGTTGTGTTTTCTGCACAGCCACAAAGGGGTAGTTTCTTTTTAGATTGTTGCATAAATTCCTCCCGTTGTCAGATTCAATAGCATCAGTCATCTCTCTGTTGTTGTGATAGCTGAGCTTATCAGAAATAAGAGGGGCAATTCAGAGGTGATTTCTACCTTTCCATGGGTGAGGGCTGAAATAAAGATTAGCTGTGAAGCTGTTGCAAATTATGGATGCTGAGTTAGAGACAATAGAGTGCACCTTCTTAAAGTGGGAAATTTTTAAACTTTCATGTTTATAGTTCTTTTTAATTTTTAAAGACTCTCCATCCTTTGAATACAAAAATCTTCCAGGTAAATTAGAAGTAGGGAGAGTTAATGTGCTAAATGATTGAAACAAAACAGCCAAAATGAGAAATTGTGTTCCTCAAGCTGCATCCTAATCTGACATTCTTCAAAGGGATGAAACTAAAAAGAGAGGATGAAATGTGTTTGGATCAAAAGTAAAACTCCTGTGTCAAATGTGTTCAATAAGCCATTGAAAGAGAATATGATATACTGTGAAGGTTAATTACTAATGAAAAAAATAAGCACAAAAAAGGGGGGGAATAGAAAGGGGAACTCTGGAATTTGTAATGATTGAATGCAGCTTGCTTGGGAAACTATTGCCACGCATCTGCTTTGTGACAAGTACAGTAAAATTAGTTATGGATCATCAAAGTGATTCCTAACACTTAACAAAATGAGACCAAAAGTGCCTTTTTTCCCCAGGTTCAGACATCTGGGAAAACATTAATCAAACATACAGATTCAGTGGGAGGAAAAATTTGGAAAACAGCGCTGTTGAAAAAGACTGAGTGGATAACATTGGCAGAAATTAGATGTGAATCTGCAATGCAGCATCACAGCAAAACAGCCATTTTTGCATTTTATTTTACTTTTCTTTTTTTTTTCAGTTTGCCTATAAAAAACCATCATGCTCCTACTCAGGAAGGAACAATAATTCTGTTCTGTTTGAGAATGGTGAAATGGAAAATCTTGGTTGATTCTGCAAGGTGTTTAATGTTTCCTACTAAATGCCCTTGGGTCCCTCTGATGCAGAAGGGAGCTGGCCCTTGGAACACAGAGTTTGGGGCTGGACAAGCCCTCACCTTGAAGCTGCAGAGCAGCTGGAAAGGAAATCAAAGAAATGCAGTGCTGGTGATTGCTGAGGGGACTGGCTTGCAAGAAAAGATTAAAACTTGTCTGATTACATCCGTGCCTGGTGGGATGCAGTGAGGATCTTCCTCAGAACCAGACAGATGAAATGAAAGTTCTGTGGTATTGGCCACTGCATAAGAGCTGATTCCTCATTTGGGGAAGAGAGTTGGCTCTTGTTTCTCTGGTGTGTAGAGGCAATCTCTTGGGCAGAGATTTCATCTTGGTTTTCATCTAATTTCCTTTATCTTGAGCACTTCTTCTTAACCTAATTTAAATTGGCAAATTTTAGACTCTGGATTTTTCTTTTTATCTATGCATTCAATTTATTATTATTTCTAGTGAGTAGCAGATGATATCAAAAAATAAACAGTCACAAGTACAAAATAAGGGAGACGAGTCACTGTGCAGATGGGTACAGGGAAGAGCAAGGGAATAATGCTCAAAAAGGGACAGTTGGCTTGGAATATCAGCAGAAATAGCTTCTCTCAGGCCTGCCTACATGACCTGCTTGGTTTGCACAAGAGTGTGACCCCTTTAGCAGTTGCACATTCAGTTCTTCACTGTATCTGTCTCAGTGCACTTGTTTCCACCTCCCCACCCACTCTGAGCTATTTTTTTGTGTGTAGGCGATAAGCATTGTGATATTTTTTGTTCTTTCTTTGGTGTGCTGTGAATCCTCCTCTCTGCAACTGCAATTCTGGGACCAAATTCACACATATCCATTCCTAGATCTGCCCATTTGGTGATTTGGTGGCTTTGCAAGCTGTTTTGAATAAAAAGCTGTCCAGTGAACAGCTATGAAAGCAGAGAAATGAAGAGAAACTCCTTACTCAAAATCACATTTTCCCTGGACACTTAATCACTTAATCAGAGAAGACTCTTGTGGTCTATATGGAGGATGATAAAAAATTCAGGATGATAAAATTTTCCCCTCCTTTTCTTTTTATTTTCTTTTTTGTGTGTAGCATTTTCTTGTGCGTTTGATCAAACTTTGGTACATTATTTCTTAAGGAGTTCACAGACTGTTTTTAAAGGGTCTTTAAAAGACCTTTTAAAGTGGGAGAATACTGTTTTCATTGCATGTAATGTGGCTATGTTCCCACTGTTATCCCATTTTGTTTTAATATTAGCCTATTGGACCATGAAAAAATTCAAAGTATGAGAAACGTACTTTTTCTTTTATGTAGCTACTATTATGAGCCTCATAAAAAACATATCTCAGATGACTAAACAAAATACTTATTTTTGCAAAACACAATTAGGAAGACATAACAATTTAGAAGATATAACTGCTTCAAGAAACTGTGCGAAATTACACAGGTTTCAACCATGGTGTTGTTCCATATCCATGGGCAGAAATGTGGCTGGGTTTCCCAAAGGCTGTGGGCTGAGCCACCCTGTCCTTCAGCATGTTTCAGTCTGCATTTTCCCAAAGTTTCTGCATTTTTGAAACCTCATGTTCTTTGTCAGATTCGGCTGCAATTTTTGAAACCTCATGTTTTGAAACCTTCATGTTTCAGCTACTCTCAGTTCAAAGACTGTGGAAAGGGAAGGACGAAGGACAGACATGAAGGTGGAGAGAAAATTTCCTTGGATGAGCCTCCTTTCCAGAGGAAACCACTGAAGGTAAGAAAGGATCACAGGGGGCCATAATGGTGCTACATTTCAAAATGATCAATTCACAACAAAAAGAGAAAAAAGGTGCTAAAGGCGCAGCCTTTACACCTCCTGTTGCCATGAACTCTTCTGCTTCTCACCTTGTCTTTGCTGTCCATTCGTGTCACACCTCTCAGGGATGGGCACAAGGGACACAGAGGCAGCAAATGTGCTTTGGAATAGTGTCAGAACACCAGGGGTTAATGATGCCCAGGGCCTCCTGCCTCACTGCTCCCCCAGTCCCTGCATTTCTTATGCAGAGCTGATTTGCAGCTGCACTGCTAAGTTTTATATCCTGGGAAAAAGCCTCAAAAAATGTGTTTCTGCTACAGCAATTCTGCCCTTTGTAATTGGGGAGGAAAATGCCTATGAAATATGGCATGGAGCTCCATGGTGCTGCATCCTGAATTGTGCTTCACTGCCTCCCATGAAAGCTGGAACTTCAAAATCCATTGATTAAAATGAGAGCATTACTGTACTCTGCTAATTAGGATATAGTACTTATCACTATTCTTAGTTTGAACTGTGCACAGTAAGTACACTTCTATTAATAGTTTTTGAGGGGTAGGGAGACAGTGTTTATCTTTTTTTTTTTTTTTTTTTAATTGCATGAAAAAGCAGGAGCCAGCAGTCACATTTTAAAACTGCTCTGGTAAGAGAAGGTTTCCTGCTGGGAGAATCCAAATGAGTGGAAGGAGAAAATATATGTCAGATGGCAGAAGGGGGGAACAGACCAGTTGAGAGATGGATAGCTGAGATACAGTGAGCTACTACATTCTCAAAATCTTTATTTTTAACCATTATTTTTGGATTTGAACAGGGAACATACTTACCCTTTTTGAGCATTTAGGGGAAAAGGTTATCATCATGCATGAAATAAAATAGGGCTTGTGAAAATCCATACAAACACCCATTTCATAGTCAGAGTGGGAGCAGGAAATTTTAAATGCACACAACCAGCAGCAAGTCTAAGTAGTGTTTTCTCTGCCACAGTCACTGAGGAAAGGTTAAAACTTCAAACAGCTACAAGTCTCCAGCAGATACATGGAAAAAACAGGTCCTGGAGGTGTGTCAAAATATCTAATATTTGCTGCAACTTATAGAAGCATAAGGAAAGTTGAAAGTAAGAAAAGTAAAGGAAAAAAAAATAGCCACAAGCCCAGCTCAGTTTCTTGGTACTAACAAGCTGCCTATGCAAAGTGATGACAGGTTTTATACCAGTGGTGCAAAAAGATTCATGCTGGGCTCTCACTTGAGTGCAGAAGAGCAGAAAAACCCTGCACTGACCCTGGAGAGAGAGCCTTGAGCCAGGTTTGCTCACCCAGCAGCCTGAACCTTCCCTTCCCTCCTCACCAGTGGGGTGCCTGTCCCACTGCAGGAGCTGTGCCAAAGGAGCCCATATGAACAGGGGGTGCCACCAAGGTGACCTCTGGGCTGTGTTTCCCATCCAAGGGCTCCTTCCAGAATTCCAGAGGGAGCAGCTCCTGGTGGGGAGGCACAGGCAGGAGCTGCCTGGGGCCCAGCTTCATCCAAGGAATATTGGCATGCTGTCACTTAATGCGCTCTGAATCCACCATGGCTCCAGAAGAAGCACAGAATCTATTTCCTCCCAGCAGTTAATGCAGGCTGAGATTTGTGCTGTGTGAATGCAGGTCATCCAGACGTGCAGAAAGCAAAATGGGAAAGAATGGGAAGGCAGTCCCTGCTCCCCTGTGTAAACAAGTTCCTAATCTTTCCAGACTCTACCTGAGAAAGGATTTAGCATGCTGATCCTCAATTTCTGCAGTCTCCTCTCCATCATCTGTGGGTGTTTACCAAAGCACCAGGTTGGTTACATAATGTTTCACATTACTCTCACCGGCTGTCCAATGTATGAAGTCTGTCTTTAATTGAAGTTTCTATTTGCATGCTTCACAACCCTTAAAATATTCTGCTTGGAATGTCAGATGAGGTTAATTGAGGACCCTCTTGATGATGGTATTATTGTAATTTGAACTTGGAGAATCCAATATTAATTCTAGGAGGATTCTGTAAGATTTATTTTTCCTCTTTAGGTTTTATCTTTGTATTGAGAATTAGCTTGCGGTTTAAATTCAAAACGATTTTCAATATAGTGAAATTCATCATGTTCTAATGAACTCTAGAAATTATTCTATTCCTAGAAATAGGATAATAACATTGCATTTAAATATTACTATTTGGATTTTTACCACATAGAAGACTGAATTGTACCATTTTTGGCTGGTATGATTTGAGGAATTTTTATTTCCTCTTGGCTATGTGCAAGAAACTATTTCTCAAATTTGACTGAGAACAGCTGTAATTACTATTCTGGGCTGTTGCCTCCCTGTGCCTGGAGTTGCGTATTACTTTTGGAAAACAGACTGTAAAAGTTTTTCACCCAACAATAATATTGTTTAGGAATAGCCTGGATTTGATTTTCCTTGCCATTTGTTTTAGCAGACAGGGCATTCCATGAGGAAAGGTGTTTGCCCCAGTTTAAAACACTGAGTAAAATTATAACAACCTCAGTGAAAGGCACCTTTGTCAAAGAACTGAGGCATCCATTCAGATCTGTAAATGCAAATTTTATCACTCAAAAGTTATGGAAACTTTTTTTTTCCCCAAAGAATATCTTGGTATCCATTTTTCTGTCATCGTAGTAAGCCCATGTCCTGCTGAAGCATTTTTACCTTCTGTTGGCAATATTTCCCATGTTCACACTTCTATACAAATTCTGTAACAGAGGGAAGCAATGGCACACCATATACATCTAAATTCCTTATCCTATTTAAAACTGAAACTTGCAATGATATCAAAGAATATGTGTAACAGCTTTTAGCCCAGAGTTTTGTAAAATCATCTAAAGCCTGAGACAAAGGAGAGTTTAGTGAATGCTTTAAAGTTGTCACCTAACTTGATATCAATGTATTCACTTCAGAGTTTCAAAATCCTGTAATATAATTCTCAATCAATTGATTTATTTTAGAAGGGAAACCTGAATATTTGTTTCCTAGCACATCATATCCTGCTTCCACAGAACTGAAATGGAATTTGGATAAAGCTGTGATATTCTTTCACTGAGTCATTAGACAGTGTTTAAAAATCGGTATTTCAGGCAATACTCTTACACAGATTTGTCATTTCAATTTCTGTGTCTGATGCCTCAGAAAGAGAAAGAGGCAGACTTTTCCCTTCATATGGAGTCAATGGCTGCATTCTAAGGGTCATCTGCAGGGGATTGTTTCAAAACACCAATTTCATGCTCACGTTCATATCAGTTCTTGAACCCATGTTCACGTTCATATCAATTTTATACAGTATGGCTTTTCTTTGCTCTGCTGGACTGTTCAACAAACTATCTTTCTTTGGTTTTTAACTTAATATTCTGGCCTTTCAGTTTTACTCCTCTGCACACCTGGATTTGAGTCATGAGCTGAGAAGAAATGAGACAATATTTTATTGTAGCAGCATCCAGAAAGAGTTCTCCTGCTGCCCAGCCATTCCTGTTGTTTCTGTGCAGAGGGTACTAATTATCCAGTATGCGAAATTACAATGGCAGAAAATAGTGAACATCTCAAACAGAGAAGTAATTGCAATGTAAGGCAAATTATATGGTTCCATTTGTTTTTTAAAAAGTGTTGTGAAAAGTTTTCTTTTTTTTTTTTTTTGTTTTTATTTCTTTCCTTTTCTCCCAAAAGATCTGTGCTCACCTCTGTTTCACCACACTGGGAACAGCAAGCTTGGAATGCTCAGACCCCCATGGGCCACAATCCTGTTGGTGTTAAGTGCAGATCACTCTGGAGCATGTCTAGCCAGGAGCAAGAGGAGCTGTGGTGAGGGGCAGGTGTCCATATGGATCCCTCTGCTCTTTATATGCAGGGCATTTCCCCTCAGATTTTCCAGCTGCTTCTTATCCTTTTCCCTTTAGATGGGATCTTAGATTTGCCTTCCTCTCCCTAAGGTGTCACAGCAGAGGGAGGTGATTTGTCCACAGGTTATTGGAGCAGACACCACATACACTAGGAATTCCCAGTGCATAAATAATGTCCTTGCTAATTAATTTATTTTTGTTTGAGCCTCTCGTTCTGTCCTGTTACTGGCACCTGTGATGATTGGAACAGAAAGCCCAAGTCCTTTCCCAGTCCTTTTTCAGATGGCTGCCTCTTGTGTTAACCAGTGGGCTGCTCTCTGCACCATCCTTGGAATGAAAATTAGCTGCTCTGAAGAAAGGCAACAGCAGGGGAAGAATAGAAATTATGCAGTCTGAAACTCCACAAAAATTAAAACCAAAAAATATTGCTGTTGTGATAAGCCTGGAAATAAATAAGGAAGTCATACAACAGACCAAAAAAAAAGTGTCCCCTTGTCCTTGGCCAGGCCTGAGCAGTGAGGAGACAAAAGCTTCCCTCTGAGATGGGATAAACAAACAGGACACTAAGGAATGGCAATGATGGGATATACAAACAGGACACTAAGGAATGGAAATGATGGGATATACAAACAGGACACTAAGGAATGGGAATGATGGGATATACAAATAGGACACCAAGGAATAGAAATGCTTGTCTGACCACTGATACCACTGCTAGCCACTGCCACTACACGGATTTCCAGTAGCCACAAGAAATGCAACCAGGTCTGCTCTGGCAGCTGTTCCAAGCACTGTAGCAGAGTCTTGTTCAGGTGAAAAAGACAAAAATAAATGTTTATCAAAGGGTTCTGATTGCTACAGAATAGTCCCCCTGGCTCCTAATGGAAAGTTACATTTTGCAGAACAATCTATAGATGCTATCTCACAGCTGTCACAGTGAAATTACCTTCAGAGAAGTGAGCCAGGAGTCACAGAATGTGCAAATGCCCTGAATCTGAGTGCCTCAGAGGTGCAGTTATATCTCATCTTCATTAAGAAAAAAGTGCAGAGAGGAAAGATTTCACATCATTCTTAAGGATAACCTGAAAACCACATCAATCCTGGACTGTAATATTCTTATTCTACCCACAGGTAATTTGTTTTCTGTGCATAAGTAGAGCTGCTGTTTCTTTTTGTGCATCCTCAGAAGTATGTTTTGTTTCCTGTTCAACAGAAACTCTGAGTGAAAGCAAATATATGAATTTACCTCTACCTCTGTAAAGTAACTATGCAGGGTGCCTGACCCACAGTTCAGAAGGCTGAGAAAAAATGCTCTTTGTTTTATATTTGGGGTTTCAGTTGAAGTTTGTTTGAAATTTATTTTATTTGTTTGTTTGTTTGTTTTTTTCTGAACAGTGTTTATGCTGAGAGCTATGGAAGTGATCAACAAACCAGAGAGACAAGCAACAATAGCCACCAGAGGGAAGTTCAGAAAAATCTAAGTGATGAAGATGTTTAGCAAACAGCTTGGAGAAAATACATGGGAAATGGTAAGTGTTTTTTTCCCTCTTTATTTTCTGTGAGTGATAAGCAGAATGATGGAAAAATATGTGGCTTGGGAGTTTTGTTTTCCCAGGGGTTGGACATGTGCAAGAAGCAAAAAGGGCCTAAAATAAGGGTGAAAATGTAGATTGTCTGGTGGACAGTTCTACAGGAAAGCATTTTGTGACTAAAAATTGTTAGGGAATTAAAAATCCCCTAGCTATTGAATGTAAAAATGCACACAAACTAAAATTCCATACAAAGCCCTGAAATTTCATACAAAGCCTTGAAGAATTCAGAAGCCACAAGTCTTGGCTTTAGATTTTTAATCTAAACCCAGAAGTTTATTTTCCACTTATCCAGCAATACATGGGTTAAACTGGCATTTACTGTATAATATACTGTAAAAGACTTGTCCAAATGGGAAAGAGAGATAGAGAGATAGAAAAGCTGTATATAATATATGTTCCTGAAAACTCCAAATCTGGAGAAGGATGCTTTTATTTCCTGGTCTGATGTGAAAGAACAATTCCTCTCCTTGGTTTAAGAGCAAAACTGCAACATTTAAAGTTGTTTTAGTAAGCTGTGGAGACAGAGAGAAGACTGTGGACTAAGGCAGTGGCTGAAGTTGCCGTACCTTAATGAAAAGCTGTCAGTACCATGTTATTACTCAATTTTTTGCTGCTTTGGGCAGAATATTCAAAAGATAGACAAGTTCTGACAGGCAGTAATCCTGTTTTTATACCCCAAGTATTTAGATGCTTCAGGACATTTATCACAGCTGCCAAAACTGGGTTTACAATCAGCAGGTTTCAAAAAGAGACTGAGATTTTGCCTGTTCTTGCTTTGGGGAAAGGGGCAAATATTTTCATTCCTTCTTCCCTTTCTTTGCCTACATCTTTTTCACCTGCTTCTGGCTGGAGTCAGCTCAGTGATAAACCATCCACAGGAGCAGCCAGGGCTGCTTGTGGCTCTTTGCTGGTGAGGAAGCTGTGCTGAAGCCACACCTCCTGTAAAATTCACACAGCAACTGAGCTTTCCTATCAGGCATCTCATCTTGCTATCATTCCGTGCTGGGAAATGACAGCCAGGGCTTCAGAGTGACTGGGGGAGGAGGGGAGAGGAGAGAGGCAGTGCTTTGTTTAATCATCCCACTTCAGCCTGATTGCTGCAGTGTTATCTCGAAAGTGAAAAGATTTGGGAGCCAGATTCCTGGTAATTAGCGTTCTGAATATTGTGATGCCGGCACCCAGCACCTTTCACTGAGGATTTACTCACTCTGGGATGAAATAGCCAGGCTCTCACATCTCTGATCTGCTCAGAGGAGCAGCTCTCACATGCACTGGCAGACAGGGCTGAGGATCAGTTAGCAAAGAGGGAATTCTGTGTGCATCCTCATCTCCTGTTTCAGGAGGATCCCATGCTGCTGTCCACAGGGTTTGCAGGCACTGCTGTCACCACATCCTGATGAAACTCTGCTGTCATTTACTGCCTTGGCTGAGGCTGGAGTCCAGCACACACAATGGGAAGGAGCTTAAGCAGCAGCCAAGGATGGAGGGAGTGTGAGTGTGTCAGGTATTGATGACACAGGGTGCCCGGTCTGCAGCTGCACCGCAGGGGGAGACCAGAAGAATGCATCACAGAAGCAACAGGCATCACAGATTGCCTTCCACAGTGGGAGGTGAGCTGCACTCTTACCTGGACAAAAGATAGATTTAGGTAATAATTCACAAAGAACTAGGCTGTGTGAGCTCTCTTGAGGGGCTGTGCATGTAACAGAACCATGGTAAAATATCAGCAAAAGCTGTGTAGCTCCATCATGCAGCTCATGCTGTCTGAGACAGGGCAGAACAAACCACCTGGATCCCCAAAATGACTGCTCACATGAGACCACAACCTGCTGACCACTCTCCCTAGGTTTGTACCCATTTCAGGGGATGTTTTAGAGCATGTGTTGGATGCACAAGCAAGCCTATACATCAAAACCCAGGAGTTTGCCAAGGATAAAGAGAGGAATCATGCTGCCCACCAGCTGTGCTGCTGGCCTGGAGCTTGGGCAGCAGCACAGAACACCTGTTTCCATTTGCTGAGTGGTGCTGTGGCACTGGGGTGAGCAGTGACATGAGGCTTTTCACACGGCCCTGATCTGCTTTCAAAGCCCTGCTAACAGCTCTCAGCTGAAAATATCATGTAGCATTTTGTCCCCTTTGTTGCATGCAGTTCATCCTCAGAGGAAGGAGAGCCCCTGTGCTCATCTGGGCTTGGGAACAGCATTTCCCTTGAACACAGCAGGCATCCAACCTGAGGCTGAGCAGGTTCAGGCACTGAGCCACCCAGCTTTGAGTGTGCATAAAGAGGGAATTATGAGTTGTGAGTGGGGGGAGATAGCTGCTAGCTGGAAATAAGAGAAAATGCATTAATAGAAATTCAATTTAAGGTAAAAAAAATAAAAGAGAGAGACCAACCTAGTTAATTTCATAAGGATGCATGAGTCAAAATGTAAGACCTTTAGTCAGGAAATAATTGCACACTTATGACCTGAGGCAACAGTCAGAACTTGCTGAAGAAAAAAACTGGCACATGTCATTAAATTTAATAATTTGTAATTATAGAATCATAAATATTTGAGATTGGAATGGCCCAGCAAGTCACTTAAGTCCCCCTCCTTAACAATGCAAGGTTGTTCCCTCTTGCATATATGCTGATATGTTTTCTGCAGACTATTAGAACTCATTTTTCAGGAGGATTTGCCTCAGATTTCTCAATTCTTTATTTCTTAATTTTATCCCATTGCTCCTTGCTTGTTTCCTGCTAAGTAATTCCTTTCCTTCCCTAGTGTCTGTGTCAGTCAAATATTTGTAGATGGTTGGAATGACTCTCCTTAGTTATCACTTAGCCAAACTAGACATATTTATTTAGCTCTTTTAATCTTCCTCACAGGTAAATCCCTCTAGCCCCTTAATTATTTTGTTGCTCTTTTCTGAACTCTCTCTTTCCAAACCTTGTAGTCATATTAAATGCAGTATCCTGGTTCATGTCATCCAGAGCCATGGAAAAATCAGGGGTGCTGTTGCATCTCTGTTGCAATGTGATGTGTCTTTGTGCCTGACCCACTATAATATTTTTTTTCCCCTGATCTATCATGCTGAGCACCGTGCAAGGCTGGAGAGAGGTCAAGACAAGCTCTGTTTTTAAAATTCTGCCCTGCAGCTATTCCTCACGGTGCTGTCAGCAGGGAAGACATTTTGTCTTCTAAAACCTTACTTCTGATAGTTTTTCCATCTGAAGATGTTGTAACTCGAGCCTTCTTCTGCATTGGGTAATAACTTCACTTACACTTCTCTCCCTCTGTGCTTCTTTACTGTCCTCTGCCCCATGTGTTTGAGAGATCAGTAAGAATGGCAGAACAGAGAGAGCAAGAACAAAAAAACCCCAAAATGTAGCTTACTGCACAAAAAGCTTCGTCTCCTGGGTTTATCATCCCACAGATTAGCAGCCCAGGATGAGGAAAAGGCTCCAGGGAGACGCTGTGATGAAAACTCAAGAGTGAAGATTGAAGTAAGGAGACAGAGTAGCACAGGAATAACTTAGAGGGCCAAGCTGTCAGGGGAGATGAGAACAGGACAGACAGGGCATGCATTATCTCCCTGACCAGCACCCAGCAGCAGATCCTGCTCTTGAGTAATTGCTGCTGCGTTGATTGCTTCAGAGGGCTCTGTTTTGACTTCTCCTTGTCAGTTTTGATATTTCCATTTACTCTGAAACACTTCCCTCTTCCTCAGACCTTGGCTGCATGGAGTTGAAAGGTGGGCCTTTCATGCAGACCCTGACTTTGCTTTCCTGGCAGGTCCTCTGCCCTTGCCACAGGGTCCCCAAATGGTGACATCCACCTCTTTGGGGTGTACTCAATGGGGAAGGGTTTCTAACAACACCCTGCAGAAAATTTAGGGGCCTTAGGATAACCTGGCTGATGCCCAGGGTTAGAAAGAGACAAGTCAGCATCCATTCTCTTGAGGCCTTACCTGGTTAAATGAAACCAAATATTAAATATTAAATAAAAAATATTAAATAGTAAGTAAATACTGCCCAAGAAGCACTAGATTAAAATAATAATCAGTTGTATAGATGTTCAAGCCAAGGGATTTTGTAGTGTTTGCTTTATCCTTATCTTTTACACTTTTCATTTCATCTTGTAAAATCGTGGCAATGGGCAGAGCTGTGCAGGAATGCAAAAAGTAAATGTGAAAATTTGCAAATGTAAAGGTATATATGTAAATATTCCAACAAAGGAATGAGTGTCTGCATAAAAGACAACGTGTTTCTTCTTTTTTTTCTGGAAGTTTTCATCTGGTTTGTTTTGTTGTCGCTTTTGTTTCCTTGAAAATAACAAAATTGTTGTGTCTCATACTTTTTAAACAACTACTCATACGACAGTTGCCATGATATTTGTTACAACTAATAGGAAATACCTTTTCTTAAGGTATTTTTCATGTAGCTGCCGATGCTCTCTGTTGCATACATACATCTGATAAATCATTATTAGAGTAACTCTCTGAAATCATTCCATGGGAGGAAACTGACCCTTGAGAGAAATTTATTTCAAACAATAGATGAAAAACATAAACAAGGAGTATTTTCATCTTTAATAGAATAGTTTTCAATGTTTTATGCATCCAGCCCTACACAGAAGAGTGCCTGTGTGCACGTTCAGATGAATAACGAGGGCCTGAGGATGACAGGATCCATGGAAAGCATCACCTGCCTGTGGAAATCATGGTGCTTGAACAGGGGCTCCTGGAGAGCTCTCCTGATCAAAACATTTTGCAGTTGCACAGGTACAAGCAGTGGCCACAGAGGCAGAGAGAGCAGGGTATTGTGGACCACGATTTTCCAGCGTGGGCTTGGCCCTTGTCCACAATCCCAGGAAGATTCCCTTCCTGTTCTCTCTGGGTGCTACAGGAACATAAATAAATTTGAAAACTGAATTCCTGAGGCAAATTCAGATGATGGATCCTGGAAGCTTTTGCCTTTCTCTGACTTATCTAATATGTCAGGCAGTCAGCATGACACGGAAAGAAAAGTGTTTATGCAGCATTTTTCCCAACTTACATCATTTTCTCAGCTTGTATCTAAAACACTCTGACACTTTAAGTTGTTTCTTAAACAACCCCCTTAAAAAGGTTTTGAGGCATTTTTGGGAAAAAAGAAACCATGCAAAACATGCAGAGATTAAACTCCAGTCTCCAGATCTCCTTATTGCAGGTCTTGGTTTTGGTGGCTCGGAAGATGAAGGCTATGGGCTCTTGGATTATGTAAACGGACACGGTACATTTCATTTCATTTTCTTCAGAGTGTATGCATCAACTTATCCAGAAACTATTGATTGCAGGGGGCTGGAGCTGTCTGCAAGTGCTGGCTGATTTTAGAAGAGATTTTATTTGCAATCCTGCCTCAAAAGCAAGGTGCTGCTATTGCTTATAATAGAAAGTATGTGTTCAAGACATGCAGGTGTCTGTGGGAGTGGGGCTTGCACTCCAATGCCCAAGTTTGGGTATTTTTGCACAGTATCTGTGAAAACATGAGGAAATCATCACACTTGAGTCATCCTTCTGGGGCAAATTGCCTTCAAAGCTTTGTTTTCCCTGCTACATCTGCTATCCTGCTTGCTCTCTCTGTTTTCCACACTTCCATATCTGCGAGGGATTTCCCAGGCAGAAGCGTGCAGCTCCGTGCCAAACCCTTGTTCTGTGCACAAACAGCAGAGAAAATGTTCCAGGGATGGCTCACACGCTGAGCTCACCCTCAGCAGATCCAGCAAACACGGCCTGGGCACAACCACAGACACCCTGAGCACCTCTGTGCCCACCTGGCCACAGCACAGACCTGGCACCTCTGAGAGAACCAGAGCCCAAAACCTCAGAGTTCTGGGAAAATCTTCAAAGTCTTTGATGGAAGCTGCACAAAACTTCCTCAGACAAAAGGCTGATTTGAAGAGATTCACGGCCACCTATCCAAATGATAGGATGGGACCAATCCCTCTATTGACTCTTGTATCAAAATCCGTGGGGATTTTGATACAAATCAATAGAGGGATTGGTCCCATCTATCATTTCCTTGAGGAGAGGGCCAACAATGCTGCCTCAACCCTCGGTTTAGGGTCACAGCTGGTGAATACACAGGTGCACATTTTTATTTTTGATCTGCTCCAGTGCCCTCAAGCACCAGGTGGCCCGACAGCCGTGCCAGGCATGAGCTGGCAGAGCTGCTCCCCTTCCCCACATCCCGTTTGAGATGTTTGCTCGCCCAGCTGCCCTTGTGGCCTCCTCAGCCCCAGCAGAGAGAGGCAGGAGCACAAAGCACCTCCGGGGGGGTTTCTGCACCCAGGGCTGGTGCTGGGGCTGCGGCCGGGGGCGGGTACCGGGATGCATCACCGAAGGATGCTCGCAGCTCTCAAAAAGGCTTTTAAATTATTCCCTATTTGCATTCAGGACAGGTCAGATTTTCCCTAGCGAAATAAACGCACTCTTGCCTGACTTCCAACAGGCGCTGAGCGTTTCCGAAGTTTCCCAGCGCTCCCGGAGAGGGCGTCAGAGGGAAATGGCCGAGGTTGCGGGATGGGTTTTGCCGTTTCGCTGCCTTGTGGCTCCGCGGAGCGGCGGGCGCCGGCAATGCGCACACTGCCGAGAGGATTGGGGCACATTCCTGCCTAAACAGGGACAGCCCCCATTGGTCCTGATGGCTGGGTTAGCAAAGTGCTTATCTAGAGAGGTGTCTGTGGGTTTTGCTGTGGTTCTCTGCTTTATGTCGTGCCCTTTCTCTATGCAGAGCATACAATTTTATTTTATATTTTATTTTTTCTATGTTTTATTTTTACAGTTATTTTATTTTTATTTTATTTTTATTTTAATTTTTATTTTATTTATTTTATTGTTTATTTTATTTTTATTTTATTTTACTTATTAATTTTATTTTAGTTTTAATTTTATTTTTATTTTATTTAAATATTTTTATTTATTTTAATTTTATTTTATTCTTATTTTATTTTACAATTTTATTTTATTTTACAATTTTATTTTATTTTGTTTTAATGCATCTTAATTTGTCACACCCGTGTTGTCTTACTTTCTCTTAAAAAAAAAGGATTTCTCCAAACCAGAGCAGTCTAGGTGATTAATGAATCTCACATATTCTTTCATAAACACTCATTTCAGAATTTAATAGAGCCATGTTGCAGCAGAGCATACAATTTTATTTTATTTTTATTTACTTTATTTTAATTTTGTTTGATTTTTATTGTTATATTTATTTTATATTTTTTATTTTATTTTTATTTTATTTTATTTTAATGCATCTTAATTTGTCACACCCGTGTCCCACTTTTTTTTTAAAAAGGGATTTCTCCATACCATAGTGGTCTAGGTGATTAATGAGTCTCCCATATTCTTTCACAAACCCTCATTTCAGAATTTAATAGCGCCACGTTGCAGCAACTTCTTGTGCTCCTATTTTGGGGAGTCAGCGTTCGCACCACGAAAGGCAGCCCCAGTCACTTTCTCAGGTTTTGTGGCCCATCTGCCCACACTGGAGATCCCCGGAGGTGTCATTACTGAGGTGATGAGACATTCTGGTTTAAGTGCTCGTAGTCTCTGCAGAGCACAGGACTGGGAATTAAGCATGCATCTTATGAACACTGGTGCAGAACAGCGTCAATAAATGACTATTCTCCTCCTTGATGTTTACTTTTAGATTCAGGAGGACTGCAATCAACGCCTGATCTTTAATTCCTGCTCAGGCCTGGATTGGTACTGCTGAATTCTGTGTCTCTGGGAAATGGACACAATACTTGCATTCATCATGGAGCTGTAGTGCTGACCAGGTACTGCCCAGGAAGTTTTTTGAGTGTAGAAGTGCTAAATGGGAAGAGAGGTTTGTGGCTGTAATGGAACAGGGCTTCAGTAATGATTCTTGGCTAAGGTGGGACCACCAGCCCTGTCCAGTGAAATTCTGGGTAGCTTGCCAGTTGTCTCAGATGGATAATTATTCTATTTTTCGTGTTATTTCTTCCACTGCAAATACCTCTGTTTCTCTACCAATATATGCAACGTGGCAAGTAAACCTGTCTCTGTGTGCTCTGCTGCAGGTTCTGTGATTTTTGGATTTTTTGGTTTGGATGACACATTAAAACACAGAGGAGTAATCTGATGGCAAGGTAAGCTTTGTGTTGAGGCTAGCACTAATATACAGCAAGAACTCCTTGCACTTAAAACACATCTATGGTGGCTGAATTATTGTCCCTGTGCAGTTTTCACAGTTATTACTTGGTAGGTTGCCTCTTCAGTGTCAAATTAGAAGTCATTCGGCCAGAACCATTGCAGTGGTGCCTCTTGAGGTTTGTAGGTGCACACACTCCAAGTATATTACATATTTTTCTGAACAGTTGTGCTTTCACAGGGGTCTGTATTAGAACAGCATGAAATCTGCTGCTGTTTACACGGGTTTCATCTAAGCCTCACTGGTGGGTTCGCTTTCTGCAGCGTCAGCAGCACTGAGAGTCAAACTCTGCTTCAGACAAAGTTGAAACTTAAAAAGAAAACTTTGACTCAGCTGCTTGAATCTCTTCCAGTATCTTTCTCCTTTCCATTCTTTTCTTCAAGGGCAAATTTGCTTTTGGCTTTCTGATACTGTGTGAACACCAAGCCGCTTCTTTTCCTACTTTTCAGGAGCCATTTCATTTTGCAATTTTGTTTGCATGTGCTCATCCCCGTCACACTTTTGCTGGGGAGTACAGAAGCAGGATGGGAGGCAAGTATAGATTTCATTTACCTTTTTTTTAAACCGTATTTCTAGGCATGGAGGATGAATTTTCTCTGTTCAAGTGTTTGTTAAAATTCTGGCTGTGGAGACCATTAAAAAATTAGTTAAAAAGAGAAGGGTTGATGAAAACATTCAAGGAATCTTATTCACCTAATTCAGGTGAAGAAGAATTTCTGGGAAAAAATGCTTACACATTATATTTGGCATAAAGTTAGAAAGTCTTTTTCTGTCCCTTAGTAATGAATAATTGGGCTGGTTGGTGAAGCAGAGAAGCGTTGTGGTTCTCATTTCACTGTTAAGGGACCTACAGCTGCAAAAATTGAAGGCAGATACAAGAGAGATATCAAAGAAGTTTAAATTTGTGTAGAAACATTGTTAAAGGGTTAAATGTGGAATTATGCAAAATAGTGATGAATTTTCTTTTCTTCAGTTGCTTCTGATTTTTAAATTATATTTGGTCTCCCCTGCTCTTTTAAAAATATTTTTAATAAATAATACAAATGGTATCTTGTCCTTTAAACTTGTCTGAAAACCAGCCTTATTTTTCATGTAGTGCTTTTGCCTGAAAATTGTCACTACAATGTCTTCTGGCAAATGAGAGAGAGATTTGGGTATGGTAAAAAGCAAATCTGTGTATGGATTAAAACAGAGATTTCCAGTCTCCCCATAGGATTCTTAATCTTAGAAAGTAAGACCCAGATGAGATTAAAAGGAATTATATAGCAAATAAGAGTTAATGCTTTTATCTCATACAAAAGGGAGGGAAAATTTTAGACACAGACAATTAGTTTTAGTTAAAATTATTAAAACTAAGCATTTTATATATACATGTATATGTTTTATATTCTACAATGCATGTTAAAATGGAGTCTCTGGGGAACCTCTTAAAGTTCAGGACTCAAAGTAAAAAACTGAAATTTCAGCCTTGATCATGGTTATTAAAACAGATATCATGAACCTGAAATGGTCCTTGTACAGTTTAATTCCTTTGTCTTTGTGTAAGAAGATGAACTGTCACAAACTTTGGTTTAATGCTCCTTTATCATTTCTGGAGAGAAGATGATAACAGTTCCCTGTACTGCAGCTTGTGTTTGCAAAGCATTATGGACAAGTGGGTTCAAAGTGAGCAAGATCCACTAAAATCATTCCATTTATGTTAGGTGTCATTTTTTAATGTGAACTCATAACAGATTGTAGCAACCTGAAGAGAATCCTTATAACCCCTTTTCCATGAACAGGAGAGGCACAAATGTGGCAGTTACTTTGCTTGTCGGACACAAGATTTTATAAAAGCAGCATCTTCTCTAATTTCCTTCACTGTGTCAATCATACATGTGCAGGAACACACATCACATTTTTCTTCAAAAGGCCTTTCTTCAATCCTGCCCAACATTTTACTTGTGTATTTTTCAATTAATTTGATTAATTTTGCTGCTGGGAACTAATCTTACTTCTGGATTATGAACAGATCTATCCAGAGCAGGGATGGAGTTGTGTTGTCTATGATGGTGTTGTGATGGATAAAACTGATTAATATTGAATGAGACTCTTGGGACAATCCTTTCTTTGGGTACACCCATGCACCAGTGAATCAAACAGAAAGAAGAGGGTCCATGGAGCTCCATTCTGCCGTTGGAGCTGGGAGTGCTGGGCAGGGAAATTCTGGAGTTTCCTGAAGCCCCAGTGCAGATCCAGCAGGGATTACAGGAGCCTGGGCACTCTCTCCCAAAGGCTTTGGCATGCCCTCAGTGGGAGCAGCTACACCTCTGAAACCTGCCCAGAGACATTTCCATCCATAACATGTGATGTGCTGGCCCAAATCTTGGAAGTTTTACCAAGCATCTGCTCAGCCTTCCCAGCAGGGAAGTGGTGCTTACACGGGAAGGTGCTGGGCAGAGTCTGCTGCGAGATTAATGAGGGTAAGCAGAGCTTTAACAGAAATGACAAAAAGAAGTATCAAATGAAATCTTCTCCAGGCCTCTCCTGTCTGCAGAGTGCGGCTCAAATCCCTCAGCCACATAAGAAACAAAAATAAATTCTTTCTAGGTCATTTTATTGTTGAAGATTAACTCGAGATCAGAGACTCGCATCACGCTGTGCCGATGCCTCTGTATTTTGCAATATAGTTATTGGTACAGATTTTTGAGGACTAAATTGTCAAAATAGCTTAGTAGTTGTGTGAAATCTAATAATTTTGTACAGATTACAGTGCCTCTGTGTTTGAAATGGATTTTTAAATTCCAGTTGCTGAGACTGCATCTTTAGCTGTTCCCTGATTGTTTGCAGGTATTGTGAATGCCTTTGGATCATGCCAGAGAGATAATGACTTGGAGCACAGAAATGGACTTGCAGCTGGATTCCCAGGAGAGCTTTCCACACAGGGTAATAGCTCACATATTGAAATGTGCTCACCAAAGAGGTGTTAGGGAAGCAGCAAGGAGAACCTAGATTGGCCTGCAAAATGGGGATTACACAGAAACCAGAGCAGGTAAAATTAATCTGTTTTCTCATACAAGTTCTAGTAAAATTCAAACATTATTTTATTTTCATCACTAATTGTAGGCCAGGATCTGAAACCATGTCTGAAGGTACCCATTACCTTGTTCCCAGTGCAATTCCATATACTACAGTATGTGTCAACGAAACATGGACAATTGTTCTTTCCAGGCTGCTTAACACAAGTGTGAGAAGTGTTGAGTCTTTATTGATTAAAATTCTAAGTTCTTTATATGCTATAACCAGCCTAAGCAGAAATAGCCAGTGTCAGTGGATTTTATTTGCAAAAAGAACAGCATGAGAGGATCTGTGCTGCAGTGATGTCTTCTTTACTGTTGCTGTGGAGCTGAAAGCCCATCCATCTGTCCTTCTTATTATGTTAAATTCATTCTGGAGTCACTTAACTGAAGTATCCTTAACCCAGTGCTTCTGCAAACTAGTACATCCACACAGAAAATAGTTATTAAAATAAACATCTCATTATGAGCAGCCTAATGCAGTACCATTGTGAGTAATCAATGAGGTCTCTGGCAATCATGGGAATTATACAATATAATTGAGTTATTTGTAATAAAATTGCTGAGGAGTTGCTGACTTTCCCAGTTAAACATTTTTTTTTCTTTCTTTCATACAGCTTGCTGATCTTGCTCTGAGTTTTCAACACATTATATTTTCTTTTTGTCCTGTCATAACTTTAGAATAGAAATCTATTAAGCTAAGCACAGGTTTAGAAAAGAACATGAAGTCACATAACAGCACCACATTGTGTTCCTTAAGCTTTAAAAACATCACTTCAGGTAAGAATTTTATGCTATCTTCCAAAATGAAATAGAAGCTGAAAAGATACAGTACAAATTTTTTTTTTTATTATATGTTGCTTCCACCTCATGCTGACAGTTTATATTTTGCCCCTTTTGCTTCAGTCTCTTAGTCAGCCATGCAGTAAAATGGGTTTGAATCCCCTGCACACTCATTACAGAGAGCATGTAAGAGTCAGGGCAGTGCTGAAGCCTCAGCTCTCAGTAAATAAATACAGAAATAAGAAGCCTTCAGCAGACACCATAAAGGCATACAAATGTCTTTCCTCTGCAAGCCTGTGCTCCCCTCCCCATTTTTCCCTTCTCTTCCACTGGCCATTACCCACAGACAAAAATCTTGGTAGAAAGTGCTACTCCTATTCTAGATACTTCTACCTTAGCTTAAACTGGTCATGAGGGTGATGTAAAATAACCTTGTATATTTTTTTTCCAAAAATGAATGAAGGAACATTCATGTTCTTCAGTTTCAGGAGTAACTGGTAATCTTCTGGGAGTAGTAAAGTCATTAACCACATCCAGCACTGGGTGTTTGCCCACTCCTGCCTGGAAAGGGGAAGGATACAGAGGCTGCTCTGATCTTGCCCTCTAGACTGTCTGACAATTCACAACACAAATGCACTGAATAGCTCCACATTTATCACAAATATTTTCTTCTCTCCGTCAGATGCTCTGGCAAATATTTGGAGCCTCAGAATAAGATGGTCATTGAAATTCATAGTCCAGGTTTTCATCAGCACAACTCAGTTGTGAGACCATTGATATCAGGGTTTTTTTTAGGAGAAAATAGGCTTGTCCCCTTTCCTGTGGGCACAAGGTTTACAATGCTGTGCTCTGGTTCAAGATTGAGAGGTTAGAAGACACACGGGCCACCACTGTGAAAATGAAAGGAATCAAATTCAGAGGTCCAGTTCTGTGCCACAAAAAATATCCAGAGAGCAGCAGCTGAAGCTTGTGTGTCTCTCAGGGAGATGAATTTTCAGGTGAGCTGGCTCCAGGCTGCACAGAAGCTGGGGAGCTTTTCTGTTGGCTGACAGCAATGGATTGGGGATACCTCACAAGTCAGGTGGGGAAAAGCTGCTCTCTGCAAGGACAGTGGTGCTCCCAAACAGAGCACACCATGTGTCTGTGGGAGGAGGAGGAGGATGGGAGGGTTAAAACATGGTCATGACTGCTCTGAAACACCAGTCAGACCTAGATTCCTTCAGTCTCCATCCAGCCTGAGGGACAGACAAGGAAAAATCACACGGAGGCTTGCAGGGGATGCTGCCTTGCACCTTTTTAAATATACAGGAGTGATGATGGAGGAAGGCTCTTGCCAGGCTTTTTTCCCCTCATTTGAGGGGAAAGCTGTGCTGCTGTGTTTCATTTTACTTAATGCAAAAGTGGCAGAAGGAGGGAGGCAGAAGAAAAGCATCTATATCAGACACAACAGAAGGAAATATGGGAGGAGGGTGGGGAGGTGGGTTGGTGGTGTCTGGTTTATGGCCCTTCTGTGCCATCTGAATGGTACAAAAGGCTAAAAAACAGCCTGAGCATCTGTGTTGCTCTCTGCACCACTATGATAATGGAAATGCACAAATGCTTACAGGAATAAACAACATTTCAAGTTTCCTGAGGTTATATAAAAGAAATATTTATTCTATCTGAAAAAGACTATGCAGAGAAGTATTGGAGTTTAAAAAAAAGAAAAAGTCATAATGTGTTCACAATGTGAGAGAGAAGAGCAGCACAGCAAGCAACCTTAACTAGGCTGTTTCCAAACTTCTGACTGCCTAACCATGCAGCTTTAATGCTCTGTTACCATATTTGTCATGCACACAGTATTATATAGATATATATAATACCAACTGTCTGGCTAGATACAGATATCTTATTTTTATTGGAATTTTATCCCCAGTCTCCTCTCTGCTTCTCTTTTCACAGTTTTTCTTAAGCAGAATGTGAAACTAATACTTTCAAATTTCAGCTGCACTTTTGAACTCGTGATATTTGAAAGCAATTTTTTTCTCATCACAACCCGAAGCTGATATGTTGTTACACAGGAAATGTTGCACATCTCAAAACTCTTCTCTCACAGAAGAGGCTGAATGTGTCCTTTTGAAGGTGTGGGATGCACGTGAAAAAAGTATCGAGATTACTCGGAAATTATCACTGCAACTCTTTTCCCTGCCTGTCTTTCTTTACACAAGTGCCAAAATTGTTTCCTGAAAATTCTTAGAATTCATCTTCTGTCTCATGTAGATGCTGGAGTTTATTTTGGAATGCAAGCTTGTCTGAGAAAGCTGTATTGTGTATGTGTTTGTGCTACATAAAAATATTAACATGAACTAAATCCAAACTCAGGTCTGTGACTGTGTTCACAGGGGTTCTTGGATGAGGGAAGAGACGAGGATCTGACTCAATGTTTCAGAAGGCTTGATTTGTTATTTTATTATATATATCACATTAAAGCTATACTAGAAGAATAGAAGAAAGGTTTCCTCAGAAGGCTAGCTAAGAATAGAATAGGAAGGAATGGTAACAAAGGTTTGTGGCTTGGCATTCTGTCCAAGCTAGCTGGGCTGTGATTGGCCATTAATTAGAAACAAGCACATCAGACCAATCACAGATGCACCTGCTGCATTCCACAGCAGCAGATAATCAATGTTTGCATTTTGTTCCTGAGGCCTCTCAGCTTCTCAGGAGGAAAACTCCTAAGGAAAGGATTTTTCATAAAAGATGTCTGTGACACAGGTTCATCATTAGATCTAAGAGAGGAATTATCAAAGCACTTAAGTGATGCCCAAGGTTAAATCCTGCCTGCCCAATGAAAGCCAGTGACACTGGAGCCCTCCAAGGTCTGTGATTATCAAATGATCTTGGCACCCAACTATTCTCAAAAATTTAGGTACCTAAACCTGCCATCTATAGATGGACAATTTCCTATTTTGTTACAAAGGAATTTGATTTTGGTGACAAAGAGAAGGGGCAGAAAATGGAGCACAGTCCTTCAGCTCATGTCTTGTGACAATTTGTGGCAGTTAAATGAAACCACAAAACAGCCTTCAAAGCAAGGAGAATCCTCATCCAGGAGGGAATATCAGGAGGGAGATTGCTTTTTGTCACTCCTGAGCAAGATCAGATGCAGGATAGGAACACCAGGGAACTTTCTGGTGAACATCCAAGTATCTTTATCCTTTTGGATGCCAGCAAGGTTAAGAAAGGGTTTTGTGAATTGTGGTTTTGGATTCAATGTCTAAATCTCACATAAAACCTACCCAGGAAATCTAACTGCCTCTGCTGAATTGATTTTGTTTCCTACTGCTTTTTCCTGATTACTTTTGTATTATATATTTATATTCCTTGCACGTGTGCATTTTAACCCCATAACTGCTGATGTACTATGTGGCAAATCAAATTTTGACAAAGTTTTGAGGCCAAACTCCTAACTTCTTTTCATTCCTAGAGCTCAGTAACTCTGGATAGGAAGCATTTGTCATCCATAAAAGTGTTGATTCCATCTCCAGTAATCACCCACCCCTCTAATCCATCATACTCCACCTGATTAAATGTAAATCTGATTAGCTCACATAAGAACTAAGAACTTTTTCTTATTCCCTTTGGTAAACACATCAGTCCAGTGACCTGGACATCAAGAGAAACAAGCTTTACACTTTACAGGGGGGAATCAATAATCCCAAGGATATGCTGATTCTAAGTGCTCACAGCCACCAGGAAGGCTGAGGGCAGTTTATGAGAGAAATCCTTCATCTCTTACACTGCTCAGAGCCACAGATTTGCTTGGTTATAGCTGATCATGCTTCCTTCAGAAGACCTATCTGCTTAATGCAACAGCTCAATAAGGCAGCATTAATTTTAATTAACAAATTGCTTGTACACCTACAGCTCTATCACATTGTCGCCATAGCCGGGGTTAGGAAATTGTCCGGAGAAAATAAATTTGAAGCAACTCAGGCACAGGTAAATAGCCTGTTATTATCCACCAACCATTGTCATTATGGTCATTTCTGAAAAATCCTGTGTATCCCATGGTTCATTAAATCTGTTTTACTGCCTGGATAAATGAGCTACTTTGACGTGTCAGCAACAACCCCAAGCAGGAGGCTTTATTCTGCTAAGAAAGATGGCAATCAGCAGCAAGAAAGGCAATCCAGAAAACATCTTATACAAAATTCATGGGTTTATTAATTCATAATGTTAAGTGGTTTTGGCAGCTAACTAGTCACAGAATTTCATCAAGATGTGCACTTATAAACAAAGGGAAAGCAATGGCTTTTCTTTAGCAAAATTTCTCTGATACTTCAAGTCCTTCAGGGGAAAAAAAAAGAAAAAGTAACATTCTCAATATGGATATTTTCTATTTCAGGAAGCCTGGCTACCAGATTGCCAGAAAATATCTTCAGGATGGCCAGCATGAGGCTTCCACCAAGATTTATCAACAAATTAGTCAGGAAAACCCCACATCATGGAACCAGGAAAAGGTAAGAAAGGAGAAGGGGAGGAGACAATGTGCCCATTTCAGGCGGGGATTTGTGCTGCCCTTGCCACAAAAACAGATTTTAGAGCAGGCCAGGCTGGTTAACGTGGCTTTAGTTCCTCAGCAGGCACTTACACGATGGCACATGGAATTTATTTCATGTGATACCATTACAGGAATGCTGTGAAGAGGGAGAGCAGAGACTTAAGAGTGGTGCTGGAAGCTGTGCTGTGGTTTGGAAAGAAACACCCAGAAATAAGAGAGGAAGGGGAGCTGCACCTTCCATTAGAGCATCCCAGCAAGCCAGACTCCCAATTCCTCTGGAGGGAAGGGCAGGACAGGTGGTGGGAGAAGAGGAAAGCAGGGAAAATCTGAAGGAGTGGGTGCTGGAGAATTTCTGAAGGGAGCCAGAGGCTGCTGCAGAGGAGGGCAGATGTACAGGAAACCTCAGAAATGGCAGAAATTGGTTTTGAGGACTCCAAAGAGAAGTCAGGGGAGAGGACACTTTATCTCAAACATAGAAATACTGAAAGTTGCTAAAAATTTGAAAGAAAGCCTGGAGAAAAGGACCCATGCTTCTCAAGAGGGATATTTATTTTCCAGCTCTTCATATGTTTTATTCCTCATATTTTAGGTTCTGAATTTTTCCTGCTTAGCCTGCTATCTTGCTTTACTCTATGTGAGGTGTTCAGAACTTTTCCCCATAATTAATTCTAATTTAAAAGGTTTCAAAACTATTAACTTCAGATTAATGGGAAAGGTTTGCTTTTTATTTCCAGGCCCTACTGTTGCAGGTCCTGTGAGCAGGTAACCCTACAGCACCGGTTGTAGCTGCCAGTACTGACAAACCCCACAAAAGCAGAGGATGGGTAAAGAATCATGTTGAATTACTTTAGCAGGGCTGCACAGGGACAAGGAGAGGAAACTCTTCCTCCCTTCCTTTCTCTAAAATCTGCAAGCAGATATGTGCTTATATGCAGATGTGAGCCAAGTGGCACTGCCCAGCCTCTTGCATCCTTCAAATCCAAAAATCTAGCTGGCCTTGGGCATGTGCATGTAGCAGAAAACTGACAATGAGGAGACAAGGAATCACTTGCTAGAAATCAATGAATGACAGCCCTAAAAGCTGTCTGTGACTTACCTGAAGGTGTACAGTGAACAGATTCCTGTTGGTGTGCATCCATATTACATGGTGGCCTTTTGTAGCCTCCCCAGCAGAGCAGAAACCTGCCTGTGACCCAACACTGCCCGTGGGGCAGCCTGTCCTCCAAACCCGCCACACTCAGGATATTGAACACACATTTTTTTCCCCCTGAGTGCAACAGGGTGCATGTGGAATATTATATTGGTTTCCAGCCACCTGCCAGAGTCTGATGGCAGGAAATTTGCACGGCTCTTGTTGTGGCCAAGTGACAGATAATAAGTGAGAGGTGCCATTGTTGGAACTATCACTATCAGATTTTCTAACGCAGCCCTGGTGTAATGAGATCATACACATTGCTCAAGCTTCAATCAGAACTTCCACTGAAGGAACAAGCCTGAATAATAATAAAAGCAGAAAGCATTTTAAGTAAATAGAATTTCCCAGATACTGCATAATGGTGTTTGTTATTGCTATCTTTTATGAGCCTCGAGAAATATTTTGTATAAGAATGATTTCCTTCAATATAAGCTGTTATCATGAAGGTCTCCTATGTCAATTCTTATTTAAAATATATTTCCTTACAGTCCCAACATTATGAAAGCACAAATTAATGCGACCTCTTTGCTTCCATTCCATGTTCTTATAAAACCCCGCCGCCGCTCTCCAAAGAACAGTTACGTGCCGCGCTGTACAAATGTAGCCCAAACCACTCCAAATAATAAGCTCCATTTTGGCAGTAAAAATTTATTCTGTGTACATCTTTCCGAGCCTCTGAAAAGCCAAGGTCTTTCAGTGAGGACTGCATGGAGCTTTTTTTTTCTTTTTTTATTTTTCTTTTTTTTTTATCCTGAGCTTGAGTGTTCAGAAGCGTGGAGGGAGCTGATATCCTGCTCAGCTCTCCTGATGGAAAACTTCCACGAGCCTGAGCAAGCCACACTTCTTCTAAGAAACTTGTGGGAACACAAACAGGGATCCTGGCAGCCAGTGCAGAAACAACACCCAGCAACAGTACAAAGGAGGGCAGGCTATCCTCATGACCTGCAGTATTATTTCCTTCTTGCCTAAAGCTTGCCATTGGCAAAAGGACAAAGCCAAAACAGTGTGCACATTCTTGTTTAACATTCCCCTGTTAAGACCATTTTGCACAGTTTGCTTTTTGGTTTAGTATGTATTTATCATTGCTGGCAGCAGATAAAAATTATTTTATTATTTCATTATATGAAGTTCTGACCACTGTTTTCTGCTAGTGTAAAAGAGCTACATGATTTCAAAATTTCTCCCCTAAGAAGTTAAAATCTTGTTTACAGGCAAAGAAGAAAGATGTCTTATACATAAAGTCAAAATTTATCATTAGTACAATTGAAATCCTAAGAGTCTCAGCCAAGAATTGTTATTGTTCCACATATAATTGTTATGGAAAGGGAAAGAATAAGTCTGTGCAGAGAATATTCACTAATGAAAATAATAATCTCGTTAAATTTTTGCATGTGCGCTTAGTTTCTGCCTCTTTTCCTGATGTTCTGCTCACCCCTCTGGTGTCTCTCCCTGGGGATGGGGGTTTCTTTCTCATGGTGGTTTTGTTCCCAGTGAGTTATCAGCACCCAAAAGCCTTTGCCAGGAGGAATACAAAGTTCACTTTGAAGTTTTCCTCTTTCAGTGTGTTGAATATTTTGGTGTCACTTTTAACATGCTTTTGCACTCAGGCTTTATTTCATTCACCTGCAGCTGTGAGTTACAGCCATTTTTAAAGGTGGATTTACATGTGCTGGAAACTGTTTCTTTCTATGCTTGCTTATCCTAAAAAGCAGAGCAGCCCAGCTTCAGGCCTGCATTTCTTTAGCTGTGGGTCTTTTAGGGTGAAGTCTGTGTTCCATATTCCATCATCCCAAATCTCTGCCCCTCCACGTTGAACTCTGTGTCTCCTTTATCCTGCCTGGCCACATTTACCAGAGCTAGTGAAACAATGGTGGCACCAAAGAAAGAGAAACAAAAGTGAAGCAAATCCCTCAGGAAGTCCTAAAGAGGTGGAGAAATTCCTGTCACAACCAAACCAACTGAGAAAAGGCTGCAGGCAGGTCAGGAAAAGTTCAGGCAGAGCAAGTCCTGACACTTGGCAGACTCAGTGCAAAGTTTATGGCCACAGCAATGCAGTATTACAGATCAATATAATGACAGCATGTTCTTACATAATATCCTTTCACTTTTCTTAGAGACATGAAGCAGGCTTATCTTCTTTATGCTTTTAATTGTAAAACATGAATTTCACCCCCAAGTAATTCTACAATTCTCATAAATCCTTTACTTTTTTTGTGATCTTCAGTAAAGTGACAGTGATAACAAAATAGTTATGTAATGTAACATGCATAGCTTGCTGAAATGCATCATAAGGGACAAGGTGCTAAATTTCTTGGTTGTCACCTTTCTAGACAGTGTTTATTGCTATTTTAGGTTCTAGCATTTTTAATTCTGTGATCCAGTATGGCCCAAAACAAACCTAGAAGTTGTAACATATAAGGAAATAGAAAAGCTGATAGGGGCTGAGTGTTGTATAAGCAAAGGCAACAACTGGTGAGACTCTTCTGTGCACTTTAAAAAGCAGCAAATGCCCGAAGCCCATCACTGGATTATCCACAGCAGGTCCAGCACAATTAGATTTAATGAAAATTCATACTCTTATTTCCTAAAGAAGGACATTTGAAATCATGGTATCTCTATGAATACATTGTTTTGATCTGTTTTCTCTTCCTTCCAGTAAGTTTTTGGACTATTTCCCATACTTTGTCTATTTCAAAACAGGGCAACTCATCCCAGAAACTACTGATTTCTTACTGAGGAAACATGGGTCTAATCCTTATAAAACACAAGAAAATGCCATCAAATACAAGAAAAAAACAGGCACAAATCTGCATATCTCTGGTCTTTGGCTGGGGTGTTCTCAGGGAACAACTTGCTGGGATTGATGGATTGCTGGGTAGTGTTCAGTGCTAACCATTGTAACAACCCTTATCCAGGTGGAAAAAAAATTACTAGGAAAGACAGTGCAAAGCCATGAAGCAGCTGGTAGAATTTTCAGTTTCAAGTTGCCCTTCTGTTTCCTTGGAGTTTTTGCTTCCACCTAATTTCCAGTGCTTTTTTAATTATGAGATTTCATATTGGAAAGCATTTCTCTGTGGCAGATGCATAGATATCTTACTATCAAATACTGTATTGGTGACCTATTCTGAGTGAAGAAAACCAGTTCTTTATTCTGTTGCTACTTCTCTCCTTCAGCAAGTTCTAGATATCCCAGGCAGAGGGAGAGGACAATACTGCAAGATGCTGCCAACACATACAGTGAGCAGCAGCTTCTGTTCTGATGAATCTATGATTATCCACTCCATTTATCTCAATGAGAAGTGAACTTTTAAATTTGCATGGTCCATTAGGGCCTCAAGTGAGCAAGGCATTTAAGCATGTGCTTAAATCCATCTGTATTCAGGAAACCAATTAAGTACATGCTTAATTTTAATGATGGATCCTGTACTGAGGGCTATAAAGCTAAACTGCCTTTAAACTTGGACAAAGTCCCCTTTCTCTTTATTTCAAAAGAAAAAAAGGAAGGTCAATGCAGGAGTTGGTGTTGGTGCCGAACAAGGCTTTTCAATTTCAGCTATCAGGAATGGAAGCAATGAGGAGGAGCTGTAATAACTTTAAACTAGAAAAAGTGGGGTAAATTCACAAAACTCTGCCTGACGAGACAGGGCAGTTCTGGGTGGCAACACAGAGACCAGCACAACCAGAGTGCAGCTGGCAGTCGCTCTGGATTTGTGCAGCCAGGCCTAGAATCCCACATTCTCCCACAGGAGACACTGTAAAAGTACAAAGCAAATTAGCTAACAAAACATTTCTTCTCCTGTGCATTTTCATCTGCAGCTTTAATCATTCCATTAACAGTGTCATAGATGCCTCTATTTTGTTTCCTAAGCACTGCTATCATGAGGACCCACCGAAGCTATACAGTTGTTATTTCACACTGAGATATGTATGATGCCTATTGATGTCCAAATTAAAGGTTTCTGAAGAAGAAACAGCGCTGCAAAATTATTATTCATTCCCTTAATTGCTCATCTGGTTTGAATTGGATATGACATTTCATAATATATTCTATTTCACTCTCTTTACCACACTATGCAGGGCAGCTAAGTACTTTGAAAGCTTTGAGGAGGCATTTCTATTTATCAGGGCAAAGGCAATCTGTGGGCATTCCTTAACAAAATAGGTCTAAATCAGCATTAAAAAAGTTAGAAATGAAGCAGCAGCTTATTAAAAAGAAACTTTATTGACAGATGATTTTAGCAAAGCCACCAGTATTTGAAATGACTGGGAAGTACCCAGCAACACCACAAAATTACATGAGGAGACAAACACCACAGCCTCTCTCTGCAGGTGAGAGAGGCAACAAGCCAAGGCTGGCCTGTCCCTGAAGGAATAATTTTGACCTGTATTAACTGCTTAATCCAGGGAGTTCAGTTTAACACCATTAGAAAAAGCAGAGCATACGTTTAACAAGTGAACAGACAAAAAAAATACCTCAAAGCTCCAGCTCAGCTTGTGCTACTCAATAGAGCTGTTAGAGCAACACTGGCCTGGGGCACATGGCAAGTGGTAGAACAAGAAGATAAAGAGGTCAGCAATGCATTTACAGATACTCACATTATACTTCTGGAAAGTATTTTGTGTTCCCTTCTCAATTTACACATTGGCAAAAAGGTAAAGAATAATTTCTGAGCAGTGCATTTGTGGGCTGATTTTTTTCCAGGAGACAATTATAATAAGAAGGACATTTTAAATACTATTTGTGCCCCAAATTCTGCAGCATGTGGATGTGCAATGGCAGGAAAATTCTTCCTTACTTTGCCCCTCCCTTGTCTCTTTGCTAACTTTTCCGTTCTGTACCCAGATTCCCTCTCCTTTTTCCAACCACCAGGTAAATTGATCCAGACCTACATGCATGCAATGTTTGATGTCCTTGGCAGCAAGAACCTGAGATGGCAGCCAGGATGAGTCCACATGAGTATTGGGCTCTTCAATTATCCCCCAGAAACCAGCAGAGCTCTCACAATTCCCTTTTTCTTCTTTGCAGCCTTCAAGATTTTGCTGGGTTTGCAATGTGGCAATTATTGCCAGAGAAATGGAAGAGACCTCATGGTTCCCTTGGTGAGAAATAGTTAAATATTTGCTGGGTCACAGACACAAAGCTAATGTGCTGCATTTCTCTTAAATTAACCCAAGGTGCAGAATGGGCCAGAAAAGAAAGAAAAGGCCCCTCATTTCCAAGGGTGTTTATCCAATTTTGGCTTATTCCAAAGCACAGAAAACACTGCTACAGCCCTGGTAGCAGCTCCCATTTTCTTGTCTGTTGGGTGACTGCCCACACAACAAGGCTGCTGTGTGAAAAGGGGGCTCACCTCCTCCTTTGGCCATCTTTTAAAAGAAAACCACCTGTTGCCTCTGTATCCTCTCCATGCCCTCCAAAAACCCACGGATCAGTCCTCATTTGGAGGGAGGTTTTGTTTCTATGCCCAAACTGACACGAGCTCTGCTTTGAGCCTTTGATAAATGCAGCAATTCTTTATATACCTACAGAGAGGTGAGAAAGTTGCCAGTGGTGTTTGGGCAGGGCCAGAATTGGGATGCTGATCAGTGGGTTTGCTCCAGGGGGCTTGGATGTGGGTTTGGATCATGTCCCCGAGCTTGAACAAGGGCAGGAGTTGTGTGTGAGAGCTCTCATCAGCATTTCTCACTGCAGGAACCTTCAGCCTTTGCCACAGAATCTCAGCTTTTTTTTTCTTTTTGCCTTTTATATGTTTCTGAAAGCGTCCTCAAAACATATGCTTTTAATCTCCTTTGAGTCATCAAAGAGTTTGAAACAACACTCCTGAGAGCCTGGGGACAGGAGTGATGCTGTGCCACCATGAAATCTGACATTTTGCTAAGGTACCACATGAGTCAGTGTTTTACTGCAGATTTAATTATTTTGCTGCAATCAGAAGTCTGAACACATTAACTTTTCAGAGCCCATTCTTGAGTGAGACTGGATATGGCTGCATCTTGCAGAATGTAGATATTCTTCTCTGCAAAAGAAGAATACATTGATGGTGGTGGGGATAGGAAAACCAAAGCTGTGTCACTGAGCCTAGGAAAAAAGAAAGAGAGGGCACAGAAAGCAGAAATATCTTCCTACTGACCCTATTTGGGTTTTGGTGAGAGAGATGATAGCCTGACAAGCAGAGGAGAAAACACTCCTTAGCATCTGCTGTGACCGTAGGATAGTGAGAACAAAGGAAAACCCTGTGTATCCTTTCCATTGCCCTGTGTGCCCATCCAGCACTTGGATCCTGTTGCAGCTTTGTCTTCACTGTGTGAAGGCTTTGTTTCTTTGATCTTGGTGGATTTCTGTTCTTTGAACAATCCTTTCCTTGGGTAATAAAAAGCCCACGTGTTTCTACAGGTAAGATTTTATGCATACCCCTTCAGAACAGGTGCTAAATAATAATTACAACATGAAAATGAATGTTTGATTCCTGATGAAGTCACCCAATGGACAAATGACCTCAGAGATGTGCCCAGGAACGTGTTGGATCTGCAGCCAGCTTAAATTGTGTGGGTGCCATGGGCTGCTGTTAAATTGTGCTGCTGTGCTAAACTGAACTGGTGTTCACCACCTGTGGAGCTGCTCCAAGGTCAGCAAGGAAGGATCAGGGCAATAATTAGACATCCTGTTTTTCAATTAGAAACCACACAGTAATGAAAAGCTTTCCAGAAGATCACTTACTGTATTATTGGGTTGGGGTTTTTTTAATTGGCTCTTAAAATGAGTTCTGCTTTAGTGACTAACTGGGCAGTCACTATTCAGCTTGGGAAGTGCAAACTGGCTGGGGTAACCAAAGCAAAAAGGATTGAATTGATTTTCATATTAATGGGAGAGTTCATTCCAGAGAGAAAAGGTTAATTTGCTTTTCAGTGAGTTTATGGAGAAAGTGCTTGTGGTCAGAGTGATAATTTGTAGCTAAATCACACGTTTAAAGGCAAAAGTGATTGCAGAAAAGCTAGGGACAGCATTTTCAGTATTATGCAATGGAACTGTCAGCAGTGTTTTCTGTGCTTTCTTCTTCCCCAAGCACAAGGATTTGAGAAAGAAGCCAGCACAATAGCACTGTCACCTGCGTCCTTGGTTTTTTTCCCTTATATTTTTTTCCCTCTGCACATCAGATATTTAACAAATACAGAAGCAGAGAGAATGCTGTCTCACCCAGCTTTAATGCTGGTCATGCTTATGGTCTGGGAGCTCTCCTTAAACACACATGGCTTTTGTTGGGCTTGGCTTCCCCACAAAGGTGCTGTCTGTAGATATTAATTTTAATTTTTAATTTATTTTTATTTAGCATTATAATTCTTGAGATTTGTGAATTATTAGAGATGCAAGTGAAACAATTTATGCTTAACATGATGACTTGACATAGATAAAATTCTTGTGAATATGGGTTGGGGTTTCTTTCTTTAGTTTTAGCCAAGCAGAATCTGTGAAATTTAAACTGAGTATGAGATGGGCTAACTTGTTTCTTTGGTTTAGGAGTTGAAATTTTGGATAATCACCTCCAAGGTTAAGAATGAGTAACAGTGGTAAGTGTGCTGCTGATTTAAAAAGTGATGTAACAAATGTGACTTGAGGAGCAGTGATAGCAGCTTGCCCATCCTACCTTTGATGCTTTATCAAAGGCTTAAGCAAACAGGCAAACATAGACAAGTAAATAAATACCAAGCAATGCCTGCCCTTTGGAATTTTTTTAATAAAAATGCTAACAGAGCACCTTTAGAACTGTGGGGTTTGCTACACCTGATGTAGCTTGCACGGGGGTGGAATGAAAAGCCCAAGTCAAAGAAACATCCAAAAGGCCACACTTTAAATTTCTGTCCCTTCTTGTGTGAGAAGGGACAGAAATTTAAATTTGCAGAGTTCAAACTACTTGGAAGTAAAATTTTTGCTGTAGCTGCTCTGTGTTATCCTGGTCCATGAGTGAGGCTCATGGGCTGCTTCTTCTTCCTGGTCTCTGCTGCTGTTTGGGGAGGTCAGAGCTTTGTTCCACTGGTCCCTCTCCTTGGCTTCACCTTTCTCCCCCATCACTCACCGGGTCACATCTTACACAGCTCTCCTCTCTCCTGCTGCCCAGTGCCACTGCCAGGTTCTGGCATTGCCTGCAGCCTGAGACTTTGGCATCTGGTCATTTTCCTGAGGGCTCCATCTGTGAGGTTATTTGAGCCTGGTTACATGGGGGTCCTTCAGACTAGAACCACTTTAAACTCATTTTGTAGTACAGAAGCATCCCTGAAGAAATGAGGAGGAAAAAAAAAAATAAAAGAAAGCAGACCTGCACTTTATAAGCTCTCTTGGATTACATGTACAAAAGTGCATGCAGGTATTTCTACAGACTATAAAAGAGAGTTCCAACTGACCAAGAAATAGATAAAACCAGTAATCTTCAGGATGCTATCTGCAGTAAAGATTATATATTTCAGATTAAAATCTATGCTAAAAAGGGTATCTTCTTTGCTGTGCCAAAAGAATGGTTGAACCTGCCACATTTCCGAGCTCACATGTGGGCATGATAAAATCTTAACAACATGCCATTAAATATGCCTTTACAACATCTATTCTGCCTCAGCTAGATATATCTGTGAATCCTCCCTTTGCACTGGAGATTAAATAAACTCCCTGGACAGCTGAGAAGAATTAAAGTATGACCTGATAGTTTCTCTGCTTGACAATAATATTGTCTGTCAGTTTGTGCTGTATCCAAGATACTGTTCTCTGGCCCATGCTCAGAAAACAGATATTGATGGGTTTAGCTGATTAACATCTCTACATCATTTGTCCCTTCAGTCTCAAAATATATTTTACAAAATGCTGCAGCAGGTGCTTTCTAGACTTTGCACAGTGGTGCCCAGTGCAAATATTTCCATGTATCCCCTAGCTAAAACCTTGAAAGGTTTTTCTGTCTTAGACAAACAGCAGTGCTGTCACATTTGGCCACTGGAGCCCAACATTTTGACTGAAACAGGGTTTGTATCCTGCAAGAAGATATGGGAAGGTTGTCTGACTATTCCAAGCTTCTCTTACAGGACAGAATATCAGTTTCTAGCTGGTCTAAATGCAGATGTGCTGATACCCCAGGGATATCCCTTTTTGTTAGGGACCTGGACAGGTGATTACATAGGGAAGGAACAATATGCTTTGAAGCATATTGATGCTTCTTAAAAATAACCATGGCCTTACCTGTCACAAAAGTGGAATACCCAAATTTTAGTGTTCATCAAGTGATGATGTGAGAAGGGAGAAGGTGAGTGGGAGAGGCTGTGAGTGTTCCTTTGGAAAAGGATGGAGGAAAACTGGACACAGGGCTGCTCATGGGCCACAGCCTGTAAGAAAATGTTTGCCCATGCACTGGTTATTTAATAAAACCTTCAGACCTTTCATTTATTTAGGCTTTACATCAAAATCACCCAGGCTTCCTTCAAACAACAGTATTTAGTCCATAAGTGAAAGGAGCAGTGACTGTGATGTGTCCCACAGGAGCCATCCCTCACCTCCAAGGCTGGTGAGGAGAGAGGGGGATGCAGATTTGGGGAAACCGAGAGATCACAGATGGATTTATTATCCATTAACTTTCTTATCCTAAACAGATGGCCAGTCCCAGATCCTCCCTTATTTTATAAGTGAGTGCATCCACTTTCCAAATTTGGATCTGTGTGCCAAAAGTGAAATTCACACTTCCCATGAAAAGGAAAACAGTGACAGCATCCTCAGAGGCTTTCCTCCCTCAACTAGTCTATGGAAAGTCTATGGAAAATCTAGGAAATAGGAAGTGCAGGCAGCAGGAGCAGTTCAACTCCCCCCAGGCCCCTGGATCCAGCAGAGCTGAAAACCTGAGCATGACCCACAGATAACAGCCCAGGCTGGCTCTGCAGGAGCTGGGGATGAAAGGCACAGCTGTGAACTGCCCAGGTCCTGCACTGAACACAGCTGGGGAGTGGTTTGGGCGCTGCTGGGACCCCTCCCAACACCAGCATTGGCCCCAGACCCTCAGAGAGGCCCAGGGCAGAGGGAGGAGGCAGCTGTGCTGTTCTGGTCCTGCTTGTGCTCAGTTTATGGCCAAGATGTGCAGTTCCAGTTTTCTGGAGCCCACCATGCCATGCAGATGGAAAAGGGGATAAAGAACCCACAAAGTGTGTGGTGGCATATCACAGATGATAAAATACAACCATGGCTGCACAATAATGGTATATGTTCTAGTAGGCATAACAATGAATTAAGGCTGCAATGAAAATGCATAAATTCTCCTCTTTTTAATTTTTTTTTAAATTTTGTGTTCATTAAGTTCTGCTGGCTTGGGAGCCATTCCTGCACACACTTCCAAATGCCATAAAGTCATTTATGCACCACTGGAAAATATTTTAGATATTCAAGCCCATGTTACTACAAACTGCCAGTTGATGACCAAACTATAGCTTTGGAATCCAATTTAAATTGGCCATTTTAGCACAAGGCTACACACTTTTGTTACTGCAAATGGGTAGAGGAGTTATTCTCCATTGTAAAGCAAATTGTATTTTGTTTATCTAGCGTTTAAATGTCCAGTGTTAAAAGAAAAAAAAACCAACAAAAAAACTGAGGTAACAAATTAAAGAACATCATAGATTGGCATTTTCCTCCAGCAAGATGATTTTAAAGCACTTTTTTTCCTTCATTTTTGGACACGTTCTAACCTTTCATAGCAAACTGCTATTCATATTTGAATTCATCTTTCTTAGCTATGGCTGATTAAAACTGGAGACACCATTGCAGATGAGGTCTAAGCAGTAAAATGGCATGAACTCTCCCTCATCCTTACTGCAAGGAACCTGTCAGAGGCATTTTTGGACTGTCATTGCCTTTTCACAGCTCTGGTGGCTCTCAGTTGTCCCATGGCCAAAACCCCCTGATCCTTCTCAGCATCAGCCATCCCTGGCTAATGATCTCCCACTACAGAGCTGAAAAGTGATAATGGTCCCCAAGCCCGAGCCCATTTACCCTCTGCACTATAAAATTTAATTCCACTTCTATTACTTTTTCCCCTGAGGCTGTGCAGTTCTGCCTCTCGTGCCAGCCTGATGCTGTTTGCACTGGTGCTTCCTCCTGGTGTCATCAGCCAGTTCCATTTGTGCCCTTTGTGGCCATGAAATAAATATTAAAATAAATATTTAAAAATTATATATTAAATAAAACCACACCTAAATTATATATATATATATATAAAATAACACCAGACCTAACTATTATATATATATTAAATATTTTATATATATATTAATAGATATATAATTATATATGTTATATATAATATATTAATATATATTAATATATATTGATATATATAATATATTAAATATTTAAAAATATATATTCAGTAAAACCAGACCTAAATAATAAATATATATATTAAATTAAACCAGACTTAAATATTAAATATATATATTAAATAAAACCAGACATGCTTTCTCACTGCTTTATTACTGGCAAACCATGAAATTATTGCCATGAAACTAAAGTGAGTCCATTTCTTTAACAAGGATGTTGAACAGGAAAAGAATTTAGCCAAGTTCAGACATCCTAGACATCCCTAAAAGGACTTCTCTTCACACTGGTGCCTCCTCATGGTGCCATCAGCCAGTTTCATTTGTGCCCTTTGTGGCCATGAAATAAATACTAAAATAAATATTTAATATATATTAAATAAAACCAGACCTAAATATGAAATATTTATTAAATAAAAACAGACATAAATATTATATATTTATATATATATATATATATTCAATAAAACCAGACATGCTCTGTCACTGCTTTATTAACAGCAAACCAGGAAATTATTAACATGAAACTAAAGCGGGTCCATTTCTTTAACAAGGATGTTGAACAGGAAAAGAATTTAGCCAAGTGCAGACATCCCAGACATCCCTACAAGGACTTCTCTTCACACTGGTGCCTCCTCATGGTGCCATCAGCCAGTTCCATTTGTGCCCTTTGTGGCCATGAAATAAATACTAAAATAAATATTAAAAATACATATATTAAATAAAATCAGACCTAAATATTAAATATATATATATAAAATAAAACCAGACCTAAATATTAAATATATATATTAAATAAAACCAGACCTAAATATTAAATATATATATTAAATAAAACCAGACATGCTTTCTCACTGCTTTATTAACATCAAACCAGGAAATATTAACATGAAACTAAAGCAAGTCCATTCCTTTAACAGGGATGTTGAAGAAAGGAGCTTAGCCCAGTACAGACATCCCAGACATCCCTACAAGGGCCGCCACAGATGCACCTGGGATCCAACCCTTACAGATGCACCAACATCACCATTTCTGGTGTGGCCCAGCATCATCAACCCCACCTGGCTGCCATGGCCAGGGCCAACCCACAGCAGCCACAGGGCCCATGGGAGCAGTCAGAGAGGAAGCACAGATCCTGCAGGGGGTGAGCACAACAGATGTCTCAGCTTCTCATTCTGATGGTCTTCAGCTCATCTTGCCGCTGGCTTGCAGTGCCCACGTGCAGGAGAACCATCCTCATCCTCCTCCAGCTTTCTCCCTGGTCATGCAATGCACACACTTCCAGCTGAAGGAAGCCCAAGTGAGTGAAACTCTCATGGCCTTGGCTTTTATTCTGAGCACCCCATGCAGGTTTTCTGAAAAAGGACTGTTAAAAAGATTTTTCAGAGAAATTGGGGTCACCTGCTGCAGTGAACTGAACATAATTGGGAAGCACTGTAGATCTCCTCTGTTTGGAAATGCATTGCGTGTGGATGGGGCTAGTTCAGCTTTCTATGTGTTTCTGGCTTCACATGCTATTTTTAAGAGCTGTAAATGGAGCAGGTCTTGCCCCCCTCCTTCCACCCTCTCCTCCTACTCACTGATTTCTCATCTTAAATTAAATTGGGTACAAACACTGTAACAAATAATTTTCTCTCTACATTATAAGAAGATAGGCACAGACAGAAGTTCAGAAACATACAGCATGTAGCATCTTTACAAGATAAGATCAGCACTGTGGCTTTCTGTCACAGGGTTTGCCTTTAAAAATTGCAATCATCAGCTCAGAATGTTTATCACCCCTTGAGAGGGATACTCTTACCACTGCCTATGAAGAGAGATGTCTGGGATAAAAGATTGTCTTTATGTTTATCAGAACCTTTTAATTGCCCACAGCAGGCAATCCTTGAGCATCTAAACAAGTGTGGCTTTGCAAGAACTCACACCAAGAAAGAAAGATGTCACTGTCATTTGAGAAGATGTACATGTTAAAAATGTAAATTTAAATGTAAATTTAAAAGTGGAACTAAGAGGCTGCTGGCTTCCCCAGCTTCCTTTGTCCTCACAGGAGAGAGGAGCTAGAAACCAAATATCCCTGCCCTGCTGGCTTTTGCTGTTTTCTGATTTTTGCACCTCTGAGGCAGGTCCAGCAGTGCTGGTTTGTTGGATCAGGAGACTGATAAGAGCAGAGCAGATACCCCTCTTGTCTCCCCCAGCCTCTCATGAGTGTCAGCCCCAAACAATTTGCAGAAGTTCTCAGTTCCACCTTGCTGGTTTAACTCAAACTCAATTCTTTCTAACTTGTGCCAGATATTGCCTGTTTTGATGAGCCAGATGCCAGCTGGAAATGGGCTGTCCCAAACTCCTTGGGCCATTTCATGCAGAAAAAAGCACTGCACAGAAGAGCCTCCTTTGAGGTGCAGAAGTGCTCCAAGTGTCTTCAGAGCACAGGTTGAGGTGATTGGGTGTTATTGCTGTAAATCAAACCTTCCAAGCATCTTCTGTTTCTTTATAGCTCTGCTTGAATTCTTGACATTTTTTCCTGCATTTTTCACAGGTCTCAGAACAATTTCCATGCTTGGTCCAAGTGGGCAAGCAAAAGATTCAGGGTCTCACAGTCTATTTCACCCAAGAGAAGAAATTTATAAGGGCATCAGATAGCTTGGAGATAACTGTGCACCTTCTCAAGGAAAGGCAAGGTCTCCTTTTCTACCACTTTAAGGGGAATTGAAAACCATGCAATGAAATCTCCTTTCTGAAAGGGCCTCCCAGGGCCTTTCCTTGGGCCAGACTCACTTTGCACACCTGGGCAGTGCTGGTACAACAATCACTGTGATGTCTGTGTGTCACCCAAACACTCCTGCTCCTGACAGAATTGAAATTTAAGTCCATTGTTCTGGCCAGTGGGGTTCCAGGATGAGGCTCCTTCCTGGCCTCAGGAGATGACAATTAACTCAGCTGCTTGCTCTAGAGCTTCTTGCAGCCCAGGACAATGATCTTTCCCACCATTTTGCCCCAATCTGCAGCAACATCTGTGGTGCATGTCCCCAAAGCCACAAGGGAAAGGAATGGCAATTCCTGGCTCTATAACCTGCAGCCACCTTGCAAGACACAATTTAGCAGCTGGGCTTTCTACTTCTGTAAAAATGTAGGCTGATTCTGGGTAACAGGGAGATCATCCTGGACCTCAAACCATTTCTTTGCTGTTTTCCTGAGGAATGGCTGAACAATTTGAATTCAATGCAAAGGTTCTTGCTGAAATCCCATTTCAAAAGCTGCAAGAGTGTTCTGATTCCCTTGCTGCTGCTCACACACACTGTGCATTTACTCACCATCTACTTGCCCTTTAGTGCTTGGCAGATTTTGCTGCATTCTGCCCAGCAAGGCACAGGTGCACCCACAGCAGATGGTGGCAAGCCTCATCTAACAGAGGCAACTTTACGGGCACCTTCTTCAGGAAAAGCAGATTTTTACTCAAGAAATAGAATATGAAAGGGTCCAGATACCAAGGGTTATGAATCCAGCAATAACATAGCTCTGCTGATAATGACAATGTTTGGAATAATTTTTATTTGAATAGATCTGCCTGCATTACCAATATCTACAGTGTTGCTTGGTAACTATTTCCTGATACCCAGAGACTGAAAAACATTTTTTTCAAAACTAAATTACAATTCTGATATTAAATTTCACATTTTAGTGGTTCTAGTCTCCTCTGCATGGCTGTTTAGCTACAGCAATATTCCTGGTAGCATTTTTTTATATTATCCACTTTTCTATATTTTTTTTTACTTTCTTTCCTTTCCCAAAGGTGCCAAGTGAGGTTACAAGTAAATATTTCATACTCCTTCCTTGGAAATATGTTGATATTTTAAGAAGTGTCAGTAAAACTGTAAAGTGAGAATACTGGTGATCTCAGACTCAAGTTGCATAATTCAGGATGAGTTTCAAAATCCAAGTAGAAAGCAATTCTAAATTATCAGTGGGTGGAAATAAAATTACCACATAAAGCAGTAAAGCAAATGGTATTAAAGTGTTGCATGGAAAATAGGTGAATATGTTTAAATATTAGTCACACTTCTCTGTATTTGTTTTGCTGTTGGTGCAGTGCCAGCATTCACTTATTTTCCAGAAGCTGCATTGTGTGGTCATGAAGATAAAGGAAAATAATAATAATAATAATAATAATAATAATAATAATAATAATAATAATAATAATAATAATAATAAATAATGTAGTACTGTTGATGGGATTATAATTCAGCAATGAATAAAAAATCATAATGCTCTACTTATTAAAATTTACCTCAGAAAATAAAAAGGCAAATTAAAAAGAGGAACAAGGCCCACCATGCTGCAGTTTCAGAAGTGTATCTGCTGATTTCCTCATGCTGCAAATTTTAGTTACAAAGTCATGCCTCCCCCATTTTTTTGAGGATTAACAAATTCATTTCTGCCTTCCCTGCTAACGAGGACAGCACCACAGAAGGTGGTAGGCTGCTTGTAAATGCCAGGGTTCTGCTGATTTGTGGGCACTTCTGTGACTAAAGGAATGTAGCAGTTGTGTGAGACGACCCCTAATATCTCTTTTGCTCCCTGACAATGCCAGATTGTGCAGGGAGCTGTGCCTGAAAATGAAATTCCCACCTCCCCAAATATATGCACAGTGACTTTCTGGAACATGATTTTTGCAACAAGTACCCACACTTTGTTCATTTGCTTTCCCGGTGGCCTCTTTTGACTGAAGGCTTGAAACTGGCAGCTCAGAGCTGTGGAAGGTCAGGAGAAAGCAAATGACATTTGTTTAACAGCTATTTGTAGTAGAAAAAGTTTAGTTGATTGTGTGGGTGATTGCATCAATTCTATTCCATAGCTCCTACAAAAGAAAATAGATTTTGAGATCACTTTGGAGCACCCTTTCTCTGGCTTTGAGGAAACAGCAAATTTTACATTCTGGTAGATGACTGAGTTCTGATTCCTACAAAAACCTTTAGCCACTCTTAGAAATGCACTTCCTAAGAAATCCTCAGTTACAGCCAACTAGACAATTTGGAGAGGACTGGGTACTTCTAGGCATTGTAAAATGTAGAAATGGTGAACACCTGTAGAAAAAGTTGCCATCTAAACCTTCCCCCAGTTCATTGCCAGATGAATCTGACTTCTGGCATTTTAAAAATAGAAATGGAAGGTTTGTTTGTCCCCAGGGCCCAACTCTGTCCTAAGTGCCACATTCCTATGGAGGCTATGGAGCCTTCAGCACTGGAAATCTCTAAAAAAACAGATCAGGCAGAGCTGTCTGGAGTGACATCTGCAGGCAAGCTTGCTGTAAGACAAAGGAACCCAAAAGTCCTGGTCTCACTCCTGCCATTAGATTTCTAATATTATTAATAGCATTTGGTAATAACTGCACTGAAAGATTTGTCCTTTTTACTGCAACTATGGGAAGCATTTAAGCCAAGGCCAGCTATGTTCCTAAAGGAATATTATATCTCTCCTGAGGAGACTTTTGTTCTGTGCTACAGAAAAGGTGAAGTCCCATGGCTGCACTTATCCCAAACAATTCCAGATTCACAGAATACATCACAGTAGTTGTTTATTCATTGTTATACTACAGATGTACTTAATATTGCCCAAAATCAGACACCATGGGTGTGGCACATCTTCAACCCATCCCCTCTCACCCAGATTAAGGCATCTGTGGTTCCTCAAATGGCTGTGGTGTGGTTTGTTCAATCACACAGGAAATAACTGGGACAATAAGATGTCTCAGGTGTAGTCTCCAGGGTACTGCCATCCCAAAATGCTAAAAAATATATGAACTCCATGCCAAGAAACAGCAGTTGAGAAATTGTGAGTTCTCTTTTTTTGCTTGGGGTGGTGGGGTTAAACTCCTAGATGTCACATCAACATTTTTGATAAAAACCATGAAGTTCTCCTGAGTTTGTGTAACTCAGTCCAGTGGAGCTTTTCAAACAGCATTATCCTAGAATTAGCCTTGCTGCTGAAAAATTAAAAAAATTATTCCCTTTTTGCTGAGGAGAAAAAGAGCATATTGTTGGGTGGCTTGGTGCTTCATAGGTGTGAGAAGCTAAGAACTCAATACTCCTCCTAGGTTCTGGAAATTTAACATCTCAAGGTCTCAGTCCTTGCAGAACTAGAAATTACTGTTGTTACTTTGGTGATCTTTTACAATTAGACATTTTTCTCATGTGTTTTTATGCTTTTGATCACTAATATTGCACTATTTATTTCTCTGTTTTTATTATTGTCAAGGCTAAAATAACATGTGGGAGAGAGATGCACTCAGAAAAGACAGACTTTAGTTTTATTCCTCTGCTCACACTGCAAAATACAGCACACAACAAATCTGCAAGCAAATCTGGATTTGTGACTTATGTGGGCCATTAATATTTAATGCAAGCAGCATCTCCTCTTCTGCAGGTTTGTCCATATTCTATTCTAATGTCCTGTAAACAGTCTCCAGGTAATTTCTGACATCTCTGGAGCAAGAAACTGCTATGTATACAAAATTCAAACTGTGCTGGAGATGAGAAATGATGGCAGAAATAAGTGTTAGAGCCCTTTGATCCCCCTTCCTCTCTGCAGCAATAAATATATTCAGAAAGGCAGCACTGTAGATTTATAAATGTTAGCACTCTGAGTGAAGTCAAACTAATTTACTCCGTGAACTTCTCTGACATTATGAAAACTTTACAAAGAGATCATTGCATGTGAAGTATTAAAATACTATAATTTTAACTTAAAAACCCCATTCACCAGACCTTCAAGTTCCCTTCTGTATATCTGCTGTGTTTTGAAGTGTTTTAAGAATAAGTGGGAACACCATAAAGATGGCAAAATAAATTACAGCTCTTGAAGTTTAGGAATAACACCAACATAAAATAAAATTGTGTGAATCCATTTTTATGGATTGGGACTCTGGCAGTGAGGGAGAGGAAGAGTACAAGGGAATTGTTCTGAATGAAGGGATGGTGATGAGGAAGGGACAAGTGGCACTGGAAATGTCCAACACAGTGACACAGGGGTTGAGCTTTGTCTCAAGCTCGTGCATCATTTGTCCTGGGGTAAAATGAATTGATTGGATAAATTGAAGAATTAAGTATTTGCAGATTTGAGAGCGGTGAGTACATCTCACCATCAGCACCGGGCCACTTTTGAGGTTTTTGGCTTGAAGCTGCAAGAGGCAGCACTTGGCTCCAGCGGGGAAGGAGAGCACTCAGCAGCACTGCCCACAAAGGCACAGCAGCCCAGGCAGGAGCACCAGCTGCAGGTTCAGACATTTCCCTCTGCTGATGGATGGAACAAAGGGAACATCTCAAAAGGAGACAAAGCCCAGAGGCTGGATCTGACCAGATCAGTCAGGAAGGAGGATAAATAATGGCTAGGGGAGTGCTTTCCCTCCTGGTGTGAAACACTCTGCTGGCAACAACTGTAAGCACCACTTTCCTAGCTTCTGTAACAAATCATTGATGCCTTAATTAGTTCAGAACAGTGCTCTGTATCTTTTGGCCTGCTACAGACCTGTAGGAGCTTTGCTCTCCTCCCTCTGGTGATGCCCCATCGATTTTAAAATCCTGTCCTACCCTCGGTTCTCATCTGAGAAGGTCTCAGCAGCCACCTGAGACTGAGATAAAGGTCACACAAGATATCTCCATTTTCTGGTGCTTGCCTGGAGGACCTGACCTGTTCCATGTGCTGATCAGAGGATGGCTCCCAGCACTCTGCAATCCTAAAGGGAACAGAGAGCAATCCTAACCAGTGATGCATCCCTGCTTTGTTCAGCTAACAGAGGTGCCTATCCAAATTTCAGCACCCAGGTTAGGCTGCTGAGCCTGAGCTTGGATCCTTTTCTTCACAGCACCATCTAGTGCTGCTACTGCAACCCACAATTTTCTTTGTCCTTGCCTTCTCTCACATAAATACACAAAAACCACATACATTTTAAAATAAACACAGAATGGACTCCAGACCTTTCAAAAAAAAATATACTTGAATAAATACTCCTCCATACTGAGGAGTTCTTTTCCCCTGAGGAAATGATGAGAGAAAAAAAATCACAGCTGTAGATATGCAGGGATTTGAAGTCTAGAAACAATGCAGGTGAAGTTGTTACAAGAACCTCAGAAAAGCAGGAGGGTAAACTAAACTAAAGTATAAAATGAAATAAAATGCTGCTTCTTTAACTATGCCTTTTGTCTGGACTAAGAAACTGTGTATGGTTAAGTGTGGGTTTGCCTAGATGGACTCCCTTGCCTTTTATATGCCTTGCCCCCTTTTTCTAACCTCAGAAACTTTTTATAACCTCTAACTTTTTGCTTAACATTGCTAAAACATGTTTAACTTCGCTAAATAATGAATGCCAAAGATAAAGATTGTCTTTGCCAATACCTCACCAACCTTCATCAATTGCAGTGTGAGTCCTTGCAGGAAACTTTCCCTTCTTGATGATCATTGCTACAAGAGACAAAGATCCCACAGCCTCTCCCCCAGAATTTGATTTGTCCTTTGCTATGGTAAAAGTAAATAAAGGAAAAGGGAAAAGAGTCAACATTAAAAAAAAAAATAAAGAAAATAAGAGAAAGGAAAAAGATGAAAAGGACAAAAGGGAAAGGGTAAAAGAATAAAGCAAAAATACAGGGAAAGGGGGAAATTATAAAAAGGGGAAAAGGAAGAGGACAAGGAAAGGGAAAGTGAGAAAAAGTAAATACAACCAAGCAAGAAAACTGCTTATTTTATTATTTTATTTTATTTTTAATTCTGATTATAACAATTTAACTTTTTCAGCCATTCTGAAAATTGCCAAAATAGGGAGGGGGAAAGCAGCCAGGCATTGCCATGGAGTTTTTCCCATGATCACCTTGTACTGCTGCAATAAATTCCTATGGAATCTCCTGGAGATCACAGTGGGAACCAGGTGGAGAAAGCTGCAGTGGATGCCAGAGCAGTGCATATTGATGGGAGTTGGATGTGCAAGTGTTCTCCCTCCACTAAACAGTGTCTAGTCGAGTCCCACATTCATTTATTGCAACTTTGTAATTTGACCTTGACAGCTTGTAAATTTTCAGGACACTATTCTTAAAAGCAATTCAGTCGTGTTAGGCTTTCAAATCACTGGTTTCATGGCTGGGCTTTATGGGCAAAGGTGCATGTTTTAAATAGCTTTTGTGTAAAATCCCTGCAGGCTGTGCCAGAGGCAAACTAATGACCACTGGTGGAGCTGCAAATGGAATTGGATATTATATTGATACCAGCAGTAAACAGCATTCGATTTTAAAAGCAACTAGTATAGAATAACATGTCTAATTTAATTTATGAACCTAATTTAAACTTTGGGGGGGCTTGACACAGAAAAACTAGTTGCTGTGTTGTTCCTGCACTTTTATTTTCTGCCCATCAGAAGAGGGGAAGGATGCTACAGCAGTTGATGTTAATTTGTTCATCTGCTTATGCTGTTGGTATTTCTTGCCTGCTCATGACACTTTTGCAGGTAACTAGCTGCTCCTAATCCTGACTCAAAGAAACAATTGATTTTCTTGTGATTATTTATTATCATTGATCAGGGTGCAAATAACACATTTTTGCTTTTGGCACTTTGTACAGCCATAGCCAAAGTTACCAACCTTTTTCTGTTTCTCTCTGCAGGGCAGAACTATGGCTCCAGAAGTGCAAATGCTCTTTCTTTGTGAGCAGCCTTGCCCACACAGTTAAATCATGTGAGTAAATTCACACACAAGACCTTGACACTGGGACCAGGGTGGTTGTGTACAGCTCAACCCAAAAGTTTCTAATTCTCCTTTTCTTTAGGGCACACATTTTTAAAGATGTTCAAACTATTTTTATTAATAATTGAGAAAGCTGAGGGTCTGAGCCTGCCTGACCTGCAGCTGTAGTAAAATTTTGAAAGAGAGCAAGGGGTCTTTAGCATGAACAAGCAAAAATATCCAGCTTTGTTTTATTTGGGTATTTGAATGATGACCTTTTGAAGTATTTTGAAATGAAAGAAAGAAGCATTCTCCAAAGATTTTGTACAGAATAAAACAAGCATTACTAACTTCTGTCTCATTTTGAGGTCTTATAGGCCTGTCTTGCTTTGCATGTACCCTTGCTAAATAGAAATGGTCACTATGTTCTTGTAAAACATAGTTAAATGGGAAGATTTCACTCTAGTAACCACTGAAAGACCATAAAACCGTACCATAAAACATAAATACATTCACTAGAAGATACCTTTTACTGACTAATAAGGAAAATATTTCTGACTTTCATAGGGAGAATAATATTAATGCTTTTTTAAATTATCCTTTGTGCTGGTTAAGTATGGCTTTTGCTTGGCTTTAGGTATCAAAGTTTTCCAAGAATTCTCCATCCTGTACAGAACTAGAATCCCCCCAGTTTCTCAGGGTGAAAGGGAGGAGGTTTTTGGATCTTCTGTGCCCCCCAAACAAGGGATCAGTCAGGATTTCAAGAGCAGCCCCTTCCTCCAGGTGTTTTTTTGGAATTATGGGTGTGGATCAAGATGATATTGATAAAGAAAGCAGCACAGCAGAACAATCAAACCCTGCACCAGCTGCCCCCATGGTATTTTTGGTGGGCAATATTTTTCTCAGTGTTCTACAGTGTGTGCTTGGGTACCTGCAAAGCTCAGCAATGCCAGGGGGGGTCCTGAGATTTCGCAAAGTGGCTTTTAACAAAGCATTTGCAGCTAAAGGTAGGTGTGCCAAAATCAGAAAAGGGTGACCAACATCTTGATGACCATCTGGTTTTAATGATAGCAGGAACTGGAACAGCAACGGGAATTCTCCTGCAATGGTCAAAAATCAGAGTTTTCTGACCAAAAAAAAAAGAGAAAAAACTAAGATTAGGGAAATTTTTTTATAGCTCATCTACTTCTGCTCCCCAAACTGTGCCTAATGAAAAGAAAGATGACAATTATTCCTGTTCTGAAAACTGGAATTTGTCACATTAAGAGTATTTTTCCCATCACAAATCTACACTTGGACATTGAGAGTTGGGCTACTGATTCATGTGCACTATTTGAGACAAAACTTAAAACCACAGGTATTTCAGGCTTAGAAGAAGTAAAAAAAAAAAAAAATTACTCTGAATCATCAATAGCTGAAAGTAGAAATTCTTTGCGTGCATGCAGAGAAAAAATAGATTTGGAGTGGAAACTTTTTTGACAAGTATGAGTCTAACAGTATTTGAAGTAGATGAGATATTGATTCCCCAAAATAAATAAATAAATTCAAATGCCCAACCATTTTAAACTTCAAAACCATCTGCAAAGTTAACAATTTCACGCTTAGAAAATTGATAACAAAAGAAATCCTTTCTATACAATTGCCATGTAAAAAGACTTCTGTCACTTTTCCTTTCTGAGGACAGCAACATGCATGGCTGGAGAAAAAGTGCCCAACCTCAGGAGTGGTTCCTGGGCTTTGGGGTCCAGGTCAGAACAATTTGATATGCAAAGGTGTTAAAAAATCTGCAGTCAGTGTTCAGACTGGCTACTAAAATAGCAATAAAAAAATTGAAAAAAAAATTGAAAAAAAAAAACCCCAACCCTGCAGCAAATGTCACTCAGGTGGAATTTCAGCCCTTCCTCTGGACTGTTCCTGGGAACTGAACACTGTTAATTTGGTAGCACACACTTGATGAGAGCAATGGGGAGATGCTTTCAGACTGACAGCAGATCTGCACACTCCCTGCTCTCCAGCTGTGAGTCAGCTCCAGCCCACAGCCCACAGACGTGTGCTCCAGCCCCAAGCTGGTGTCCTTTACCTTCCAGCTGCATTCTGTGCCCCACACCAAGCTCCACGTCCCCAGCTCAAGAGGAGCTGCTGGCACCCAGCTGCCCTGGCTCATGGCAGCAGCACTTTTATTTGCATTTTTATGATTCCTCTGCAGGACCCCACTGCTCACACAGAGTTTGTGTGCAATAACTCAGCTCGCAGCCAGGTTTGGAATCAGCAGCAGCTCTGATTGGAAACCCAGGAGCCAGCAGCCCTGTGGGTCACAGCTGCCCTCAGCTCTGCTTCATTCCTGCCCCAAGGGCTCAGCAAACCCCAGGTGAGCAGAAATGTCTCCACATATGTGGAGTTCTCAAAATCAGAACAATTGCAGTAAAACATATATATACACACTATGTAGGTTCCAAGGCATTTGCTTTTTGGGGTAAACTTTAAAGCAATAAAGTAAATGACTTAGAAATGTGTCTTTATGTCAATGAGCTTGCAGACCTTACACCCTTCAGAATCCTGGGTTCATAAAAGAAATACAGAAATTAAAACAGAGAATAAAGGCTAAAGTTCAAATACTGAAGTCTCATTGTCTCAGTAAGTTTGATCATTGTGTTTACAAAGTCGAATCTGTTGATAGAATGAATGCTTTAAGTTTTTGCTTCTTATTTGTATATCTGAACTCTGCAGGCCTCATACAAAGATGGTCATTCAAGGTGACTTAAGTCACAAAATTTTGTGAATTTCTGCAGTGTTTTTCAATCAGTATCCATCAAACCTGTGACTGTGCCTTCTGCTGCAGTGTTTGTGGCCACAATCCTTCTAGCATGGCAGAAAAATGAAAACTGGTGTGATAATTTTCTTTTGAAAGATATTTGGGTTTTTCTAAATTGCTGTAGTGTAAAATAGCAATGCTTAAAGCAAGAAAAAAAAAGTACCTTAAACAAGCAAAAAGAAATACATTGAGTAGTGGGAGACTTTAAATTTTGCTGATGTGCCTTTGTGTAGAAAACTTATTTACTAAAGAATTATGTACTATAGTAGAGCTATGTAACACAAAGTAATTAATAAACAACAGAGTTAAGAGAGTTTCTTTGCAGCTGTACCAAGAGGGGGAATTTTGGGAAGCACAGAAAAGGTAGGAAGACTTTCAGAGAGCTGTGAAAGCAGGCCTGAAAAACAGAGAGAGCAGGGAACTTAGAGCTGCAGTGTCTGAAAGCAGGAAAGTTACAATAGTACAGCAAGCAAGGCCATGAAACAATAGCTTGAGTTTTAGGCTTGGCTAAGACAGACCTTAAAACTGCAAAAAAATATGCCTGGCAAGGTAGCAGAAGGTATTAGGCTTAATAATGGAGTATTGTGCATTGTTAATAGAAGGCATACAAGCAAGTATTGTGTGAAACAGTGTACTTTTACCTTTAGTGATTAGTTTGAACAATTGTCTGTAAGCTTAACAATAAGTTATTGGCTAGAAAGTTTTAAAAATGCTCTGTAACAAAGAAATCTTTGGTAGAAGGTGAGCTGCTGCCATCTTCCAATTGTCTCAATCCTGTAATGAGGCTGATGCTGCAGTAAAGCTCAAGGAAAGAATCCCAGCAGTCCTGTCCCATTTGTGCAAAATATATTTAACAGATATATCTGTTATTATTATTTATCAGATTTATATCTGATAAGTCTGTCAGTTTCCAGAGCTCAGTGTTGGGATGGAAAGAAGGGGGAAGAAGGGAGAGAAAGAATTAAATTGCCATTAAAGCTCAGCAATCTGAGAGGGACACGTTGTGTGGCTCAGCTGAAAGGCTCAGTTAGTTCTCCCAGGTTTATTTCATTAAAAACTGCAGAAGCATTTTCAGCTGCAGCACCAAGAGGATCTAGAGGGCTCTCCAGGCGCAGGTTTTGGTAGCAGGGAGGCTGCAGAGCTGGCTTCTGTGAGCAGCTGCCAAAATCTTTCTCCATGTCCAGCTGGACAAAATCTTTCTCCATGATCCAGGTGCTGGTGGCTCCAAAGATGAGCACGCTGCTGGCCAGGGCTGAGCCCAGCAGGAATGGTGGGAATGCCTCTGTGATAAGAGATTTAAGAAGCAGAAATAAGTTGTTGCACAGATGTAATTGTGGCCAGAGAAGAGCAGGATGAGAACATGTGAGAGGAACAGCTCTGCAGAGCCAGGTCAGTGCAGATGGAGGGGCAGCAGGTGCTGTGGTCCAGCTGATAACAGGTCAAAGATGAGACTCAATGATCTTAAAAGGATTTTTCCAACTTAAATTATTCTTTATTACTAAGTTTAGCTATTTAGTGAACTGAACATAATATGCAATGAAAGAGAAAGCAGTTTTGAATGTTAAAAATGTAATTTCTTCTAAATTAAAAGCAGAGCCTACACAGCCCTGGCCTGCACAAAAGCATAAATGTCACAGAAAAACCAGGAGGTGAAAACATATATCTGTAGATATGAAAAGGTATATCTGTATGCAAATATAGCACAGGTTATGTGGAAAGACAAAATTAAATCAAATAAAATCCATTTTAAAGATGAACTGCCACTGTAGTTCTTCTGGGGAGTGGGTGGATGAGGAGCAGGAGGAAGAGAATTAAAAAGCTTCAGGCCAGATTTTTGGATTTAGCTTATCAATAGACTATCAGTGGGGATTTTTGCATCCAAGGACTTGTTTAAATTTTGTCTGATAAAAATGAAAAGGAAAAATAAAAAGAAGAAATTATATTTATGAACTTGTGAAACAAAGTTAATACGTGGGAGCTTAATAGTTCCTACAGAGCCCTGTGAAGGTTCTGTGGTCACAGTGAAAAATCCAGAGTTCATAATTACACATTTAAAGATCAATAAATTTACATGTACTCTAAGACACCTGATGAATCATGCCCTTGGAATATAAAAGCTTTCTGTTGACATTTTTTCCCTTCAGCTCCAAAAATTGAAGTCTCTGTATCTCAGCTTCTGAAATGTGGTCTTCTCAGAAATACATTTTCCCAAAAAGAGAGTTAAGGCAGGCAAGCATTTCAGGTATTCTGCTTCAATAATCTCTCATGAAAAACTACAATTTTTCTGTCATTGACTCACTTATAAAGCAACTCTGGATTTATTGTGGCCAGTAAGCCTCAAGGATAAGTAGATGTTCAATTGTAAAATATGAAACAGAAATGAAAAAGGGAAAATATCCATCCAAAACATATCAGGGGGCCCTGGCCATCATATCAGGGCTACTGTGAGACGGATTGTGGTTTCCAGGGAGTGTGCTGGTAAATGGTCTCTGTATAGAGGTTTTATAAAGTACAGCTGGAAGCAGGACAATGAGCAGGCAGTAGGATGGGGATTTTTTTTTTTTACATCAGAATTGGAGTAATGTGAAAAAGGGAAATGTGACACTTTTTTGGTTTTGGTTTGTTAATTTTCTGTTTCCTTGAAGAGCTGGAATCTGTCTCTCTGACTTGTTACCTACACCTTGCTACAATGCCCAACGTTTTAATTATGCAGTCCCTTTGCGAGCACCTCAACTCTGATGTATTTCAAAAGGTTTTGTGCTTTTGAAAAGCTGCTGTTCAGCATCTCCACATCCACTAGATGTCACTCAATAGTCATCATTTCCAGCACTGATCCAAAAAAAAAAATAGTCATCATTTCCACACACAAAAAAGAAAGGCAACAAATATTTTTTTCCTTCAGACTCAAAACAGAGTTCTTTCAAAAAATTTTATTCGCTGTTTAAAGTTAATATGTGGTGTCTGAAATCACTTCAAAAATTAAAACTTTTAGATGATTCAGTTAGAAGCTGTGGTTGTCACCTGGAATTTGCATATTCCTTTAGCATAGTTCTTTCAAAGAAAAAAAATATTAAAAAGATAATTTGGATAGTGGTGGACTTGATGTTAATGGATAATTGTGTCTCTGGACCATGACCACACTGTTCAACATTTTGATCTGCCTTGTCCAGGTTTAGAGCAAATTTGGGGAAGAATCCCCCAAAGGAGCTCCGGTGGGAAAAGCAGATCCAATCAGCCCGTCCCCCCAACTGGTCCGGGAGGAAAAGATACCTCCTTGGAGAAAGGTGGAAAAAACCTGTTTATTAAACAATAAAACCAAAACAATATCAAACAATGAGACTCCTTGCCACTCTAAAAGAGATGACAAACTGAGAAAACCCCGGGTTGAAGCTCAGCTCACTCAGCCTCTGGTCAGTCCCTCAGTGCTGGAATTGTCACAGGCGCGGCCTGGCCCGGTGGGCCACAGCTGCAGCTGCCGGTGCTCCCCTCGGTGTTCAGTCCAGAGCAGTTCCAAGAGGTCCAAAGAAAAGGGGAAAAAAAAACAGTCCAGGGAACTTCTTTGCCTCAGCTAGCTAACACTAACTAAAAAGCAAAAGAAGAGCTCTGTCTCGCTGTCTGTTCATCCACAGACAACACAGTCAGGAGCAGGAATGTGGAGGAGTGAGTGCAGTGTCTGAAAACAAACTGCTGCTTCTTCTCTCTCCCCCTTCACTGTCTGGAACACTCTTAAAGGTGCAAAACTTATTATTCAACATAAAAATGAGTTATGTTTAAGAATGAGACAATTGGGGATAAAAGCATCATATAGTCAACCCAGGACAGGACAGAACATGGGAGGGACAGGCAAAAGTGGAGGCTCAACGAGGATGGAACCATCAGTTCATACGTCAGTGAGCAACTGGTGCTTGATATTGAAGGTATTTAAAAACAAAAACACTCAAACTCACAGGTTTTAAGTGGGTTTTTTGATTAAGGTTAACTTCCATAGTCGAGTTGTTTTTTTTTTTTTCCCCTTTGTACTTAAGGTCAGAAACTGAATCCTACATTTCCTGTCCAGTTGCTTGACAGTGGGACAAGAAAGAGCAGGGCAGGGAGGAACCTTTCTCTTTGGATTCCAGAGGTTTATTTTGATCAGATGAACTGTTGTGCTTTGGGGAGTTAAGTAGTGCAGATGGCAAGGAGTGCAAGTTACAGAAGACAAAGTGGTGAAGGAAAATCAACCACAAAACAGCTCAGAAAAGGAAAAGGAGTTGAAAAAGGAAGGCTTGTTAAAATTGTCATTGCTCAGTTGCAGAAACCAGCCCCCTACCTCATGGAATTCCTATTTTTCAGCTGATTTTCCAACTTAGTCACACTTCTCAAAGCTTGTGTATCATTTTTATGAGTATTTCTTTCAAAAGCTTTTCCTTCATGACTTTCTTTTGTTTTTAAGGAGGAAATTACTATGACAAGAATCACATCATTATGAATCAGCCAATAGAAAACAGACCTTCACAGAAATGGCATATTGAAATATTGTGAGTAAAATCCACCCCACAGATGGACTTTTTGTGGGCTACCAACATGTAGAGGGGGAAAAAAGAACCCAACTACTGAAGCCACACATCACTGGAACCATAAGCAGCAACTCTTCTCTGTTTTCCTTCGTGCCAAGCACCAGCTCCTAAAAGAACTGAATTTTGCACAAATCTGGAAGATGGGAGGTTGATCCAATGTCTCTCTGCTGGAAAGCTGATTCTGCAGGGGCTGCTCCTGTGAAAGTCACCATTCCTCTTCCTCTGAAGTATGAAAGGTCAATGCAAAGGAGCAGGCAGAGGTTCTGCAGCATGGGAAGTGCAGGAGATAAGAGGGGAAGGGCTCTTCAGAAATGCTGTCTTTGCCTTCCTCTCACCCTGCTGGAAGCTCACTGAGCAGTG